TTATCGTTAGAGGAAAGTATTGAATATAAATGGTGTAGATTTTTGAATCACCAAAGTTTAATAAAGTGTGTATACATAATATTATATGTCTATATCATATGGAGAGAAAATGGAGCTTACACTTCTTTATAGCTACACAAAAACGCGGCAATCCAAATAATTCAAAAAAATTTGAAAGGAAAGAAATTCCTAAAACCAGGCATTTTGAATGACAAGAATTAAAACAGACGAACGAATTATAATGCAAATTTTATTAACAGATGTAACTATACAGCGAACTTATGTCGCAGCATCATCTTCAAATAGGACCACATATGCATTTATCAGTGAAGTTAAACCATGCAAGGAATATAATTATTTTAAAGTTATAGAAAGCCATAAATTATCTTTTAAGAATATGTAATTTACCAATATCAATGTATTCGCGTCCTTTACAATATGGCAAAGAATAAAGGTTGCATCCTTTGAAGCATTTGATCTGCAAATATCGAGTGGTTACTAAGTTTTACCATGACAACAGTGCACTGGGAATCGAACCCAAAGACTAAATTGTACCGCTCTTTAAAGTTGTTCATTTCATTTTTGTTAATCGGGTAGTTTAATTATTCAGAGAATTTTAAACATATTTAAGATGTTCTTCGTAATTTTAAAACTTCATATTTTTAGTTGCTTCACCGTGATGTTACATAAAGGGAAGCCTTAAATTAATATCTTAACAAAATTCAGTCCTTAGGTGCTTATTTAAAAACATTTCTAGTGAAAAAATTTACTTATTAAATATTACTGAACACCGCCAGAATATTGCTCCTTACAAAAAGCGCAATTTGATGCTGACAAAGAACAATAGCTACCATGTACATTTTTTGGGGGGTGGTCTAGCAGTTGGTCAAAATGTTCAAATTTTAGCTGCCAAAATTACATGAAAATTATGCTTTCGAAATATTAAATTGCATTGCATCAATTTTTAACATCTTCTTAACTGTAGTAAATGACCGAATAGAAAAAATAGTATTAGCTCTGAGACTAACAAAATGATATTAAACTTTGTTATGTGGTTGTTAAAGCTCTCTTATAGAATTTTTAGTTCTGATGATTTTGTATTTAACATGAAGTACAAATTTAGTCCCATACCAACGACACTGTTTTTTTTAAAACCTAACCGAAATAAAAAATCTCTAATGGAAAAACCTGAACGGTATAAACCAAGACCGAACACGAAGTCCTAAGAACTTGGAGAATACTGAACAGGAAAAAACCACTAGAGATTTTAGCCGAAGTTCCGCACCCCAGGGGCCCTTAGAAACAATAAACTTTACTTACTTTTGCAACGATTGAAAAAGCCAAGACCAAAAAAAATTCGAAATTTTTTCATACCTTTTCAAGCCTAACAATTTGTTAGTTTTTTTTAAGGTATTTTAGTTTTTGAAGTCTTTCGCCATTTTCAACATCCAGATAACGAACCGTTGACGCCATATTTCAGTTTAAATAAATGGATTTGATCACCGAACCGGACAATTTTCTACTTTGAACGAGAAAATTGTGTAGCTGAAGGGAATTTCTTAAAACGTGTGCTTTGCTCATCCAATCTACATCCGCATCGCTCAAACCTAGCGCCACCTAAGCGTCCCTATTTTGCACTGTTTCATTCAGTGCTTAGCGCGCCCGGTGTCACTAACGCTTTAAACTGGAGCATGCGCGCTTGCTGTATGACATGGATTGGATGAATATACCTCAAGATATTTTATAGAGCCAGAATTTTTTCTTTATTGGCAATAATGCTAATGTATTTCGAACAAATACAAATGAAAATGCAATTTCGACAGAAATGATTTGTAGAAGCACACGTTAAGTTTGGTTCGAATGGTTTAACCAAACAAATAGCAGCGCTTGCTTTTAGTTTCTTTTCCACTCATTGCAAAACATACTCGCAAGGTCGCTGAGAGTGCCAGCCTGCGAGTTACTTGCTGCGAGCTTACGATGATTTGCATTCAAGTAAATCATCGTAAGCTCGTAGCGAGTAAACTGCAGGCCCTGGCGGCGAGCTTGCTGGTATGTTTTGCGATGAGTAGAAAAGAGCCTTTAAAATGAAATGTTTAATTTTGACGATAATCACATAAATAACTTTGATAGCAACGCAATTGGTGAACATGGAAACCTTTGTGTAACTATTAGTAAAATACGTGACAACGTCTGCGGTTTGTCTTCATAATAATCATTATAAGAAAACAACACAATGCACTTTCATTCAAATTACGTTTCCTTTCACGTTTTTATGAAGACATTCCGCATACTTAGACCTGGTGTACTAATCATTTACTTTTTACGCTTGCTTACGATGTGGCTTGCAGCATTGAAATTCCCTGGAATGAAGTCTTCTTCATAAGAAAACAACAAACCGATTTTTACATTTACAGTGATTGCCACGCCGCCCCTAGACTGTAAATGTCTTAACAAACTGAATACTTTTATAAAGCTTCAATTTGTCGTTCTAAAAATGACTGAAAAGAAGATTGAAATCGAAATTTGCTTCCAAACTTATAAATTTTAGTCATTTCTTTTAATAGTGGTGTTGTCCTGTATAGGCACAAATCCCACATTAACACTGAGCGTAGCAACTTTCCGCAGCAACTACAGCGCACGCCTAAGCTATCTAAACTTCCTACCTGCGCATGACACCGGAATTCCGCCCTGAAAAGGAATGCCCCTTGAAGGAGGTAACCCATCATGCCCTTAACTTAACCTAACCTAGTGCATGTAGCACCTACAGGTGACCTCCAACCGGGGTAGGTTGAACTACTCATGCATTATAGGGGTTCCATGAGTGCCTTAATAGTCACTGTAGAAAGCCATTCATGAAATTGGCTAACTACAACGACTGCATGCTTTTACCGTACTAGGGGAGAGATATTTTTCTTTCCACCAAACCACCGTCTTTCCTTTGTCTGCAATAGGTCTTGCTCGCTTGATCCAGTCTTCAAAGGTCTTCTTACAGATGCTATTTGCATCCTCTACACTAAGGTACCATTTGTACCCACTAACCCCAAGTAGAAGTTGCCTTCCTTTGGCCAAACTTCACTTGCATTTCCGATCTACACTATTTATGATCATCTATCACTCGGCGAGGCAAGAACCGCTGCTATAATGCGTGGCTCCTTAAATCAGTATATTCACACAGAGGTTCTTAGAGATAAACCGGATAGAACAGTCGCAATTGACCAATAACCGCGCGTTCACACAAACTTCACACTTACTGAAGAACAAATTTTAAAAATATGTATTGTATTAAAACAAAATACAAAAAATTGCTCGAATCGAAATAATTTTTACAACCTCTTAAACAAAACTATTTTTGAAAATGCGTGTGAGAACTTGAACATAAAAGTGCATTTATTAAATTCTCTGCATTAAAAAAATAGTCTTACAGTGGAATATACTGCGCACCAGGATTTGTTGTGGCTTTTGCCCAAATTGTATAAAAGACCTTGCCTGTTAGCAGGCTACACTACGTACAGACAAAGTAAAACTCACGGTTTTCGGCGAATCCCTTGCCAACGTTTACGACAGACGATGAAAACCTTTCCAATTTATCGACAAACAACGTATCTTTGCCAAATGTAACAGCGATCGGATGCTCAGCACGTAAAACCACATAGATGCGCAAAATTTTTTAAAAAATTTAAAACGTTGATGGTTAATCCATCGTATCCAACTTTCCGGCTACCTGACGAACATTCCAGGTTTCATGTCGACGACGGCAAGCACAGAAGCAAGATTGGCCATTTCTTGCAACTGCGCATGTCGCATACGGCATGAAATCGAAAATATCGACAGACAGTCGGAAAATTAGGACTTTTAGATTTCAATTTTTGAAAAGAAGAAATTCCATGTTTTTATACGGAAAAATTTTCATTTCAATTAATTTTGAAATTTATGAGTTTGATAGTGGCGTGGTTTCGAGACTTGTCTTTACAATTGATTAACCAGGCAGGAATCGTAGTCTTAGCAGGACAAATACCCAGGAAACGCGTTTCAAAAAGCCATAGTCCATTTGATAGAGGCTCCTCTATGAACACAGATGTTGAGCTGATGGACCGGAGATGTTGCTCTCGAGTTGTATTTTGCATTTGCTTTCATAGTTTGTCATTTATAGCTACACCTGGATGGAAGTGTTTGCCAACTTTAAAATTTACCAGAGAATATAAAGTCCATTCTTAATCATTGTTCACAGGGTTTCTAAAAGAATAGCGTAATCAAAGTTAACAATTGCATTTTACAATATATACTTTTTGAAAAATTCGAATAAGTATGTTAAGGAAAAAAACGATACTTACAATGAACAATTTATTCAGTGTTAAAGCAGCTGAAAGAAAGTAGAATTTCAACCAAAATTACGGAATTTACAGCTGCACATAGCGCAAATTGTTCGTTATTATCATTTATGTTTAGCTCAGCATCAGTGGAATGATTAGCAAAAGGCAAATCCGTCTTCATCGTGAACAATTATCAACTTCTTTAGTTAAACCTGTTCACCATCGTAATGAATATAAACCACCAACATTTGTTCAATATTTCTCGATGGCGTTTGGTGATCATTTGTCGTTGAATAGAAATAAGTTCAAGTCTAAAATCAAACATAGAGCAACAAATATTAGTTATCAAAATGAAATTTTAGTGGAAGACAAATTTGGAATTCACATTTTGCACGAATAAAGATCAAAATGCCGTTCACATTTCACACATCGATCAAAGATAAAGTTCTCTGTTAAAAGAAATTTCAAAAGACATACCTGAACTTGGTTTCAGGGAGATATTCGACTCATACTTCATAGTAGAGACTTGTCTTTGCAATTGATTAACCAGTTAGGAATCGTAATCTTAGCAGGACAAAAACCCAGGAAACACGTTTCAAAAAGCCATAGTCCAATAAAATAGTGGCTCCTCTATGAATACAGGTGTTGAGCTGATAGAGACGTTGCTCTTGAGTTTTATTTTGTGTTTTCTTTCGTAGTTTAAATTGTCATTTATAACTACACCTTGAATGGAAGTGTTTGCTAACTTCATCAGAGAATATATTGTCCATTGTTAATCTTTGTTCTGAGAGTTTCTACAAAAGATAAGCATGACCGAAGTTAATAATTGCAATTCACGATACATACTTTTTGCAAAAATTCTGATAAATATATATTAAGGAAGAAAAAAAGATACTTACTATGAACAATTCATTCAGTGTTAAATTATTTGTTATTATGTGTAGCTCAGCCTCTGGGAATAATTAGCAAATGCCAAACCGTCTTCTTCGTGAACAATTATCAACTTCTTTAGTTAAACCTGTCCACCATCGTAGTGAATATAAACCACCAACATTTGTTCAATATTTCTCGATCGCATTTGATGATCATTTGTCGTTGAATAGAAATAAGTTCAAGTCTAAAATCAAGCATAGAGCAACAAATATTAGTTATCAAAATGAAACTTTACAGAAGACAAATTTAGACTTCACATTTTGCATGAATAAAGATTAAAATTCCGTTCACATTTCACACGTCGATCAAAGATAAAGTTCTCTGTTAAAAGAAACTTCAAAAGATATACCTGAACTTGGTTTCGAGGAGATATTCGACTCATACTTCACAAATCGTTTCAAATTTTTCCGGATAATCTTAGTGCACGAACTGACGAACAGATTCAAATGACAAGTTCGCAAGCTGTACATGTGTTAATCTTGAAGTATGGCAAAAATTTCGTTAACGTGTTGTGTTTTGATTGGTCATTTTTTAAGTGCGTCACAATTGTAATTAGTACCTAGGTAAAAAGGTCACTAAGGTATATCTTATGTTATATTGTGTTTATCAGCAAGCGCTTTCATAGTTATAATTAGCAATGCAAAAGAGTTTAATGACTACATGCTATATGTTTAGTACATGGTTTAAGGTTTAACAAACAATTGCTAAATGCGTCAGTAATCGGCAGTGCGTCCTTAAGGACCTTGACAAACTGCTCATCTTTGAAACCGTCGGCTTATTTCACAAAATTTAGCAATTACTTCGAACAAAACTTATTAACTCGTCAGGCGTTGAGGAGAATTTCATTTTTTGCAATTTAATGTAAATCATTACAACTGACATACTTTTCAGTAAGCAAACTCTGATGTAAAAAAATCAAAACTTTGAATTTTAGAAAATGCTCTTTTTGCAGGAAAAATGTCGTGTTTAAACAAAAATTACCCCCAAAATCTTGAGCACCCCCTCCCCCTAACTTTCACTTGCTTCCTATTCTTCTGACAAAAACATAATGACTAAGCAAAAGAATTATAAAATCTGCAATACTGATGTTCATTTTTATCGAAAAAAACATTTATGAACAAAAATTTGAACATTTAAAGAAATAAATGATGTAAAAATACGAGTAAAATAGGCTAAAACTATTTATTTGCTTCACAACAATTACCTTACAACATACAACAATGTTAAATTGTTACACTTTAAAGCATCAAATACTATAAAAAGCTAAGTGCTTGTTTATTCTTATACAACCAATTATTATTTAAAAACATGACTGAGAAATTTTTACGAAGTAATATCCTCCATGAGAATATTTATAGCAACATTTCATCTTCTTAGAGTTGTAGTTTTGGTTGCCACAACAAGATGAGCCATGAAGTCGAGAAAGAAGCTTGTATCCACAACAAATGGTACTGGAAGGATGATAATTTACACTGCCACAACATGAACTACCTCTAAACTTCGAGCGAATATGACCAGAACAGCAAACATGTTTTCTTGTATCATAGACATTAGAGCCACAGCATCCAGTGTACGAAAAATAGGATTTTGACAGGACATTGTTGTGACAGCATATCTGAGAAGACAATCGGTACAAGGAAGATCCACAGCACTGGTATCCAGAAGAACCATTAAGTATCTTACCATTACAACAACGTTGAGATTTTGAATTGTAATTATGGCTTCCACAACAAGATCTCCGTCCTCTAGATTTACTTAAGATATTTCCATGGCAACAAACATACAAACGGGAGTTGTAAGGACGAGATCCGCAGCATTTGTTACCGTTTAACTTCGAGTATAAGTTGTTGTAACAGCAGATATGCGTTCTTGAGTCATAGTTCCGGCCTCCACAACAAGATGATCCAAAATATCTTAGTTGAACTTTACCACGACAGCAGATAGATGTAGTTGAACTCATTGGAATACCGTAATAATAAGGACTTTTATATGAACCCCAGTAGGTACAACAATGGGAGCCAAATGATTTTGGATACAGGTGGTTACCACAGCAAGTTTTTTGTAAAGGATCAAAGCTATTCGAGCCACAACACATACTTCCAGTGGATCTTAATCGAAGTTTATAGTTACAGCAAATGTGTTTTGTAGGATTGTAGTTTCTCGAACCACAGCAGCGAGATCCAGAGGAACGAGACAAAATATTTCCATGACAGCATACCTTACTAAAGGAATCATAATTTATAGAGCCACAACATAAAGTACCCTTACTTTTGGGCAAAACTCTACCTGAACAGCAGACCTGCTTGCTTCTATGATAAGCATGACTCAAACAGCAGCTAACCCCACTTCCACCAGGAAAAAGGTTATTGTGACAACATTTTTTGTGATTAGGGAAGAAAGCCCTAGAACCGCAACAAGATGAACCATGAATTCTTGAGATAATTTTGCCATTGCAACACAAATGACTTTTACTATTATAATTACGTGATTTGCAACATGAAGAACCTCGCCATTTGTAGAATAGTCTTCCATGACAACAAACTGCCACTGCAGAATTATAAACTTGATTATGACAACAAGAATTACCTCTCCTTTTACTGTGAATCTTACCATTACAACAAACTTGTGAATAACTGTTATAAGAGTGAGAACCACAACAACTACTACCAAGAAATCGAGATTGAATCACTCCACTGCAACACACATGAGAACCACTTTTGTAATTTTTTGAGCCACAACATACATCACCTGATGACTTAGACAGAATGTTACCACTACAACAAACTGAACTAGAAGGATTGTAATTTATTGTACCACAACAAGCAGAACCAAATCTTTTGCTTAAAATTTTTCCATCACAACAGACTTGAGAGGAAGGCCGGTAATAATTATTACCACAACAACTTATAAAGAAACCATAGAATACCTTGCCATTACAACAAATGGCTCTGGTAGGATCGTAGGTTTGGGAAGCACAACATTGAAAGCTTGAAGGTAAATATTTATGAAGCTTACCACCACAACAAACACCAATAAAAGGATTATAGTTGACAGACCCACAACAAGCAAAACCGTTTGTTCTATCAAGAATCTTTCCATGACAGCAAACAAAATGTAGTATCATAAATTTTGTCCCCACAACAATTCCCACCGCTATAAAGTGGATGTATTTTTCCTGCACAGCACATTTCAGTTTGAGGATTATAATAACGATGTCCACAAAGAACAGATTGCGGTGGCGCATGGTATTCTAAAAGTAAAAATGTAGCGTGTATTACTGATGCTAAGGATCTCAAAATTTAATCAAAGTTTATACCATAACATTGGATTTTGAACATAAGCAGTTGAAAAATTTAATTAGATACACCTGGTCATAGTTTGCATGTCATAGTTGATATGAATACATTGAAAGTTGTTGTAGGTAATAGATTGATAATAGATGAAATAATAATTAGAAATAATACTTAGAGTGATTAATAATATGATATAGAGACAATATCAATGTCGTAGAAAACGTGTTAATCTAACTCTGATATAGAAGCTGATTTATAACATAAGTGGTAAAATATTCCGCTATCTTTGGTTATTTGGTTATATTCCGATATTTTTGTCTTTTCTAAAGCTATTTCTCATTTATTTGTCACAAATTCGTCTTGAAAATCAATAAAAATGCGTTCAGTATTTAATGGACACCAACTAGCTCATTACACAAAACATGACAAAACATAAGTTCATAGTCGTTTTGTGAGAGTTTACTTAAATTGGTGCATGCGATATATGAGACATATTGATGTCTTACAAAAAGTTCTATGAAAACTAGTGTATTAAATACGAGAAAAACAATAATTATTAAGTCGCTGACCTTCACAAAACGAGCCGTTTCCAGAAAAACCAAAATTACAAATACAAGAATACGATCCATTCGTGTTAACACATGTTGCATTTTGATGACAATTGTCGATAGAAAGAGAACATTCATCAATATCTATAATAAGAAACACATGTACGTATTTGCGATTCGTATGTAATTCAATTGACCTATTTGAAGATCATACTTTACAAAACCGACCTTCACAAAAAGTTCCATTTCCAGAATAACCAACATTGCAATTACATAAATAAGATCCATTTGTATTAACACAGATTGAGTTTTGATGACAGTTGTCGATAGAAAGAGAACATTCATCAATATCTATAACAAAAAATAGATGTATTTGCGATTCGTATGTAATTCAATTGACTAATTTGAAAATCATACTTTACAAGACTGACCTTCACAAAAAGTTCCATTTCCAGAATAACCAACGTTACAATTACATAAATAAGATCCATTTGTTAACACAGGTTGAGTTTTGATGACAATTGTCGATAGAAAGAGAACATTCATCAATATCTATAATAAAAAATGCAAGTATTTGTGATTCATATGTAATTCAATTGACCAATTTGAAAATCATACTTTACACGACTGACCTTCACAAAAAGTTCCATTTCCAGAATAACCAACGTTACAATTACATAAATAAGATCCATTTGAGTTAACACAGGTTGAGTTTTGATGACAATTGTCGATAGAAAGAGAACATTCGTCAATATCTATAACAAAAAATACATGTATTTGCGATTCGTATGTAATTCAATTGACCAATTTGAAAATCATACTTTACAAGACTGACCTTCACAAAAAGTTCCATTTCCAGAATAACCAACGTTGCAATTACATAAATAAGATCCATTTGTATTAACACAGATTGAGTTTTGATGACAATTGTCGATAGAAAGAGAACATTCATCAATATCTATAACAAAAATACAAGTATTTGGATTCATATGTAATTCAATTGACCAATTTGAAAATTATACTTTACACGACTGACCTTCACAAAAAGTTCCATTTCCAGAATAACCAACGTTGCAATTACATAAATAAGATCCATTTGAGTTAACACAGGTTGAGTTTTGATGACAATTGTCGATAGAAAGAGAACATTCATCAATATCTATAACAAAAATTACATGTATTTGGGATTCATATGTAATTTAATTGACCAATTTGAAAATCATACTTTACAAGACTGACCTTCACAAAAAGTTCCATTTCCAGAATGACCAGCGTTGCAATTACATAAATAAGATCCATTTGAGTTAACACAGGTTGAGTTTTGATGACAATTGTCGATAGAAAGAGAACATTCATCAACGTCTATAACAAAAATTACATTTATTTGTGAATCGTATGTATTTCAATTGACCAATTTGAAAATCATACTTTACAAGACTGACCTTCACAAAAAGTTCCACTTCCAGAATAACCAACGTTGCAATTACATAAATAAGATCCATTTGAGTTAACACAGGTTGAGTTTTGATGACAATTGTCGATAGAAAGAGAACACTCATCAATATCTATAAAAAAAATACATGTATTTGCGATTCATATGTAATTTAATTGACTAATTTGAAAATCATACTTTACAAGACTGACCTTCACAAAAAGTTCCATTTCCAGAATGACCAGCGTTGCAATTACATAAATAAGATCCATTTGAGTTAACACAGGTTGAGTTTTGATGACAATTGTCAATAGAAAGAGAACATTCATCAATGTCTATAACAAAAATTACATTTATTTGTGAATCGTATGTATTTCAATTGACCAATTTCAAAATCATACTTTACAAGACTGACCTTCACAAAAAGTTCCACTTCCAGAATAACCAACATTGCAATTACATAAAAACGATCCAATTGTATTAACACAGGTTGAGTTTTGATGACAATTGTCGATAGAAAGAGAACATTCGTCAATATCTATTACAAAAAATACATGTATTTGTGATTCATATGTAATTTAATTGACTAATTTGAAAATCATACTTTACAAGACAGACCTTTACAAAAAGTTCCACTTCCAGAATAACCAACATTGCAATTACATAAAAACGATCCAATTGTATTCACACATTTTGACTGTTGATGACAATTGTCGAGAGAACGAGAACATTCATCAATATCTAAAATAATACAAATATGTACATTGGATTTTTACAATTTAACATCATACAAATAAACCATTAAACCGAAAATTGATTCAATCATTCAAATAATATTCAGTACAAAATAAGTCCATTTCTCAAATAATAATGAGGAAAATGACCCATGGTTGTTAACACAGATTAATTTCTTATGACAATTATCGGTAGAAACGACACATTAATTGATATCTATGAAGACACCAAAAAATACGTTTTATCATCATGATCATATATCATATATATTGAAACAAAAAGTCAAGGTGATAGCTGTTTGCTTGACTTTAAACATGAGAATGATTAGAAACACAAACAGTTCTTTTAGCGATTGAACTAACCTAAACGATCTACATCCACGCCCATTTACATATGTCAAGTTTGAATCGTTAAACACTTTGTATTTCTTTAAATTTATTAATTACTTCAAATATTTCTACTGCATTTCGAAATATCTTTATGTAATTTTATTGCCACTGTACAAAACCGTAGTTTTTCCAAATACATTTGCAACCCTTTGCGTTGAAAATTTAATTCAATTATTGATGAAGTCATGAAAGTATAATTAAAAACCGCAAACGCATCGGTGATTTTTTCACTTAATCATTTAACATGACGTGTACATTTCCTTCTATGTTTCACTTCATACAGCACATGTACATGTAGCTAATTTTTAACAGGATGATTAAGTTGTGGTCAGTAAAATACTTTGAAAAGTTGTTGAAATTTTATTTAACTTAATTTCATTAAAACATTGTTTTATCAGTGAATTCATTTTACTCATACGCCACCGTTGAGGTATGGCGACGTCATGGAAACCACCCAAAACTCCAAGGACCAAAATACTTGGCAAGTAAAGGATTAGAATCTTTTTGATGGTTTGTTTATTTGAAAATGTTTCTAGAATGTTATTTGTAACTAAGTTCAATCTTCGTGCATAAAATGTTTGTAAAGTTCATTTACGTAGAAACATATGCAAATGTTTTGTTTTAATGCAAGAAATGTAGTTTCTACATCTTTTAATAAAGCACTATCAAAAAAAAATTAAAACTGATCAAATTTCTTATTGCCATTCTTATTAACCCAATCATTGATCATACAGACAAGCAGATATTTATCCAAAAGTTATCGAGCACTTCACACATGCATTAGTACAGCACTGAGCAAAAATTTATTTTGAGAAAGAAAAGGTCAAATAATATATCATAATACCTACTTAACATAACAGCCATAATTTCTCTACACTATCACCATAACATTTACCTGTCTGGCAACATGTTCCTGTCCAACCACTTTTACAGATACATCTACCATTTGTTGGTCTTCCTCCATTACGACATTTATTTCTGTTGCATGCTCTTGTTTCACTGAAACTATATGGACAACGCCCACCACAACATTCTGTTACAGACTTTCCTCTTTTTCGTGTCTGTACACCAGAATTACCACATTGATGATTACAAGAACTCCAGCTGGACCATTGACTTGGTACACAATTTCTGGGAGGAGGTGGAGGTGGAGGCCTTCTTCGTCTACGTCGTCTTCTACGTCGCCAACATGATGCATCATGCAATAACACGATAATTAGAATCACTAAGAAAACCTTCATATTTTATCAAACAGTTGAAGAATTTGCGGCTATTTTTCCTGTGTTCTTGTTTCTTTACTATGTATTAAAACGGCAAGCTAGAAGAACGCGTTATTGTTCGGATTGATTGTTTGGATTATGATTTGTTCTTACATTGATCCCGCTTGTCGTTTGGCTTTCTGAACCCCGATGCAAGACGTCTGTTTCCTTTTATTCAGTAACAGAAAGTTTTATAATAATGTATAATAATTGGCTCGCTAGAAAAGTCTATTTTCCTTTAGCTACGTTTATCCGGTTTCATTTAGCTTGAGGGCAACATTTAGTAAATTGTGGAAATAATTGGTATTGCTCAAAGAACAGAAAATTACGGTGTCTTACAAGAAAATAAAAAAAACAAGTACATAGAACATGATTTTTGTTTGTTTGTGTTTGACCCTTGTGAGCCGCTGTAGGAAAAAGAAAGAAAAAGATTAGAATGTTAAACTACTGCAATTTTTAAGACTCGTGTTTAAAAGAAAACATTCAGTATTATACATTATTAGGTGATTTACTACAGACGTGTTTCATCATGAAAAGCCTTTGATGTCAAAATTAGTTGCTAAAAAAAAATTTGCTAAAGGAACAGGATACGTTCAAGATTTAACAAAAGAAGTATTTTCAACAATTTTCTCGTTCGTGGCAACTATGTTTGTTATGGCTGTCTCACACATCGCTACGAAAGAAATGCAAAAAAAGAAATGTCTTTTCCTAACGTCCAACACAATTTTTATTGCTTTTGTGATTTTGTTATGCGGAAATCAACAATAAAAGTGGTTTTGGCACTGCGTTTCCATGTTTTCCACATCGTAAATAAAAGATTTTTTGTCATAGAACAATTCATTGATGGATAACGTTAGTAGAATCTGCCCGACACCTAACAGTTAAAAATCACAATATTTATCATTTATGATAGCAATGACATACTTGACAGCAGTTACAGTATAGGGAATAAACAGTAAGACCACTTTTAGTGTGCGACTAGCTGCTGTATATTTAATTAGATTACTGGATGCAGTTAGCTATTTCGTCATTCCTATTAATCAAAAAAAGCAATTGACTGGCTGCCACTATGGTAATCACATGAGTAATAAGACATGCATGGCAAGAAAAAATTCAGGGGAATGGCTCTATTAAATATTTACTTTACTGAGTAGTAGCATTGTAGATTTTGTACCATTACGTACACATGGATTGCAACCAATATCCACGGAATTATGAAACAATGTTACCCGCCCACGACGGCTGGTGCCAACAATGTCACTGATAAAATATTCTTTTATATTTGACCACAACATGGCTGCCGTGACGTGACATACAAGTCACCTCTTCTGAAATGACAAACCTTCGCTAATCAAACTGATTCTACATGACGTATGTTTAAATAACAATATAACCTGATGAATGAATATTTTCTCCAGAGGACACAGTTTGCTAACACATTTCATGATTTATCGCAAGAACACCTTGTTTTTAGTATGCTGCAAAATTATTTTACATTTTGTCAAGTTGTGTAACGAATTTGCATTCGCTTTTATGTGGCAAATTATTGATAAGACTCATCTGCAAATATATTTAAAATTTAGGAATTTGAATTGTCAGTAGAATATACTAAACTTATTGTCGATTTCAGTTAACGTTTCAAATGGCGGTTGCCAAGTTACTTTCTAATGTTGCCAACTACATTTCCAAATATGGAATATTCGATATGAACTTGTCAACTTGAGTTGACAAGTTGTGTTCTTGAGTAGTTGCGAAGTACTGGCAAACGCTAAAAGGTCTTTGTACCCTGTAGACATTTGGCAATGAATCCGTGGCAACCGCCATTGAAAGCTTGGCAATGAAAACTTGGCAACCGCCATTGAAAGCTTGGCAATGAAAACTTGGGAACCGCCATTTGAAAAGTTAACTGAAATCGACAATAATATGTTATGTGCATTTCAAATAGTTAGGAATAAATATATTTCAGTGAATTTATTTAAGATATCAATGTTTATTTTGAACAGCCCATTGAGTCCAATGTCTCTCAAGTCTAATTAACATAATACATAAGTGGAGTAAATTGTCGACGTCTGGTCAAAAAAAACACATACTTTGCAACAATATAAAGTACATCATGCGTTCAAATATATGCTCGAAATCAATAAAAAGCTTTGAACACGGCGAAAAAATACTATAAGTGTTTCAAAGAAAGTCTAATTAATGTGGGAGGAATTGTCGCGCGCCAGGTCTATGACGCGTTCAAAAAAATCATAAATGCTCATGAATTAAAAGCTTTCAACGTGGCGAACATTAATGCTATAAGTGTTAATAAAGGTCTTTGAATTTTTAAAGCCATTGGGATTTTCTTCGGATTTTTATTTTACCAATAAAGCCTGGTTCACATATAACTGAGACATGACTGAGGCATTATTAAGGCAAGCCTGAGATGCTTTCTGATCTTGTGGCTGAGGCAGGACTGAGGCATGCCTGCTATGCTTTTCAATGACATAATTCAACATCGCCGATATAACCCACCGAAATTTAGCGGCAGTTTGAATTTGGCAAAATGGTGCTTCGTAATCTGAAAATAGCGATACCAATAGCGAATTATGCGGCCCTTTTAACAGTCATTTTAAAATACATCAAAGATGGGAGAGCCGTTTGACAAAGAGAGAAAAATTTGAATTTTACTCATTGATTTTTGTACTCTGGACACGATTTATCATAAATAGCCCGATAGTTGTGTATTGTATCCACAAGTTTTATTTTTATCGTGAAGTGATTGGGATTGTTCCATTAAGTCTTTTTGGTTCCATGTCCTGTGTTGAAAATTCATCCACCATCTTTTATCCAAATGCAGGATGGGAAATATTGCCACCGGTCTATCGCAGAAGCGTTCACATATAACATAAATAACCAAAATATGTTCTGTACACCGCCGTTCAGCCGCCGACATGCCGGGAAACTTGAACACAACTCAACTTTTACGGCATTTCGGCGGTATACTGCAGGTAACTCCTAGAACTACCTGAAACACCATTTGTGTGTCAGCGATGAGTGTTTACATTTGCTTTGAGAGCAACGCAGGCGTCGTCACAGGTATGCCTCAGCCAAGTCTCAGTCGGGAAGAAGCCAGTATAGCAAATTTTTTTCAACAGTTTTATCAATAATCATTCAATATTTATTATTGATCAATCTAACGTCAACTAAAAATGAATGTGGGACATAAGTGAGACATGAAATACTGTTAAACATCCCAACTTATCAAATGTAAGTATTTCCCAAAGCGGATTTTTATATTTTTATTCTTTACAAAGCCAGAGATGTAGAAAAAAATATGAAATAAGTCTTCGTCTCGTACAAAATCAAAAACCTGTTTAGTTTTAAAGACCCCATTTCCGACGATCTTATATCTTTACTTGCCAAAATGTAAATTCCTGTTGTATTGGTGAGACCACCCGACATCTAGCCACTAGGACTACAGAGCACTCCAACAAAAGCTCACACATGCGCAATCACTTACTGAAAATCTTAAATGAAAACCCAAATATACTCGCGCTTGCTTCTACCAACATTATAAATTTCAAACATTATAAATATCAAACCTAGACTGTCAACTTTGCAACTGTCTATTAGTTCAGGAAAAGCAGATATTAGCCTTAAATATTGTCAGTTTTGCCACCTTTCATAATGAAGTCCCCTCATTTAGTCTCGTAACTATATAAAGTTTCGGCGGAGTCGAATATCCAGTAGATTGGGTTCTAGGTCATGAATTGCAACTACTTAAGGCATATAATCGCTAAATTTTCATCGTCTTGTTGAAAGCAGGGGCGAAACTAAAACGTTGATTGGCGGGGTTGGTAAATACTCATATATTCAGCTGTGCCCTGCTGACTTCTTTTTAGGCGATGTTAATTTGAAAAGAAGTCAGCAGGGCAGAGCTGAATATATGAATATTTACCTCCTCAATTAGTGTTCTAGTTTTGTCCCTCGTTGAAGCTTCTGATTGTATATTTTTTGCCCATATATGTATATCCAAATCTACAAACGAGCATTGATCAATGAACAAGAAGTAAATCAGAAAACTTTCAGTACGCAAAAGTAATCAGATGGTGTAAGGTAACATTGAGGATATACTGCATGATAAAATGTCTGCAGGTACGTAAAATTACATTCACTCTAAGTACATCAAAGTTCATAATGACTGTATACTCATTCAAAGAAGTTATATATATTACACGATTAGATGGATGCAGACTTCTTTGGAGACACTTTTAGGAATTGTGCTTTTACATGGTTACTCGACTTCGGTATTGTGTAAATGGTGTTATAACCAGTAGCGTGTTGGTAGGGAGGGGCATTGTTCCCCAGCTGTCAATTTTATGGGGGTGCAGCAATCAATCTAGGTGCCGAATTTCGAAATTGGTTGCAAAAAATGCATTTAAAATAATGCACTTGTTTGAGTCTTATTTTCGAAAATATGCATTTACAGATTCACACATTTAGGCGATAAATTGATATAACAAATTTCCGACCTTTTTCTCTAAACGCACTGCACTTGCTACCATACATGAGATTATTTACTTCAAAACATGATTGACAATAATAAATCTTTGATAAAGTCTAACCCCTATTTTCATGTCTCTCGATAAGGAGCAGATTATTACAACATTTGGAAGTCTCACATCAGAATTAATCAAAGTCCTTGAATAAAACTGTTGATCGTTATTGAAAAAACAATTATACTATTTCAACTTTCAAGCAAAATTAGTAAACACGTTAAAGAAGAACACCTTTCATTAATTTTGTCGTCGATAATTAATTTGAAAATAACAAATAGAAAATATACTGAGAGATTGTATTATGCTATAAAATTGTCATAGAATAAAGATTTATAGTCAAGCCAGTATCTATTAATTTAAGTACTAATTAATCGGTCTGAATATATTTTCGATATGTTACAATGCCATCTCTTCACCAATACATTTATGTCAAATCATACCCCCAAAGTCCGGGAAATGATTATTCAGAGCTTCTAAGTTTAAAGGTTTTCGGGATGAGCATGCCCCTTGACCTACCCAGCAATTAAACCCTTGCAACTACGCGGCTTAGCACGGGTCTTCGGCCCTCGCTTCTTAAATTTGATAATTATGGCGCATTTTTTAACGGTCACCCCAGATAAAATGTTCTTAGCACATCACTGGTTAAAGCAATCCATTTTACCAAGCGCAAATTTTTCACTAATAAGGCACCACAAAAGTCGGTCCAAAAACTTTGAACAACACTGACGAACTCTAAGTTCTGCCGAAACGAGACCAAAATCCTTACAGCCGTGGTTAAACGAGAGTTATTGCCGTATGCGTCTGACGTTGCTTGCAAAACGCATGTAGTCGTTAGCAAGTTGTTCGCTCTGTCGTCCAAAAGATCGCAATAATACAAATACAAAATTGACTGATATCAGAAAAAAATTCATGATTTAAACGGAATTAATTCAACTGTTATGTAGATGATAAATTTGTGTCATGTACTTTATATATACCTCTATTGTGATGTCTTTGTTATTGTCCTTGTAATTATTTTCAAACTATTAGGCAATCTGTAATAGCCTGATTGATGATTTACAATAAATAAATAGATTAGGTTACATCTTATTTCATCACTTTCTTTCAGTAGAAAGCTTAATAAAGTCGTGTAGTTTGTCTAGTTTCAAATAGAAACGCCCACAAAACCTTTACTTTTTACCTTTCGATCATTGGGACACAACAGCTGAAGATTTTTGATGAAAAAAATTGTATAGTGCTACAGAGGGTATACAGAGTTAAATGCTTCAATTTTTGTATTTTGCTTCAATTCTTGTATTTAACTATCTGCAGTTGTTTTTATTGGGTTTACTACAGGCTAATACCTCAAAAGACAACATATTGATTCGCTTAAAAGAAAATTCCATTTTATTTTCTTATTATGAAATTACAAGCCTGTTTCACTCAATAGTGAACAGTCGAATATTTGTAAATTAATTAATAAGAAACCAAATTGCTTTTGAAAGCTGCAAGCACGGAAAAATAGCTAATGCCTATGGTACCAATTCAGTTAGTTGAGGTATACAAACAAAGAAATATGAAAGTGAACTACTTTTTATTGTTTATTATTCGTCTATTTCTACTAACACTAATCATACTCTAATCAAATGCCCTAATGGCATATGTTGTTTAGTTAATACTACTTCGTTTTCACGAACGTTTCGTTTTTGAGTCGTTGTTTTTTGCGTTGTTCACTTTAGGTCAACATGACTTAGACTTTTTCACTAGGTAGTAACCACCATGTGAAGAGCGATAGCAACATTTCATACTTCTTGAGTTGTATGTCCGGTTACCACAACAGGATGAACCATTACGTCGATAGAAAAGATTGTACCCACAACAAATGTGGGTAGAAGAATTGTAATTTGCACTTCCACAACATGAAGTACCAGCTGATTTTGAGCGCATGTAACCAGAGCAACAGACGGATGTTCTGTTGTCGTAAACACCAGAACCACAGCATGCAGTGTCGGAAGAATAAGATTTTGACAGGACATTGTTGTAACAGCATATCTGAGAAGATAATTGGTACAAGGAAGATCCACAGCACTGGTATCCAGAAGAACCATTAAGTACCTTACCATTGCAACAACTTTGAGAACTTGAATTGTAGTTATGACTTCCACAACAAGATGTCCGTCCTCCAGATTTACTTAAGATGTTTCCTCCACAACAAATGTGCGAACCAGAGTTGTAAGGACGAGATCCACAGCAACTGTTTCTCATGCCCTTAAAAAACAGATTATTTTTGCAGCAGATATTTATAGCTGGGTCATAGTTCTGTCCTCCACAACAAGATTTTCCTTGTGATTTTGAATAAACTTTGCCTCGGCAACAAATGGATAAAGTTGAACTCATTGGAGTTCCATAATAATATGGGCTATTGCGCATGCCCCATGGCGTACAGCAATTGGAGCCAAACGATTTTGGGTACAAGCGGTTTCCACAGCATGTGTACCTCAAGGGAAAGTAATTTAAAGAACCACAACATTCGTTTCCGACAGACCTAAGTTGCAAATTGTAGTTACAACAAATGTATTTTGATTTGATGTAATTCTTAGAACCACAGCAGTGAGAACCAATTGAACGAGGTAAAATATTTCCATGACAGCAGACTTTATTGGATGGATTATAGTTTAGAGAACCACAACATAAAGAACCTGAACGTTTTGAAAGGACTTTTCCTAAACAGCAAATTTGTTTGCTCGTATTATAACTTTGACTCCTACAGCAGCGAACCCCGTCTCCTCCAGAAAAAAGATTGTGGTAACAGCATGTCTTAGAATTAGGAAAATAAGCTTTAGAACCGCAACAAGATGAACCATGAATTCTTGAGATAATTTTGCCATTGCAACACAAATGACTTTTACTATTATAATTACGTGATCTGCAACATGAGGATCCGCGCCATTTGTAAAATATGCGACCATTGCAACAAACTGATAACGCATGATTATAAACTTGATTGTGACAGCAAGAATTACCTCTCCTTTTACTGTGAATCTTACCATTACAACAAAGTTGTGAATAACTGTTATAAGAGTGAGAACCACAACAACTACCACCAAGAAACCGAGATTGAATCACTCCACTGCAACACACATGAGAAGCACTTTTGTAATTTTTAGAACCGCAACATACATCACCTGATGACTTAGACAGAATGTTACCACTACAACAAACTGAACTAGAAGGATTGTAATTTATTGTACCACAACAAGCAGAACCAAATCTTTTGCTTAAAATTTTTCCATTACAACAGACTTGAGAGGAAGGCTGGTAGTAGCTTCTTCCACAACAGCGAGCCTTAGAACTGTAGATTATCTTACCATTGCAGCAAATTGCTTTGGTTGGATCATAGACTTCAGAAGCACAACATTGAGAGTGGGAAGGAGCAAAATGATGAAGCTTGCCACCGCAACAAACACCCATAAATGGATCATAGTTCTTAGAACCACAACAAGCAAAACCATTGGCTATAAATGGATATTTCCTTGGCAGCAAACAAAGTATGAAGGATTAAAGTTTTTATTCCCACAACAATTCACCCCGTAACGACGTGAAAGTACTTTTTTTGCACAACATACTTCAGTTTTGACATTATACAAACGAGAACCACATGTTCTAGACAGCGGCTTTCCTAAAAATTTCATAAAAACTAAATGGAATAATGTGAAAGCTTGTATTGTTATCCAATCAGTATTTATTGTTTTGTGTTAAAGTAGATTTAAGATCTGATAAGAAAATTTTTATAGGATTTTTTTATTCCTGTAGAGGAGCTCATAGTACAAAAAATTGTCTTAAAGTAAAGACAGTTTATGCATGATTATGAAATGAACTCTGCAACTCAGGTGGATATGACGTGGTATAAAAGTACTTTAGACTTTAAAAATGACTATGACGACTGAAAAACTTTCCTATGATTTCATGGCGTTTCTGGACATAATAACCAGGACAACAATATTTTCCCATAATTTTGCATTTGACTGGTTGTTAATGACTACAAATGCCTTCATCAAAACAAAATTTCATCTCCAAAATGAAGTAAATCAAAAATTTCTAGCAACGGAAGCGTACTTGCAAGTCTAAACGTGTTACTATTACAACGCTGTAGACTTTAAAAAAAATTTATTGGGACGATAGTATGTTTAAAAATAAAAGAAAAAGGAATATGCGTTGGTAGATGTGCCTGAAATCTTTTTGAAGACATTTTTGCATGAGATTTCAAAGAAAAACTTGTGATAACATGAGCAGTTTAAAAACCAAAATAATTTGCTTGACACTTTTGACTGAGTACATGACATAAAAATTTAACAATATTCGTGCAAACTTTACCACAAACCTTTCGAACATTCTACTCCAGCATCTTCATGATGGCGGCAATTGTGTATTCCCCATTTTTCATGTTTACATTTGGCTATATTTGCTTCATTTCCAGCACAATGAACATTATCTAACCAAATTTTTCCTTTTCCGTCAGGAACAGAACTTCCTTGAAGAGCTTTAAGGGCTTTACCTAGGCCAAGTTGACGACAAACAACCATGGCATTTTTTAAATCCCAGCTATCGTCACACACTGTTCCCCACTCACTGCCATAAAAAACTTCAACACGACCACTGACATTAGAACCTTTTATTCCTCGAAGTCTAATGGCATCTGAAGGCCCTGCAAAAAGAAGAATTTTTGAATCAAAGCAGAAACATAACTTACAGAATAGACATTAATTTTTTTTAATTATTAGAAAATATATATCGAAATTACTCCTTAATTAAACTTGTTTTCTTACCCAAGCATAATGTTCCATTTCCGAAAAAGCCAACTTTACATTTACATGTAAATGATCCGTTTGTATTTGTACATATTGCGTTTTTATGACAGTTATCAATAGAACGTAAACATTCATTGACATCTACAAAATGCAAAAATAAAATTAACGATTTTCACCACTACTGTTGGCTTGAAATCCATACAGCAAAAAGACTGTTACATGTTTTTAGATAATGTCATCATTTGATGTTTTAAAACAAGAACGATTTTTCCACTGACGAAAGAGCTTGGAGAATTTGATGCAAACTAAGCTATGTTGTCACTAAACAAACCTTTGGCGCAACATTTTCCTTTCCAACCTTTTCTACAGATACATCTACCATAGGTTGGTCTTCCTCCATTTTGACATTTATTTCTGTTGCATGCCTTGTTTGGATGAAACTATATGGACAACGTCCACCACAACATTCTGTCACCCTCTTTCCTCTTGTTCGCTTCTCTATACCTGCATTACCACATTGATGATTACAAGAACTCCAGCTGGACCATTGACCTGGGACACAATTTCTGGGAGGTGGAGGCCTTCGTCGTCTACGTCTACGCCAAAAATCCCGCCACATCATGCAATACCACGAGAAACACAAGCATCAGAAAAAGTTTCATATTTTATCAAGAAATTCTGAAAAAAAGATTTAAATGATCATCGAATGCAAAATCTATAAAATGTGTATTTATAACATTCATTGTGTGATTTGATTCATCGCGATCTTCGAGTTCTTTGAAGAAATCATAAGAAAACAAGTGATCCCTAATGTCTACCGTCAACTTCGTTACTTGATATTCTAGTATGTATCACTGACCTGTATATAATTACTTGGATGAGAAATCCACATCCAAATTACTATATTTTATTAACGCGCGGCCGGGTATCAAAACATGGATGCCGTAATACGAAGTATGGCAAATTTTGGGGAAATGACGTGGCCTCATTCAATGAAAAGTTTTGCACTCCCCCGGAATATTTTTAAATTTCATATATTTATTGCGTCGTAACAGCAAGTCGTATATTTCGAAACTTTCTTTCTAAAATGCCAAAATATTGCGGTACCTGGGTGCCAAAATAGTACTGCATATAAAAAGTTTTCAATGCACCGGTAGGAAAGAAAGAATATAATTTTATGAATGTACTTATTGCTTTTACTATTCAGTGCCGTCGCTTTTTTTACAGTTACTTTTTCGCTTTTTGCAATCGCTTTTTTTGCTTCATTTTCTTTAATATTTTTCTCATTTTAATTTATCTTTTATCATTACAGTTGATGATTATAGTCGATGGTTTCTATTTGGTGTTTTGTCAATGTTTTCACCACCACTCTTCTTTATTTCAAAACTTTCTTTGGCAGGCTAAAAAGTAGCAGAAGCTCGTTTTATTTGATAACAAATTAACATGACGATCAAAACAACAAAATTTGTGTTGAGGTTATTAAATAAGTAAAATGTGTAGTCCTGTATCAAAGTAAAAATACAAAACGAAAACTCAATGAATCGTGTAATAAATTCTTTATTTTCAATTTTTTGATTTGTCAACAATTTATATAACACAAGACTTATAAACATATCACCAATACCTTCACTTCAGGTATAGTAAAAACTGCATAATAATATAATGGGAAAATATCCAGCTAGTTATTATTTAGGTGCAACAATTCTCAGCAAAAATAAAAAAGTTGAGCCTAGAATGTAGATGGCTGAACAAGAAAGTAGACAACACGACTTTCATATAAGGAGCAATCGGGATTCGGCAAACCAAGTCAAAAATCATCAAAACTGAAGAGTCATTACATTTTTGTCGTATGAATACGCGTCCATCAATTCCGCAATTTTGCACTGATTCGATAAACAGAACAAATACTTCACAGCCACGTTTCGAAATAAAAAGAAGTTGACCTAACGCTAACCAACCCACCAAAACATTTGTCTTTTACAGTTTACAAACAATACTCAGTTGTCTAGTACTCAATTTTAGCTCAGCCACACTGGGGGAGTGAATAATAAAAATAATTTTTCAAGTGGAAGTTTTTCACCAAAAATTTAATTGTGGCATCCATATTTTTGATACCCGTGTCCAGACCCTTTTCCCTCCAGGTAATTTAGTAGAACTCAATGGTATGTATATGTAATAGGATAGTTTCGAGGGCAATTTGGAAAAAACATGCACGAGTGAGTTTTTCAAAGCCTATCATGAAGTCTTTGAAAAACTCGCGAGTGCATGTTTCCCAAATTGCACGAGAAACCATGCTATTACATTTTAATAATATACATGAAAAAATTTCTAAATTCTGTTGACTTTTAACTTCACCGTGCGTTCATTTCAGCCGGCGAGTTTAATCATCCGATCGACCGGCTCGTATTTTTCAATTCCGTCGGATATTACTTTTCACAACACCATAGTTTCCGCACACTCAGCTCTTGGACAAGGTATCTACTTTTAGCAGTATTGCTATTTTCATCCAGAAACACTTTGCAAACGGTGAACTGTAAACTCGTTTGCTAAAGAAAATCCTCTTAAAACGTACGCCAGCCGTTGTAATTGCTTTGTTTACAATAATTTAACTTTCCCGCCTTTGAAACGTTTTAATTTGATTGGCTCTTAGATTATTTCTTTGTTTGACTAACCAATGAAAAGCAGCTTTGAAGTGAAATCAGCACTGGTGTTTCGCTTTTTTGCACTGGCGTTTCGCTTTTTGCACAGGTGTTTCAAATTTTTGCACTGGTATTTAAGAAAAACTGCACTGCTCTTAACCAATCAGAATTGGGAAATTTTTTCATGTATATTATCATTCATGAAACAATAAATGAGGTGTCAGATTGTCAAGTGATGGGGGTTAGTGGGGGAGGCGAGCGACTCCTGACAAAATCACAATTAAATATTATTTAACAATCAAAAATTTATGGGAAATCAAATTATGAGCTCAGAACGTATTGGCAGCTTAAATACCATTATTGTATGACTTCGCAATTTCAGTAGCTAAGGGAGGCGTACGTGACAAATTAACATAGACTCTTCTATTATGAAATTCTAAGTGAACATTGCTCCATGTATAAAGAAGTCGCAAGTCGGAAATATAAATTGATAAATACGATCACGTATTCAACCTATTTCTGGTGAAGCAAGGCGGGCACCAATGAATGATTGACAAAGGGCCCCAGCCGTTGCATTTTACTAATATATCTTAGACTACGGACGTAAATATTAACAAAAACGATAATGTGGTGTGATGTCTAAATAAAAATATCTTATTGAAAAACATGTAGTTTGAGCTTTTGAGGCAATATAGTTAATACAATGAAGTATTTCTGTGGTTGTCGATGACTAAATATTTACATTTTATAAAGACCACAAAGTACAAATTAGTATCCCTTACGCATGCACAGTTATACACTCAGCTAGAAAGAAAATAGAAAAAAATTGCATTTGTTTAGTATTTCTAAGATTTCAAGGCAAATATTTTGCATAGCCACTCACAGAGATAAGCTTTGAGTATGAAGAGATTTATTTCGCAATGATTAACGAAAGGATTTGCATCATCATCAGAAATAAAAAGAGATGAACGCTTGTCAACTTTGTTGATTTGGCGTATTTGCAGTGTTTTATGTCATTGCAATTATCTACCATCCAAGATACGAACTGTAAAGTTTTTGCCCTCAATGAACGCTGACAAAAATAGATGTATAAATTTGGCTAAACTAAATTATTGGGCATAGTGTATAAGTGATGTTTTGGTAGTTATATTCCTAAAATGCAAAGCGATTAGACGATGCAATAGTCGTATTTTATCGGACAAAACCCTCAAATTATCGAACACTCGTGTATAGGGTGAGATTTTAGATCATGAAAACTATTATTTGCTTCATTTAGCTAATACATCATACCTGTTCGTGTAGACTGCAAGAAAAATGAATGAGCTTATGAAAAATCCAAGAACAACAATGCTATGTGAGTGAAGCTTCTTCAGTCGACTTTGTGCTGCTTGGGAGTAGATCATTTTATTTTATATGCTTGCACCTTCCTAATGCAGGAAGTATACAGGCCACAAAGTTTGCTAAAGGAAGCCACAGGAGCTGCTGAAGATCGAGGCACATAACAATAAAAGAATACATGATTCGTGGCTTCTCTCATCTTTCTGGCGCTGCCGACACCGTTTAACTTTCGATAAGGCGCCATTGTCTGGCAATAATATGAGATAACGAATTTTTTGAAAAATGATTTTTGACAGCGTAATTTGATCAAAACTAAAAGTAGAAAAGGCAAGCCAATAATTCAAATCCTTTCTTTGCCAAAGAAATCAATTACAAAGAAATGCAGAGGAATGCAATGACATGATTAGACTTAGCAATTAATAAAATTGCAAAAGTGATAACCAATTTATTTCAAAATCGTCTTGTATTGGTTTGGACTCAGGTTATTAAAATGCACATTTCTTGAACAAATTGTTGTGTTTGTTTTCTGATGCTTTGAAAATGAATTAGCACGTCGAATCGATCGACTTAAAAATAGATATCCATAAACACTGTCTCTCTAATCAAACTGTCTCTTTGTCAACAACAAAAGACAGACTGCGATGTGGATTTTGTATGGGGCAGGAAATTGCTGAACAAACATATCTTTCGTTGTGGCATTTAGAAATCAACTCAAGCCTGACAATCCATTTATAGCTTGATTTGCTTCTTCTTCTTCTGATAAAAATAATGGATATGACAGCATTTTGGTGGTGTATTTGGTTACATAGACAAAGCTATGCATAAGCGAAGCAAAATGAAAGCTACTTTGATAAAGAATTTGCTTTCCACACAGACTGTGCATGTGGTCATAAATTAATGTAAAAACTTTTGTTCAGACTGTAACAAACAACATTCATTTAACATACATAAATGCTAAACTTGTGGTTTTCTGTCTTGAGCTTATGCACATATGAATTTCTTTGATATAAATATCGTATGAATTATGAAATACCGCATCCAATAAAAAATCAAATTTAAAAAATGTGTTGAGTAAAACATGTTTTTGAATCAACTAAAATTGAACGTACAAATACATTTAAATGGCCATACTTGCACACTGTTTTGTCCATTATAAACAAAATTTAACCGTATTCAACATTTATATGCGTCACATCCAGCAAGCAATTAAGACTTGATTATTCATATTGTAACAAAGATCATTTGGCATCCGGATCGACTATGCTCTTGTACGACGCGTCCAACCTATAAACGGTTAGTGAATAAAGAAATATTATCTTTTCATTTGTGTCATTTGCTTGTTATAACTGAACTATTTTACGAAATATTCGTTCTATGTTTCTTTGAAATCAATAATAGACAGCTTTAGAAAACACAACGCGACGTCGACGAGGACGTATTAGAGAGCTTTAGCAAAGAGTACGAGTACGACTACGAACACGAACTACGTCCTTTTGACGCGAAAACATCGTTGCGACAACAAAAACACGTAGCCGTGATCAATCTGAGTACGATGTTTTGTAAAAAATTCGTAGTCGCGAGTACGATGTCTTTTTAAGCAAAGAAAGTAAGTATATTTTTTCATTTTGTTAAAAATTAGTTTACAGTACTATTTTCGAGCATCCAGGCTTTACTTTAGAACCTTTTTTTGAGCGCATATGTACATTTAAAAGGAAAATATGACCTTGAAAACTTTCATGCATTTCGTACGCAAAGTGAACGGTAAACAAACAATAAAATAGTATAAATATATCGTACATAAAATTTAAAATAGTGAAGATTTTTTACTCTAAAGAGTCCTGTGTTCTTGCAAAATCAGTATTACCGATTAGTTGATATCATTATTGACAAATGGAGCCTTAGATGCTTCGCAAACGTCGGTGTTTTACACAATAAAAAGGCTCGTTCTGTTGTTTACAACTAAAGCAAAATTTTGACGAAGCGACAACGACAACAAACTTCCTTGTGCCATTCCCTTACACGGTCAAACTTCGTACTCGTTGTCGTAGTCGTACTCTTGCTACAGCTCCCTATTGTCAGAAGTCGCTGAAAACTAATGCGCTGTTGTGACGTCACGTATATTTCCGTAGTTGCTTGCTTTTAAATTAAAGATGGCTTTCTTTGTTCAATTTTATTTATTTTCGAAGTAATTTAAGGAGGGTTCTGTAGAGAATTACGATGTCATATAAAGTTCATTCTCTATTAAACATATGAAGTATTTGTTGGTAATGAAAAAAAATTGGTTACAGCATTAGGTCAGGTGACTGCGTGAATACCTCTCAGCAATCAGTAACGCCAAACGCAAGTGTTTCAAATATCATAAAATGAAAAGCTGTTGTTGACGCTATATTTTAGAAATACTGTAACATACTTTACTCGTAGTCGAGTAACCAAACACCACAGTCATACCATTTTACTTAATGTTTGATGAGATAAATCATTACCCGACATTTAATGTAATTTGTTGAAGCTTTTAAGAGATTGCAATCATGAACATTCGTGTATTGTAAAAGTTCTTTTTTTTTACACAACAAAAGAATATTTATAATTAAATGCAATTGTGAACTACACAGACAGCGTTAAGTCGAATTAGGATAATTTGCATTGAACAAGAAAAACATGAAATAACTAAAAAAAGACAGAGCGTCATCCTCGTTGTTAAAAATACAAAATATGTCGTCTATATTATTATAAGCACCACTTCTTGCCCATCTTTTAACCTAACATATTGTATTACAGACGCTAGGTAGGTGACAATTTTGTAAAGTAAAGATGAATATCTTGTTCATAACTTCATATATGGGTAAACTATCACTACTATTAATGGAGAACGCATGTACGAACAAAAATCTTTTTACTTCATGGTATCTATTTTACATGGATTCGAAATATCACGACTGAAGGATACTTATTTGAAGTTCACAATTATTGTAAACTAAAGTGAAAATCTATGAACTAGGCTGCTAAAACAATGTAAAATGCAAGCAGTAAATATTCTTTGCCAATTAAAACGGTCAACAATCTGATTTAATTCTGTTATCATGCAGTAATATTTATTAACTAACTTTACGTAATATGCAAAGATGACAACTATCTCTTCATAATAAAGTTCCGAGTGTCCATGCAATATACTTCTCTGTAATTCTTAATTATTTCTTGAGTCTATTTTTAGCCTTTAGAGACTTAGAGTCTATGAAATCAGTTGAGCAGACAGCCTCCTGCAGTGTTACTTGTGTAGATTTTTGATGTTATCTTCTCGCTGTATCAAATAGAAAACTGTCACGAGTTTCTTTGCATAATTGAAAACTATTATCCTTTCTAAGAGTTCAAGACCATTTACGAATTTTACATGGAGCAATTTTAGCGAGTAAAATTTAGTAAATTTTAAGTTTAAAGTCTTTCTGCAAGAATATTCACTTGCGACAAATATGAACACGAGGTCATGAAGTAATAACAACATTTGTAGTAACTCAGTTCTCTCTATCTTATTTACTTCATGAAAACAATATGTATACAGTCAATGCGAAACAAAGTTTGTCACATATATGTGTAAATAAGTCCCCATAAAAAATACGAAATAATTTCACACAGCGATAGTTTCGATATTTATTTACTTTAATATAGACTAATTCTGTTGTCATATTTTATTTTGTGGCTGTGATTTTTGCCTACATTGCACTTACATCTAAACTGGTTAACCTGAAAACGCACAACACTGTCAGTGGATTCTCAAATAAAATAAACATGCAGGTGTAATAATCGAGTGAAATAGTATACATAAAACGTTTAAAGTATTTTAGTTTGCTTGATTATCATACCCATGCACTTCGTAAAGATAAACATTACACAGTGCATTAACTATTCCAATTATCTATTGATTACCAACAATATTACCATACAATATATCCAGAAAAGACGTAGACATAAAATTTGCCATTTCTATTATCACTGTTCATCGTGGCACAGAAAACATATAAACGTATTACATAAAAACTACACAAAACTCTATCATTTTAAAATGATATTATTGCATATTGAACTCGACTTTTTGAAAATACTCATTGCTGACGTGCCTGACAAAAATGTTCCTGCTGTTTCTGAAACAATTCTGTAGGAGACTACAGAGAAATCCCAATATCGTGTTATTTTCTCAAAAGTTAACTTTACTTGCCAAGAAATGCCGAGATTTCCATTCAAGATTAGCATCAACTTGTTCGTCTTCTTCAGCAAACGAACAACTTGGGCGATTACAAACATAAATAGGGAGCTTTAGCAAGAATACGAACGACTCATTGAGTTCTATAAGGTCTTTTATCGCTTCCGCATAATCATAACAAATCGAAATCCAAAGGAGGTTCTGGGGCTAATGACCTCTGTTTTCTGTGCGCATGACATTAAAGAGTACTCTCTTTTGGGTAAAAATTGGCAATGTGTGAAAGCACATGCCGATTTATTAAAATAGAAATAACAAGAATAGCATAATCTAAATTAATTATTTTACACAATTTAAACAAAAATCTTTACGAATAAAGTTTTTCAGTATAGCATAGAAAAGGTGGGGTGCTAAAAACGCCATCCCGGAAACAAGTCTAAATGGTACATGCAAAATCGACAGAGAGAAAGGGAGAGAAAGAAGGGTGGATTTTTCGATAAACTTCACCTGGCGACGGCCACCTGCTGAATGATATGTGATTTGTTTGTGCATAACCTCTAAGTCAAGGCTAACACCTGTGCACGTGAATCACACTACGTGCATGTGAACAAAATGCAAATAACTGTAGCAAACAGCCTGTTTGCTTTTGCAGCGTCCGCAATGAACCTTGGACTCCATGACCTTAGCACGCGGACTGCTTTGGGTAAATAACAACAAACTTTCCCAGTACTTTTTTATATGTTAATAGTGTGTCCCACCCTCTCTTTGTTTCCCCTTGATTAACATATCTCCTATTTACAATTTAAACTACAAAATAACCAGCGGAAGCAATAAAATTATTATTCGCTTATGCAAATAACTCCTATAGAACTCAATGGAAGACACGGGTCGCAAAATTCGACAGCGTCGAAGTTTGATGTGTCGTTCGACGAAAGCCAATTTAGATGTCGCGTTTTCGTCGAATAAAACTCATGGCATTATATGCGACGAATTAAATCCGACTGAAATTCAACGTATAAACTGGGCCTAATTGACCTTTTGCAAAAGTTAATGTTTTTCGTCCGTTCAAATGAATATTGCAAAGTTTTCGATTTACAACTACAAAATTTCCATTTGTAACTCAAGTTTTGTTACAGTGGCACGTTTTTCCATCATTCGTATGTATTTTCGGAGTTTTTTCGAACTTTGGTGAAGACTCTCGATGCTCAAAGCTTGCTGTTTAACTATTTCCCTTGACTCTTCGATACTCTTGCGCGCTTCATCCATTTCAGCTTTAAACGATGACCACGTACACTTAGATTTTCGAGGCAAACATTTAGTTCTATCACAATTTTTACTTTTCACTGAAATCTGTGACATTATTTAGTTTATCTGCATCTAAAGTTTTGCTTTAAAAATGTCGAAATTGTCAGGACTCGGGAGTAAGAATAGCCACACCACACATATTTTGATCTTTCATTTCAACAACGAACCGAAGGTGTTTGAATTTTTAAAGCCATTGGGATTTTTATTTTACGAATAAGATGTTGGAATTCTTCATATGGATTTTAACAATAAATCCGTTATTGTAATTATTACACAACAGTTCTTTTATTTCAAAACATATAGCTTGTCGAATTTTAATACAAACCGAATTTGTATCTTGTTATCGTGGGGGCGATAAGCAAAATTTTATAATATATTATAAAATAAACAACACGAAATGTCATATTTGGCGCCATAAATAAGATGTTAAGTTTGTTGCAACCCTGCTTCAAATTGGTCGTGTGCAACCATTCCCCTGGGAGTAAGACAGCAATGGAATGTTCGCCATGTTGACAATGGATGACATTTGCATTGTAAATAAGGAAAACTTTTTAAATTCATCCAACATGGCTGCTATGACGTACTTGCACACCAACAATTGGAGTCATTAATTTTCGTTATGGCGTAAAAGTTTAGTTGTTATATGCATCAATTTTAGGCTTAAAAATATGTGCTATTTTATCAGAGATTTAAATTTGTATAAGAAAAAAATACTGTTTTATCAAATAGTCCTGGTTGTCTTTTTTCGAAAATGTTGCATGTGCAAAATTTCTGTAAAAACTCCAATGACATTAGTTACTTGCATATACAAAATATTTTGGTACAGTTTTCATCCGGTTCTTACCATAGGATACGTTCATATTCTGTACTTGGTCCAAAGCAGTAAACAAAGTGGTAAATTACTGCTGAGCATTCTTGAAAATTATATATACGCGTCACAAAATTCTGTTTCATCTTGTTCACTATTACAATTTATAAAAGCTTTACAAAGTATGTGGCAGTAACCCTTTATTACTCATTTTGCATAATCGACATGACTGACTGGCAAAACTTGAATTTCTAAAACATAGCCAGTAAATAATAGACTTGTAATACATGTACTGCACCCCTTTCTGGTTACTGCTCTGTTCACCGAACTTTGGCGGTCAATAGCTCCCTCTCCACCCCAAAAATTTCGATAACATTTAAAGAAATTCAATAAATATCACTAAAAGGTCAATGGGAACAGAATGTTTAGTTTGGTCATATGAATTCGCTAAAATGTTATTGAATTTGAGCTTTTACATCAACTAATCTAATTGACCTTCAGCAAATGTTAATGTTTTTTTTCCGTTTAAATGAATATCCAAAGTTTTATTGATGTATCGCATCATGTTATTGAATGTTCATTCTTGTTTAACGAAAGGCAAAAGGTCTATTAATATGAGAATTCGTTTTCCGCCAGGAATTTCCTTGTTTACTATTCTAATTCCTGATTTGAAACAAAACGTCATGAGCTTGGTCCCTTATGTTCCTTTTCAATAGTACATACGTTTTAAAACTATTTCTTCAATATCAGCAATCACAGTGTCCTCCTTGTTGTCCACAGCAAACATGTGGGTCAGCGGTAATTAAACCATGACATAAACATTTCTCAGTCTTTACATGTTTTTTACATCCACCTTTACAACGTCGCAAGTCATGTGACATGACGTCATCTAAATTAAATGTCAGACTGAGACGTTTATCAATTTTGAAAGGTTTGAAAATGGGAGTATTGATTCATGTTTGTTGACGTAAATCACCCAGGTAGTGAAGTCCTAAGGACTGTTGATGTTGTTGATTGACGTTTATGCTGCAGGATGTGAGGAGTGAAGGATAAAACGTCAGTCAACACCAACATCAACTGTCATTCTCAGGACTTGATTTACAACTACAAAATTTCCATTTATAACTCACGTTTTGTTACACTAGCACGTTTTTCCATCATTCGTACGTATTTTCGGAGTTTTTTCGAACTTTGTTGAAGATCATCGATGCTCAAAGCTTGCTGTTTAACTATTTCCCTTAAATCTTCAATACTTTTACACGCTTCATTCAGTTCAGCTTCAAACAGCGATGCCCACGGGCACTTAAATCTTCCAGGCAAACATTCACTTCTATCACAACTTTCAATTTTCAATGAAATCTGTGACATCACTTAATTTATCTGCATCTAAGACTTTGCTATAAAAATGTCAAACTGTCAGGACAAGAATAGCCACACCACAAATATTCTTCGTCTTTCATTCCAACAACGAGCCAAACGAAAAGCTTTATGTGACGTCATTAATTAAATGAACAATTAAATATTGACAAACTATTAGATTCCCCTCGAACATCAGACTCTCCAAATCGAGTACCACTACTAATAGTCTTTAAAAAGCAACCAAAAATTACTTTAGTCGTTTCGTTGTGTTCAACCTCTTTCCCTACAACATTTATCATCACAAATTTAATTACAGCAATTCCGTGTTTCTGAATTTCAAATTTTCTGATGATGCGTTATTTTCCTAGTTGGCTGTAAGATTTGGCTGCAAAAATACCATTAACAACCATGATTTAAAAAGGATATAAACATGATACTTATTTTCTTTTCTTTTTCTTTTCAACACCATAAGCAAGCAGTCTTGATGAGGACAGTTTTGATATTTTGTCAGATTTTGCTCCATGAAAATAACGCATTACTCGACGTTTCTTGTTTATTTCAAATCGATCATTGACAGATAATTTTTTATTTCCCCTCCATCGCCATTTTACATCACCTGCGGTTTTCTTCGTAACTTCTTTAATCCGAGATTTCATTAAATGATTTTTTCTTTTTCTGTTGTTATTAATGTCGTCATTTTCTTCTTTATTATCAATCCTATTAAACAAAGATTTGTTATACAAGAGCATTAAACTATTGCACTGCAGATGACTCAGAGTTTCAGTTGACGAAGAGAAAAACGTATGATTCGGTGCATAATTTTAATTCCTAATTGTTTTGTTCATTAAGTAAATGCCTGTGTAAGAAAGTCCATCTTCAGTAAATGATTAAAATTTGTGCCATATTACAACAATGCAAGCAGATATTCAATTTAGCAAATACTAACCAGTGATTTCGCCATACACCTTATAATAACCTTATAATAACCTTTAAATACAATACCTCACATACAACATTAAAATAGACGTGATATAAACAAGTTCGAGTAAAAATGACTGCAACAGTGTGTAGCTAGAAATTGCTAAAGTTTACAGGTAAGATTAATTATTTACCTTTGATAATACACTCACAGTAAACATTGATTGCTAAGCTATACCATGCATGATTTGTTTTTTAACGATAAAGAAAATTTCCTGGTAACATTGTTTAAGACATTGCGTGTAGAGAATTTTTGTAGTCTAGAAGAGAAGTAAATAATCCTGAAAAATATAGCCTTAACAAAGTACTTTACCCTGAAACAGCAAGAGACTTGAGAATCATCATTTTCTTTTTATATCTTTTCCTTCTGACGATACTTTTTAATGTCCTTTCTTTCTTCATCTCTTGTTCTTTATAATAAAGAAAAAAGTAACTCTTGTTGAATCCGTTCAATTGTGAATGGGTAAAATCATTGATCGCTCAACGAACATTTGAGAAGTGCATTCGATAAAGATTTAGCAAAATTTTATTAAATTTCAACAAAACAATTGAATCTCAAGTACGCACCTATAAAGAATTGATTTTTTCAATGAAGCCCATTGATTTAACTCCTTATCGTCGCACATCAATATCTAAACGAAAGTTAATACATGTAGCGCAGTAATAATAAAATTCATCAACACAGCAGCTACAAGCTGCAGTGAAAAATGTTCGAATAAACTCTGCACTTGCTTTTTTTGAAACTTTTCAACCATGAACGTTCCTAGTGATAAAGTTATCACAATCAAAGGAATTAAGAAATATCAAATCATCCTAGTGATAAAGTTATCACAATCAAAGGAATTAAGGAATATCAAATCATCCTAGTGATAAAGTTATCACAATCAAAGGAATTAAGGAATATTAAATCATCCTAGTGATAAAGTTATCACAATCAAAGGAATTAAGGAATATTAAATCATCCTAGTGATAAAGTTATCACAATCAAAGGAATTAAGGAATATTAAATCATCCTAGTGATAAAGTTATCACAATCAAAGGAATTAAGGAATATTAAATCATCCTAGTGATAAAGTTATCACAATCAAAGGAATTAAGAATATTAAATCATCCTAGTGATAAAGTTATCACAATCAAAGGAATTAAGGAATATTAAATCATCCTAGTGATAAAGTTATCACAATCAAAGGAATTAAGGAATATTAAATCATCCTAGTGATAAAGTTATCACAATCAAAGGAATTAAGGAATATTAAATCATCCTAGTGATAAAGTTATCACAATCAAAGGAATTAAGGAATATTAAATCATCCTAGTGATAAAGTTATCACAATCAAAGGAATTAAGGAATATTAAATCATCCTAGTGATAAAGTTATCACAATCAAAGGAATTAAGGAATATTAAATCATCCTAGTGATAAAGTTATCACAATCAAAGGAATTAAGGAATATTAAATCATCCTAGTGATAAAGTTATCACAATCAAAGGAATTAAGGAATATTAAATCAGCCTAGTGATAAAGTTATCACAATCAAAGGAATTAAGGAATATCAAATCAGCCTAGTGATAAAGTTATCACAATCAAAGGAATTAAGGAATATTAAATCAGCCTAGTGATAAAGTTATCACAATCAAAGGAATTAAGGAATATTAAATCAGCCTAGTGATAAAGTTATCACAATCAAAGGAATTAAGGAATATTAAATCATCCTAGTGATAAAGTTATCACAATCAAAGGAATTAAGGAATATTAAATCATCCTAGTGATAAAGTTATCACAATCAAAGGAATTAAGGAATATTAAATCAGCCTAGTGATAAAGTTATCACAATCAAAGGAATTAAGGAATATCAAATCATCCTAGTGATAAAGTTATCACAATCAAAGGAATTAAGGAATATTAAATCAGCCTAGTGATAAAGTTATCACAATCAAAGGAATTAAGGAATATTAAATCATCCTAGTGATAAAGTTATTACAATCAAAGGAATTAAGGAATATTAAATCATCCTAGTGATAAAGTTATCACAATCAAAGGAATTAAGGAATATCAAATCATCCTAGTGATAAAGTTATCACAATCAAAGGAATTAAGGAATATTAAATCATCCTAGTGATAAAGTTATCACAATCAAAGGAATTAAGGAATATTAAATCATCCTAGTGATAAAGTTATCACAATCAAAGGAATTAAGGAATATTAAATCAGCCTAGTGATAAAGTTATCACAATCAAAGGAATTAAGGAATATTAAATCATCCTAGTGATAAAGTTATTACAATCAAAGGAATTAAGGAATATTAAATCATCCTAGTGATAAAGTTATCACAATCAAAGGAATTAAGGAATATCAAATCATCCTAGTGATAAAGTTATCACAATCAAAGGAATTAAGGAATATTAAATCATCCTAGTGATAAAGTTATCACAATCAAAGGAATTAAGGAATATTAAATCATCCTAGTGATAAAGTTATCACAATCAAAGGAATTAAGGAATATTAAATCATCCTAGTGATAAAGTTATCACAATCAAAGGAATTAAGGAATATCAAATCATCCTAGTGATAAAGTTATCACAATCAAAGGAATTAAGGAATATTAAATCATCCTAGTGATAAAGTTATCACAATCAAAGGAATTAAGGAATATTAAATCATCCTAGTGATAAAGCTATTACAATCAAAGGAATTAAGGAATATTAAATCATCCTAGTGATAAAGTTATCACAATCAAAGGAATTAAGGAATATTAAACCATGGTTTTAAGAAACACAAATATGCATAAAGGTCCCTCTACACACGGCATAAACAACACAAAACAAGAAAGAATGCCTCGTCTCGTCAAATACCTGACTTTTTTCTAATGCATAACTATTACACTCTTAACTCCTAGAACCAGCGTAACACAAGAAATCACTGAAGCCGAGAAGTCCCAAGAAATTAACAATATACGTTATTAATGAATAAAAGCATATAAACTGAACCTCATCAACAGTTAAGCCAAAATCATTTGGTTCCACTTGTCTGTATTTAAACCTGCACGGTAAATCACCAATGATGTCTTCATAATCCAGCTTGTAATACTCATCAAAATATGCTTCAAATGATTTCTCGTCTATAACATTAAATATAATTCATTTATAACATCAAGTCCAACGTAGAAAAAAACTCAAGTGAGCATTATGAGTACATACTTACAAATACACACGACAAAAAATCTTACTTGGATCAAATGAAGGTTTCGATGCATAAACAGCGCTAGCAAACAAAGATTTCTTTCTTCTATTATTTTCATTCATCGTTGTTGAAGCTGTATCATCGAAATCTGCATCCATCTTTTTAGAAGAAACGTCAAAGTTTATTATAAAAAAAATTTCTTAATTGAACTGAGATACGTATGTACGACGCACTACGAAACAATAATAAGAAACTATTTACTAATGACATCGCATCAAAATATCTTACATTAAATCCAGGATCATCACAATGAAGTTCTAAAAATGAATAAAATAAATCATTACCTTCATCAAACGCAAGTGACAGATATCTTTCTGGGAAACTCCATTTAAAATACAAATTTAAGTTGATGAATTTCATATAATATTGGAAATACTGCAATGCCTCAATAATGTTAAATGTTTTAAACATCATACCGCCTTCATCATTGCCTTCCCATTCATCCCAATTTTCTGAAAGAAATAAACACTCAATGATTTCAACTTGAAGCATCATAGTTTTTAAAACCAAAAAAATTTTTACTCGGCCGTTGTAAGAGGCAATTCACCAAAAATCTTTTCTGATGAGATTTTAGACAAAATTTTATCCAATAATTTTAACAACGATTGGGTTTATACACAAGAAATTAAAACACCATATACACGTTGACGAACGGCATGAAAAGCAACAAAAATTCTATCTATTAAAGGAGATACAAACCTTCTTCATAATCTTGCCAATCTTCCTCGTTAAATTCTGGTTTTTCAGTTTCTTCTTCGTTATAATACTCATCATCAAATGCTTTCTACAAAATCATTTAAAGGTACAAATATTAAAAAACAAGATGTTTAACCACAACGAAATTAATCAAACTTCTGTTTTACGTATTTAGTTTGTATAACCTGCATTGCTTCATCATATTTGACTGGATCAAAATCGCCTTCTAAATCTTCATCATTAAATCCTACATTTGGATTTCCTGTCACTTCTAAAAATTAAAAATAAATATACTTTTCAAATATTAGGCATTCACATGACATTGAATCGAGTCTTAGATACTCTCTACAACAAATCACTTTGACTCTAATGTTGTAAATTATCTACAATTGCTTCAAGATTGTTGAATGAAATATTTCATTTCTTTAAAACAATCTCATGATGATAATGGGATCTATACAATGATAGCAAATATTGACAGTAAATATCGTAAACCTTTCAATTTTTCCAATTTTTCTAAGATCTCTTTCTTTTTGAGATTCTTTAATCGTTTCAATTCCTGTTTCTTTTTCTCTTTTTCCTGTTAAATAATCACATTCTATTGAGCGGTACATCACAAAATGCTTCATCTATCTATTAACAAAAATAACATTTTAAACAATATTGACATACGCGTCAAACCTTTTCTCTATAATAAGTTGATGAAATTTATTCATTACTGTGAAATGATAAAACTAAGCATTTTATGACAACCTTAAGTTTACGTTCATTTCTTTCCTCTCTTTTCTCTTTTCTTTTGTTGTCTTTTCGGCGAAGTGTTCCCGTGACATTTCTTGGATAACTTTTTAGCTGGCAAAAACAATTACAAAATAATTAAAACAACGGTAACTAAAGAGAGTTGAGTTGTTTCTTTTTTTATATGATTCTGTTTCTAAGAGGTGGTTTATAGCATACTGGCTTATAATGAAAGATCTGGGATTAATGGTTGTAGTTGACTTGTTATCCCTTAATGTATATGAAATATGGCGATGAAATTCATTAAAAACAAAAATCATTTGAAAATTGACTTCTCTGATCAAAAAACGAATAACATCCGAATTGAACATAACTTAACAAAAACTCTGTTTGTAAATGTAGATCGTCCAGGTTGGTATAGTCCTGAGAAGGATTGTTTTTGTTGTTGTTCAGAGTCAAAATGACTACCGCTAAGGTTGTCGAAACGTCAGTCAACAACAACAAAAACAGTCCTTATAAGGACTATGCCAACCTGAACGATCTACATTTATAAACATGTAACGATACTCCCGGGTTCAAACTATTTACTCAACAAAAACTATCTCGATCTTTAAAACCAGTAGTCAAATATTACAACATTTTTATAAACAAAGTTAACAGTACAAACTTGTGCTGAATCTGGTTCTTCATATCTGAAATTATATTTTCGTTCAAATTCTTCCTGTTTCTCAAGTTGTTCTTCATCCTGACAACAGGAACGCAAGGAAACATAAAATATAAATCAATGATGAATAGAACCTACGTATGTATGTATAAAAATCTTATGACAGAATGTTTTATGCAGTGCGGTATTTGAAATTAAATGAAGATATGATCTTCGCACTTTGCTGGACAATTTGTCCAGGAAAGTGCGAAGATCATATCTTCATTTAATATAAAATCTTGATAATGAACTTGCCTCTTCAAAATCATCAACAATTTCATCATAAGTTGGAGTTCTAAAGGCGTAAATATCGATAACTTGAATCAACTGACAACAACTTTCATAAGCATTTTCTCAATAACATTAAATTCATTAAAACACATAAACAATATACATACTCCAAGGAATCTTTATCAATGTATTGTTTTTGTAAAATGAAATTACGAAGAAATTTCTCGTCTTCGTCAAGGTCTGGATTATTCCAAATTTGAAGCAATGGCTCCTACATGAACAAAAAAATTTTCAAAAACTAGCAGCAATGGCTAATTCATTTTTAGCAATTCAAATCATGATGAGCAACGAGAAAGGTCAGGCTACGTATATGACACGTGACTAGTTTATCTACAAACCAATTCCGTTTTATCTTTTTCTGATAAATCTTTTTCTTTTAACCATTCAAGGTATTCTTTGTCTTCTGTTTCCTATATTTATGTAGAAATACATGAAGAAACTACGTATGAATTTAAACTTCACTGTCACACCATACCTACGTAACATGAAATTCTAACATGAAGGGTCTATGCCCACTTTTATAACTTGATTAAAAATTATAAGAAAATCTTGCAGATTTTTATTGATATTAACATTCCAGTAAATCAACAATTATGCTTTCAGTAAAAAATTCAACATAATTAATAGGTTATTGAAGATGAAACTTCTCAAATCTGAGAATTTTTTGTTTGATTTCAAGAAAGTTTTTGTCCTGACTGAGAACACTCAGTTCCTTATAAAAACATATCACAGACTCGACAACTACAAAAATCACACGAGAACCATCATTTATTATTTTCCATTCTAAATTTATTGATTACAAAACAAAAAAACCGAGAAAATCACATACATGCCAAATGATATTTTTGTAATGTTTTTTCGAAACACTCAAATAATTATTTACCTTTTCTTGTTTTGGTTTTATCCGTGTCTTTAAAAAATCACTTTTATCTTCATCACCATTGAAAGCATCTTTGAAACTTAAGAACAAATATATTAATATGGTCAACAAAAATTTGCATGTTACATATGTACAATGTCTACTGCACTGTTACGCTATAAAGCTGGACAAAAATTTGCATGTTACATATGTACAATGTCTACTGCACTGTTACACTATAAAGCTGGACGTTACATATGTACAATGTCTACTGCACTGTTACGCTATAAAGCTGGACAAAATTTGCATGTTACATATGAACAATGTCTACTGCACTGTTACACTATAAAGCTGGACGTTACATATGTACAATGTCTACTGCACTGTTACGCTATAAAGTTGGACGTTACATATAAAAAAATATAGATAATGTCTATATGTTGATGCTGTTTTTAAATAAAATGTAAATTGCAAAAGAAATGTGGACAACAAGAAATAAAGTCTATCCTAAATGACAGCAATATGTCCGATGATGGATGTACCAGTTGGTTGACATAAAAACCACAATTGGCAAGTGGCATGACTTGTAAATTCATAAAAATCCATCATTTCATACCTCATTATTTTAAATTTTTCTACAAGGTCAGCACTGTTACTCAAACAATAAATGAAAATGATATCAAGTTACTTTCTATTTCACCTTTTTTTCAACTCTTCTTGTTCTTCAATGTAAGTTAATCCATTCTGCAACATAGACACTGGATAACTATAGGATAACTATAGGAGAACTATAGGATACATATAGGATAACTATAGGATACATATAGGATACATATAGGCAGTGTGCGAATTAACGATGTGCAATGTGCAAATTGCACATCGTTTTAGCTAAAATGAAAACAATTGCACATCACTTTTTCAAACGATGTGCAAAAATCAGCGGTTTTAACGAAAAACACTGTCGTAAATCATATGAATTTGTTCACGTTTAAAAATACTAATTTAGCAATTAGCGCTATATAATAATTAACGTAATATCGATTTGATTATGCCTCTAAAGAAACACTTTTGTCAAAGAATTGAATGAATGAATGAATGAAAATCTTTATTTTGACACACTGGCCTTGTCAACTGGGGTTGATTTCCACAAGGGGCGTGCTTTTGTTCAAAAACAATTACAATTGCAATAGGTTAAATTACAATTGCTTTTGTTCAAATTGCACATCGTTTTTTCTGAACTAATTTGCACACTGCATATAGGACAACTATGAACATAGAGTAACATCAAAGAATGGATGACTGGATAACTTTGGCACAACAATTAAAATAACAGAGTAAAGCTTATGTAAGGATGACAATTAAGATGAGTTAAATAAAACCACCTCTTTATTCTTTTCTTCAAAGCTACAACTTTCCTCAGATTCAGAGAGTTCACTTAAAATGTGCAAATGCATTATTAACCTTTCACTTCAACATTATATGATTGAAATAAAATTTTATTTCAACATACGATCCTTGTTCCAATAATCTTTTCCTTTCATAATCTTTAAGGAACATAGGTTTATCACTTTTTCTTGCTTTTTCTTCATTCAAGATGACTTCTAAGAAAAATGTTATAAACACTTAATTGTAAGCTTTATAAGCTATTGGCAAGTTGACATGATTTCTTTAGGTGATATGTTGTTAATGTTTATAAAACTTTGAACATGTTTTAAATATGCTTGCCATTTGAATAAAATGTTGCATTTTTATCATAGATTTTTGGGTCCTTGTTCTTTATAAGTGCCAAAGTCTTTAGAAAATTCTTTTCTTTTTCAAAATTAAGCTCCTGAAAATCAAAATAACACACATGATCAAACACTCCAATGATGTTAATTGTTATATGTACGTATAAGGAGTATGTAAAATCATATCTGCATCATCAAATGAGTTGCCAGCAGTTGTTCTTGAATTAAACTTGTCAGCAAACATGGGACAAGAGAAATCTCGGCCCAACCAACTCAGCTAAAATTTCCAGTCTCTATTGTTTGATATTTATCGAGATTTTAACACTACATTACTTAACTAAACACTAAGGTTAAAAATTGTATTATTGTTGTTTTTCTTAACCAAACCTTGCAAGCATTGTTAACCTGTTCCTAACTCAGGGATCAAACTACAATAAAATGCAAGAATCAAAAACTTTTAATTGGCCGACCATTTAATTCAAATGCGAAACAAGACCATAACTTCAGATTAAGGTAAATCGTTAACTCAAACTATAGTTTGGTAATTTTTTATGGCTACGATGAAGTAAAACCTCAATGGTTGTGTTATTGGGCCAAGTTGGTTGGGCCGAGATTGTCGTTGGCCGAGTAGACCAAACACCAAATTTAATGTTTCCTTGCACTTGGCAATTTTTTGGTTTCCAATCTGGCAAAGTCTGGCATGTAAACAATCTTTTGTGAGATGTGACATGTTCTCAAGAAGACTAACAATATAAATGGATATTTCGAAATTTAAACTAACAATACCCTTGCATCTTCATCTTCTGACTCACTCGAGCTTTCAGAATTGTCTACAATTTCGCCATATTTGTCCTTTACTACAATTTATCAACGATAATAAAACAAAATAATAAGTTGATGTCAATTCAAAACATTGCCAAAGCGAAAAGAAATATTTCATACACTTATCAAGTTCAGCCCTTTCACTTCTTTTTTGAAAATTTGCGGCGTACTTTTTGTTAATTTTCAATGCACATTTTTCGTATTTCATTTTGTCCGCCATATTAACTATTATATGCCATTACTTCATGTAATAAAAATATCAATCAGAAGATTAATAGTTTAAGAATTCACATTTTAAAAAACACACTTCATTCTTGTTTTAACAACTAGTTTAAGTTTAGAACCAGGAATTTCATCGGTAGAAATGCAGAATATTGAAAGAGGGAGAAATCAATGATCTTGTTAAGCCTATTAAGCCTAGTTTGTCCCAATGATCTCAAATAATGCAACCAATGTATTGCAGGCTCAAACCCTTCAATGGCGGCTTTTTATACATTGTTATACCTTTTCTTGTTTTGTGAAATCTTTGGTATTGGGTTGTTTTTAAAAGGCTTTTTTCCTTTGAAAGAAAACACCACTGGTTTTTCTACAAGTAATTCCAATGAAAATTTAGTTCGTCATAAATTTGATCGTTTGATTGTTGTCTTGGTTGATGCATTGCGAGCAGATTTTGTATTTGAAAATAATTCTTACATGGCTTTTACAAGCAACTTGATAAAAAATGGTGACACCTTTAGGTTGGTAAAATCACTATGACTTCGAAGTTCATAAAGTTAATAATTAAGTGTGCTGATGAGGTTTTGCTAATTAGAACTATAGTAACTAGGTTTTCTCATACATAGTTTGTACGTTGTTGGTTGTAATTTTCTTTATCCAATACACGTCTATTCAATATTTTTATTTTCACTTTCTGTTCATATAGTTTTCGTGCATATTCCAGCCCTCCAACTGTCACGATGCCCCGCATTAAGGTAAAAGAGACAAACTTGGCTGGCTTTTTCCATAAGCAATTGCAGTGCAGAGTGAATGCGTAAATTGTATTAAGTACTTGTGTAATCTAGAAAAGGCAAAATGGCCATTCTTCAGTCATTGTAATGTATCTAGTATTAAATTTTCAATGAAGATATATATTTAGTTTTATTAAGTTAATACAAAAGTGTTGGTTATTGACAAATCATAAATCACTTTTTTTGTTCAAGAACTACACTTCATTAGATTGCATCACAAAAAAACATTAGATTTTTGCTACATGATTACTCTTTAACTATAAAATGTACACTTGTTGATATTTTTACTATTTTTGTGTTTATTATCCACAGGCAATAACAACTGGAACTGTACCTGGTTTCATAGATGTCATTATGAATATTGACTCAAACGAATTGTCTGAAGATAATCTTATTGCACAAACAAAACAGTCAAATAAGAAAGTCATATTTTATGGTGACAACACTTGGATTAAGTTGTTTCCAAATCATTTCAGACGACATGATGGGACAACATCATTTTTTGTGTCTGACTATACAGAGGTAAAGAGAATTGTCTTTGTGTCTGACTATACAGAGGTAAAGAGAATTGTCTTTGATAAGACAAGTTTTAAATAGATGTTCTAGTCATACTTGTTCAAGTGTTTTTCATGAACATGTGGCTCTCCCAGTTACTAAATGGGGGGCATTCATATGTCCATGCTATAATCCATAAAAAGTTTATACAAAATATTGCCCTCCCTCCCTCCCTCTCATATATTAGGCTGCCCATGTCACCATTAAGGACCTGCTTCGTATTTGGATATGGTCTAGATTTCCACGTTATCGTATTATTCAGAAATCTTTAACATAGCACTAAATCATGGTTACTTTTTTGAAGTTCTGCAGTTAAATATGTCGTAGTTTTAGGTGGACGAAAACGTAACTCGACATGTTATACCAGAGTTAAACAAAAAGGATTGGGATGTTATGATCTTACATTATCTTGGACTGGATCATATAGGTCATCTTGCTGGACCAAATAGTCCACTTGTACGTCCAAAACTACGTGAAATGGATGAAATTATACATCGCATTTATGAAACGATAGTGCAACAGGATTTCAAGCGAAATATTTCAACGTTGCTGGTATTATGTGGTGATCATGGTATGAGTGACGGTGGCAGTCATGGAGGATCTTCTTTTGCAGAAACAACCACACCACTTGTGTTTATGAGCTCTCTTTTTGCCCAAGGAAAAGGTACAAAAAGCACGTTTACGTAGATAGTAGCTACATATACGTCGATTAACTGCTTTTTCGCTAATGGTAAAGTCTCTTTAAAGGAAACGTTTACGACGCAACAAAATGGGTTGATCAAATTGACATAACGCCAACATTGGCTCTTCTTCTTGGTCTGTCAATACCAAAGAACAGGTAAAAAAGTTGCATCATTGACAGCAATATTGAGATCCCCGCAATAGATCGAATATTTATTTATCTTGAATTTTTTCCAGTACAAATAGTTGTACAAATATTATAGACGTAACTAGTTGGTTTAATCCATGGTTTAATTACACAAATATCTAGACCCGAGAGCCATCGGAAATTTCCATCTGTAGTGAAACCGAGTTGAATAAATGTTTGAATCAGTCACAATTCAGAAAATACCATTTTGCCATCTACCTGAATTTTGTCTTTTATATTTTAGTTTTGGTATCTTAATCCCTGACCTGTTCAACTACCATTCTGTGAGAGAGCGATTAGAAGCTATACGTATGAACGCTTTACAAATTTCTACAGTTTACATGAGAAACACAAATAATGAGAGCGTTGTTGAGTTAGACCTTGCATTGCGGTTTCATGACGAGTTAATAAAGAAATTTGTTGATAAAAATCTTGAGAGGGACGCTGCAGTTGAGAAAATTGAAAAACTTTACTTCTCTGGAATGAAGAAAATGGCCGAAAAACTAACAAAGTTCATGTCTTCTTACGACTTTTATTCCCTGTATGTTGCAATATCACTGTTACTCCTTTGCTTCATAGGTTCTATATTTCTGCATCTTGAACTGTATCCCAAAATATTGTACGAATTCTTCCAAACTCACTTTTCTTTTCTTTCAATTGCATTCTTTGTATTTACAACTTTAATTTCCTACAGTCATTTTTATCTTTGCACATCTCCAAGACTAGGTAAGGAAACATTTTCTTTTCTACACATTTCACATTATGTCAATCTCCTGTTACAGTGTAAGTGTAAAATGTGATTAGAAATACTTGACGTCTGAATTTTAGTACTTGTATATTTTAAATATATTTTTTATCTTTTCAAGGAACGAGTGAAATATTATGTTCTTCTTCAACTCTTTCGTATTCACTATCCTGGACGTTTATCACCATAACAGTCATGGCGTCACTAAGTTTTCTTTCCATTGTAATCAACATCTATCATCATGGTGTACCAACATGGCACAGAGAATCCTCATATATCCTAAAAGGAACATGTACATTCCTTCTCCTTGGCATATTATTACACAACATAAGTTTGTTGTCTACGAGTTTTATTGAAGAAGAACATCAAACTTGGTATTTTTTAACAACTACCTACCACTCCATCGTATTTTTCAAAATATGTTCGGAAAGATGGAAAATGAACTATCAATTTTGTTCACCAGATAATGTTAAACGACCTACCAATAATACATCTTCAAGCGAAAGCACTGATAAGATTGTCTTACGGAATAATATGAGCAATCTAAAAGTCTGCGATCACACCTCAACTGTTACTATAACGGCATTGTGTGTATTCTTCCTGTTGATTTGCGATAGAACATTACGTAGTTGGAATCAAACAGGAATAAAATGGTCTGAGGAACCTGATATCGAAGATTGGTTAATCAATCCAGAAAGAAACATTGTGTTATCTTTATTAATCATCATTTCTTTAGTCGGGATAACTCTAATCCTGTTTGACAAAACCAGGATCAAGGATGATCCGTATGAATTCATTGCGTTTGTAAGTGAGATCATCAGTGTTTATATATTTCGGGCAACCACTGGCACAATTTCATTTCCTATTGTTGTTGAAAGTCGAAAAACTGGAAAAAATATTGCTAGATTTATCTACTGTTGTGTTATAGTAATGCTATTACGTCGTGTATTTGCTAAAACAAGAGCAGTTAACATTGGTGAATCAATTATCTGCGCATATGTATTATTGATAACTCTACTTTTAAGAACGCATAATATACCAACGGTGCTGATTATGTTACTGCAGGCTCGTATCCATCATCAAGTTGTATGGAGTAGGTGAGTATTTTAAGTTAATGTAGTCTTAAACACATCGTTATCATGACTACAAACATAATCTGCATCGTTCAAAATTTACTTGGGCTAAAGATAGGAAATTCTTTGTTCTTTGGTTTAATAAAGACAACATGTTTTTCATGATTTCTTTAGATGTTTTACAAACCTAGAAGTTATTCTTAGCGCTTATTATATGGGCTGGTTGACTTATTTTGCTCAAGGCAACTCAAACAGCTTAGCGACCGTTGATATTTCAGCTGGATACATAGGCTTAGGAGAAGATTATTGGCCGTTAACTGTTGCTCTTCTAACAACACTGGCCACTTTCTCTGGACCTCTTTTTTGGTTACTTCAAGCGATGACGTATATTTGCCGTCATAGGTAAAAAATAATGTACTTTAAAATATTTCAAATTCTAGGTGGGGACGTTTTTTGTATTGTGGCAATGATAACACGTTAAGAAATTTGGCAAACGACACAGAACTCCACTAATTATAGTAAATCTACCGAAGGACGACTGAATATGAAGGATGTTTGTTATGCCTATGACTAAATGGAATGAAGGATTAAATTTTGTAAAATGTTGCTTTCTGCACACTACATTCATGATATCGGAATTTAATCATTGATAAATCTATTAAGAATTATTTTGGTAAATTATGCGTCCCATCATTGATTCCGAAACAGCTAATTTCTCATTTTCTTTTTAGACTATGGTCGCTTTCAAAGTGTTTAAATGAGATGTGTACAGCTTTGTTGTTTATAAAATCTCTTAATCTCACAGTTTATACAATATTGTCATATATCAATTGTTATCATTTATTTATTTGGAGTGTGTTTGCACCAAAATTACTTTACGAAGCTGTCACAAGTCTAATATTTGCTATTTTTATTTTGGTCCTCTCTCTGTTTTCTCAAATGTGTAAAAAAAGTTAATAAATTAATTAACCAAAGAATTCTCAACAGACATTGCATTTATTATTAATATAAATCTATTACTATCATGAGTTCGGTCGGCCACACAGGATTGTTGTATGTCCGGAACGTAGAAAACTTTCATGCGTAAAATTAAAGTAAATGGTTTGAACCCGGGAGTATCGTTACATGTTTGTAAATGTAGATCGTCCAGGTTGGTATAGTCCTGAGAAGGACTGTTTTTGTTGTTGTTGACTGACGTTTCGACAACCTTAGCGGTAGTCATCTTCAGAGTCAAAAAATTCGTCAGAGTCAAAGAATTCAAAAAATCTTCAGAGTCATTTTTGATCTTACTTTGGAATACCCCATTCTTTGCACCATCTTTGGATCCCTATTTATCAATTGAGTTCCTCGGCCAGGAACACCCTGTTCTTTGCACCATCCTTGGATCCCTAGTTATCAATTGAGTTCCTCGGCCAGGAACCTAAATATTACTCAATAATTAAAATTTTGTTAGGATCGTTAGATGTTCTTAACGCAGGAAGCTTCGTGTGTGAAGGCGGTTAAAAATGACTTTTTTCATCAGTTCAAACAAAAACCCTACCTTAGCTTTTAAAACAACCTAAGATTCCTTAGGTTTTCAGTTTTCACATAAAATCCTAACAAAATTTTAATTATTGAGTAATATTTAGGTTCCTGGCCGAGGAACTCAATTGATAACTAGGGATCCAAGGATGGTGCAAAGAATGGGGTATTCCAAAGTAAGATCAAAAATGACTCTGAAGATTTTTTGAATTCTTTGACTCTGAAGAATTTTTTGACTCTGAAGATGACTACCGCTAAGGTTGTCGAAACGTCAGTCAACAACAACAAAAACAGTCCTTCTCAGGACTATACCAACCTGAACGATCTACATTTACAAACATGTAACGATATTCCCGGGTTCAAACCATTTACTTTATGCGTAAAATTAGTTGAAAACGATAATATAGCCTAGCCGGCCAGCTAGGATCGTTAGATGTTCTTAACGTAGGAAGCTTCGTGTGTAAAGGCATTTAAAAATGACTTTTCTTATCAGCTCAAACAAAAATCCTACCTTAGAACTGTTAAAATAACCTTCTATGAATTGACTAACTACAAAATATCACCACGAAGAAGGTGAATTAAATTCAACACCAAGAGAGTTTACATGAAGTATAATCACCACTAATCACATTACTGCATGGAAATATTGCAAGTTGAATGGAATAGTCACGATTTCATTCAACTATGCCTTTAAAATTAAAATCTCTACATTCTGAAAGATCCTGATTAAAAGTCTTATTTTTAAAAAAGAAATAACAAGAAAATCCACTTTATCGATCACTGTTCACGACACGTCAGATAAAATTGATTTAATACACCCTTAGGTTCGTAAAAAAAACGGAGCTTTAAACTTAGCTAGTAATGCGACAAAAATGTTTTTGTTCTTTTATTAGAAACATAATTATATGTTAATGAATAGTTTCTGATAGTGTTCTTTATTAAATTATCATACACTGTAGTAATTATACTAATGTAATTTCTTTTCAATCGAACAAATTCTCGATATTGTCTTTCCAAAAATAACCCATTCTTGAAATGACCCGGATCCCAGTGTCACTAAGTGACTTGAACGACTCAAAATATTCATTTCAACAATAGCCACAACGCTATGATCCTTCAAAAACGGATTTGATTTATGAGCACCATATCGCTTCGGTTTCAACTTGTTCATTACATATTTTTCATGCAGCTTTTTGACCTTGAGGTTTTTAGGATACAGAGTGTCAGAAGCAAAGTAACACAGGTCCGTCGACAAAAATACGCTCCCAATCTTATACTTTCGTTTTTTATGCATTTTGCAAAGTATATTTTTTATATTTTCCCACCCAATCAATATGGTTTTTACGTTTAAGTAAGAGTTGCAAGTAATAAACAAATCCTACGAACCACACACATTAATCTTTTATATACGTACTCGCTAGCTCATGTTTAGATGATATCATATTATCTAGAAGAACTAATACAAAATTTGTAAATTATTCATTTCTTTGGACATAAACTGTTTTTAAATCAACACTCAATAAGCAGAGAGATATTTTCAGAAGAAGTAAAGACCCTTTAATTGTAATACAACTTGATTTATTGGTTTTGTATTAATGTCAATCATTAAAAGTTAATATGCTTAAGACAAAAAATTATGAACACAACAAAATATCGTACGTAGATGTACTTTTTTGGTCTTTAGATTGTGTATATTCATGGTTTTGTAATTTAAATGATCACATAATCAAGTTGTGACATAAAATAAATCACATTGTTTATTTTTCAAACATCATAACAGCGGTGAAGACATAAATTGTTTATCCATAAATAAATGATATTACTTGAAGTATTAGGATGATACAAATAATCTTTTGTCAGAATGAAAAACTGGCACTGTTGGTCTAAAAAATTTGATTTCCCATGAGAAGTATTCATCTTATTATGACGTAATGTATCATCTTATTATGACGTAATGTACGTAAACGTAAAAATAAAGAAACAACTCGAATATATGATTTCATTTAGCATTGCAAGATTTGCGCGTTAGTGAGATGCATAAACTGTAAGATTTTGTACGTTTTAGTACACAAATACGTCTCTACTTCGGGTAAAATTAAAGTTGAAGTAACATATAACTCAACTCACAAAAAACATCTAAATACCTGAATGATGCCAACAATTACACCAAACAAACCAATTGCACTCCCAAAAATTTCCACAATTAAAATTTTCACAAACAATGCAGCATTCTGTGCATCAGCTAAAGCAGCACCACTACCAATAATACCAACACAAATACCGCATGATAAGTTAGAAAGACCAACAGTCAAACCAGCTCCAAATATCTTGTAAGCTAAACATGAAATTCTTAACGTTAAAATTCTCAACCAAAAATTAAAAAATAGGTTCGCAGAGCGCACAAGCGGCTACCTACAGCAGAACGTTTTATTGGGGAGTTTACGTTAAATACAGGGTTGTATAACCACAGACTTGTATAGTAATTATTAAAAAGAAAAAGAAAGTAAGAAAAAACAAACACATCCTAGTCCCATAGTTTTTTATGAGTAAAAATGAAACGATTCTTCTCTACGTAGAATAACACATACATACGTAGATAACACATACATACGTAGATAACACATACATACGTAGATAACACATACATACGTAAATAACACATACATACGTAGATAACACATAAATACGTAGAATAACACATACATACGTAGATAACACATACATACGTAGATAACACATACATAAGTAGATAACACATACGTACGTAGATAACACATACATACGTAGATAACACATACATACGTAGATAACACATACATACGTAGATAACACATACATACGTAGATAACACATACATACGTAGATAACACATACATACGTAGATAACATACATACGTAGATAACACATACATGCGTGGATAACACATACATACGTAGATAACACATACATACGTAGAATAACACATACATACGTAGAAAACACATACATACGTGAAAACACACATACGTAGATAACACATACATACGTAGATAACACATACATACGTAGATAACACATACATATGTAGAAAACACATACATACGTAGAAAACAATACATACGTAGATAACACATACATACGTGGATAACACATACATACGTAGAATAACACATACATACGTAGAATAACACATACATACGTAGAAAACACATACATACGTAGATAACACATACATACGTAGAATAACACATACATACGTGGATAACACATACATACGTGGATAACACATACATACGTGGATAACACATACATACGTGGATAACACATACATATGGATAACACATACATACGTAGAATAACACATGCATACGTAGATAACACATACATGCGTGAGATAACACATACATACTGGATAACACATACATACGTGGATAACACATACATACGTGGATAAACGCATACATGCGTGGATAACACATACATACGTGGATAACACATGCTGTGGATAACACATACATACGTGGATAACACATACATACGTGGATAACACATGCATACGTGGATAACACATACATACGTGGATAACACATACATATGCGTGGATAACACATACATACGTAGATAACACACATACGTGGATAACACATACATGGATGAAACACATACATACGTGGATAACACATACACGTGGATAACACGTACATACGTGGATAACACATACATACGTGGATAACACATACATACGTGGATAACACATACATGCGTAGATAACACATACATACGTGGATAACACATACATACGTAGATAACACATACATACGTAGATAACACATACTTACGTGGATAACACATACATACGTAGATAACACATACATACGTGGATAACACATACATACGTAGATAACATACATACGTAGATAACACATACATACGTGATAACACATACTTACGTGGATAACACATACATACGTGGATAACATACTTACGTGGATAACACATACATACGTGGATAACACATACACGTGGATAACACACATACGTGGATGCACGTACATGCGTGGATAACACATACATACGTAGATAACACATACATACGTGGATAACACATACACATACGTGGATAACACATACATACGTGGATAACACATACATACGTAGATAACACATACATACGTGGATAACACATACATACGTGGATAACACATACATACGTGGATAACACATGTACATACGTAGGATAACACATACATGCGTGGATAACACATACATACGTGGATAACGTACATGCGTGGATAACACATACATACGTGGATAACACATACATCGTGGATAACACGTACATACGTAGATAACACATACATACGTAGATAACACATACATACGTAGATAACACATACATGCGTGGATATACATACATACGTGGATAACACATACATACGTGGATAAACATGCTTACGTGGATAACACATACATACGTGGATAACACATGCATACGTGGATAACACATACATACGTGGATAACACATACATACGTGGATAACACATACATACGTAGATACATGCATGCGTGGATAACACATACATACGTAGATAACACATACATACGTGGATAACACATACATACGTAGATAACACATACATACGTGGATAACACATACATGCGTGGATAACACATACATACGTGGATAACACATACATGCGTGGATAACACATACATGCGTGGATAACACATACATACGTGGATAACACATACATACGTAGATGTACATACATACGTAGATAACACATACATACGTAGATAACATACCACGTAGATAACATACGTGATAACGCATACCGTAGATAACACATACATACGTAGATAACACATACATACGTAGATAACACATACATACGTAGATAACACATACATACGTGGATAACATACATACGTAGATAACACATACATACGTAGATAACACATACATACGTAGATAACACATACATACGTAGAATAACACATACATACGTAGATAACACATACATACGTAGATAACACATACTTACGTAGATAACACATACATACGTAGATAACACATACATACGTAGATAACACATACATACGTAGATAACACATACGTACGTAGAATAACACATACTTACGTAGATAACACATACTTACGTAGATAACACATACATACGTAGATAACACATACTTACGTTGACGTATTCTTCAGTAACATGAAAACACGAAGCAAGTACATAATATTTTATTGAGAATCTGAAACATTTCATAACTAATTTTTACATCTTGGTATATTAACAAACAAATAGTTCACATACCTGCACCATATAATTCTCGCTTTTTAACTTCATCAATATCTTGTAAACTACCATTCTAAAAATAACAGGAGATTACATGAATATAAATGTCACCAAATACTACATGAGTTAGCACAAAGTCTACTTAGCAATACATGTGAATTTGATAAATTTGAGTATAGCTTTCATTTTTCCACAAAATTTGGGAGAAGATTTTGTGGTACATGAACAACAATATTGGATGATAAAATTACAAATTGCAAGGATTAAATTCTGTCAATCATGTAATGAAATAATGATAAATACTCTAACCATCTTATCATTTGTTCTACATTGCCATTTGTACTGCCAGAGGATGGAATATACGTAGCAATTTAACAGCGCACATCCTTTGGAGTCGTTGTAGTCTTTACAAACCTCACTCATGCATGTTTATACATAATTGAAATTAAAACTATGACTAAAATGGTGAACTTTTTATGTAAAGACTAAATATTTTCCAGGTAATCTAAACAATTTGCTTTCATTAAACCACAAACCTCCACTTTTTGTACCAACACAATAGCCATGATTATGCCATAAATTGCAACTGCCTCACAGAATATAATACTAACAAGATTTCTTGTTTTAATCCTGGGTGCTTTGACTCCTGCCCCAAGAATACTTACACCAGTTGTAAAAATCCCCCTATGAAAACACAAAATAACAAAGCTCACTGACATACACAACTTACTTCAAATTTTTCATTCACCCAAATCACCACCTGCAGTAAAAACTGATTTCAAAGTTTTAAGACCCACACCTTTACTATTTAATACAGTGTTGGGTGCTCCCTGGTAATAGGGGGGACAATAAATTGTTAATAAGATAACAGATCTACGTAATAATAGGGTGTACAATGGATCACTGTTGATATTGCAAATTTATTAATGCATTGTGAAATGCATTATCAAGCTAATTTAAAATATTAAATTTATGCTAATTATTTAGTAGGCTTTTATTCTCAATATATTTATGTTATTTACCAGTTCAATTTATTTGAAAAGAGGTGTTTTCACTAACAGAAAAGCAGCCAAAGATGCACATTGTCTATCACAGTTTCTTTCACAAATAATTTATATAATTACATCTTTTTGAAGATTTTGCTTACCTAAAGATGCTTGAACTGTACTACATATTTATAACTATAGTTTTGAAAGTTTTAACTTTAATTTCAATACTGATTTTCAAGCAATGCTTGGTATATATACCAGATTGATAGATCCAGTACTATATTAACAAACCTCAGCTATTGTTGCTATTGATACTCCATGGCATATCTCAAATTATGTTCAACAACTGTTCATTTTAATATATCATTCACAATTTAGTACACTAACAAGTAATTTAGCCAATCATAGGTAAAGTTTCATAGATATAATGCAAGTAATGCAATTTTGCTACCATCAGTTTAAACCTTGGACATTAAATGATGAACAAGGTAAAATAATTCTCACTATACCATGCAGCACCAACAACGGAAAGTGAAACAGCCAATCCAGAGCCAATACAAGCCCACATGAATGGTGAAGAAGATGAAAGAACCCTAAGAAGTTCAAGAAAAAATAATCACAACACTTGAGTTAAAATCAAAAATTACCAAATATTCTATTGAAGTACAAGGATTTGAGACTGGAAAATTTGTAAGCTTCCTACCTGAGATCAAAATTTTAAAGAAATTTAGGATATGTGACTATTGTTTTTGAATGGCCGAAATGCAAATGTTGCATTTGCCTGTAATATGATATTTTAGTTTTTTCCTAACAATTACGTACCAATACGAAGGTTTTAGCACCATACTTGCCAAAAATATCACATTTTTTAAAATTTGCAAAATTTTCATTGTTTTCAATCATAATAAGACGTATCAATTAAACAGTTTATTTTGTGAAATCCGTCTAACGAATTAATGAAGGTACGTACGTATCAGACGAGACTACGAAGAAATATCACAAATCGTCAGTAACATAGATAAATTATCTGTCAAATGACATATATACATACCATCCAATATCAAAACGTCCTCCCTGACCAGTCAAAACATAATACAAACCTAGGAGGAAAAATTTACAAAATGATTTGATAAATCTGCACTTTTCAATTTTCATCATCTAGAACTCGACACTAACCAACGGCTGTAATTATAAATGTTGCTAGATATGAGACATATAAATGGTACGATAAACTGCTTGATGTTCCATAAGCCATTATTAATAAAAAGAAAATTCCAAACTACTTTTCACAAAATCTACTGAGGTTGACATTGACTTTCCACCATCTTGAACTTAATTGTGATCATTGTCACATGACCACCGGGATTTGTGCGTGGTAAAACCACGCGTTGCAGGCATATCACGCGAGGTACGTGCAAAATGGCAAATCGGATACATTTCTTTGGAGTATGTTTTTTCTTACTTCCGTGTAGTATTTAAGAAAAAATACTATTTTTGTAAAGCAAATATATAGAAAATTACCTTTTTATATCTTACACAAGTTGTGGCAGCTTTCGTAAGATATAAAAAGGTAATTTTCATAAAGATTCACGTGGACTCTAGGCCAACTAATTTTCAAGAAGAGCAGTAGTTTGAATCGCGTATTGATGCGTATAGGTTTTTGAAATATCTTCTGCCATGGCTAAATTTAGATACAAACAACCTATATTACCTTTAATGCAAACTGCAAGTCTGTTAGAGTTTTTGGTTAAAATAGTGGACGTAGTGTTTGTTGCGAAGTAAATTGAGTCAATTCAATTAACAATTAATTTATTCTGAACAAATTAAATAAATGGTTTCAACTGATGGTTATATATGGTCGTCAAATGTTCGTTTTTTAACTTGAGTTTTGATTTCTTTAAGCTAAACTTTAATTGTTTTTGTTTGTTTATGTTTCGTTATGTGTAATTAGATTTCCTTTAATGACTCTGATGAATATTGCTATATCTGAACAGAGAATTTGTTATTCTTCAATGTCAACAATATCAGGCCTTTTATTTTTGTTAGGACGGTTCAGCAAAATATTGGTTGACAGGGGGAAGTATTTAAAGACCAGTTGAGATTGCGTAGCAATATACGTATTATAAAAATTGCGGATTTCAAATGATCTTTGTCATTTATCTATGGCTTAAACATATACTTATATATACGTTAACACATTTTTATAAAAAAGTTTCACACAGTACAAATTTGTTCATCTTATTTTAAAGTACTTGCTTATTTATTCCTGGTTTCTCAACGTGCGAACAAGCACGATTTTGCTTAAAATTATTCAATGTTTGGCGGCAACGCAGTTTTCTACACAAATATAGGTAGAATTAATACAATTTGTTACCTTAGCTACACCATTTGATCAAATTTGTTGAAACGAAAGCTTCCTAACAATAAGATTAGACCTGCAACGGAAACCGCCCCGCTCTTGACACAAGTTATATAACTACATGTCCTTGTTTAGTATACTACAATTATTAATCAGCATTTTTTAGTCGAAACTAAGGAATTGTCTCATTCCTAAGTTGTCTTATACTTTCATGCAACACCATAAGACAATTTTCGTGACATTTCTAAATCATCTTCAACGTTTTGTATGTCTCCTAGTGTTATGAAAATTAGATGTTATGGCTTGTAATTTATTCAGAATTATAATATGAGGAAATTGTACACGGCAGGGTGTTTCACATTATTTTAATATTTATCTTCACAATAGGCGACAGGAACAGGCAACCAACGCAACTTTCCTGTCGTCAACCCATTAATTAAGGAAGCACGTATCTTTAAAAAAGTGATCAAAACCGACTGTCTAACACTCTTACACAGTATATCAGGGTGTCAAGAAGGGAAAACGAGTCTCGTGAATTATAAAACTGGAAGGATTTCAAAAGATAGAAAAGTTAAAAGAGGACTGTGCTTAAGTAAGAGGTAACAGAAATAAATGATTAATTAATGAAAAACCAGATGAAGGTTTAATTTATTGAAATATGAATAGAGACATGGTCTTATTATTTACATTTAATGAAAGTGCGTTTTTACGAGCTATAAAATTTGATGTGAAATTAGCTATAAGCCTATAAAACAGGTGCTGCTCTTTATGCTATAAAACTTTCTGTTAATAAATTTTTATCTTAAATAAATCTTTCCATATGATGTCAGACTCATTCAATAAATCACAAATAACTTGACAGAATGGCCACAGCTTGATTCTTAACGTTGTTTATGCAACAAATTAATTAAAAAGTTTTCTTCGATGAACAGTATTAGCTAAAAGAAAATTTTTCAAGCATTTTGTAAGTACTTTTTAGCTTTGACGACATGGCTATATCTTCCACGTATGTCATTAATGTAATAAAAGAAATTAACTTTTGAGTTTTGGAGTATTTACATTGGAGAAATTTTGATTGTTGTATTTATATAGATGAATAAGTTGAATGAACAAAGTAATTTCAAATTTAAAACAATAATTTCTTGAAAATGGCAAATAATCAATGGCGCCTGAGTTTTGTCTTTAGTTTTGTCTTTTTTTACGTGGTTTCCTTGTTTCTTCACGTTTCAAAGTGTTTTCTTGCCAGTATTTTGCGTTTTGTGCCGTGATGTATGGATCATAAAACACTGGAATGATAATTGACCCAAAGCAACATAATGAGTATATTAATAGCACCAACATTATGGCATCATTAGCACGTAACAATGCTATTTTAAAATGAAGCTTGTTATCTATAAGTTGAGATAAGTAAATGAGAGTTTTTATGAAGGCAAAAGTTTAGCAAATAACAGAACCAAATACCAAACAAAAAAGCTTTATTTTCGATAAAAAATGAAGTTATTAGAATCGAACTTATTTCTGATTCCTCTTCAAAGTTATATAATTCTTACTGGATGGATACTTTTTAACCAATTAAATTAGTTCAAAAACAATACTGATAATTTCCTGTGTTAATAAAAACTCTTTGTGTAGCGTTGCACGCTGTAACTATAACAAAGATTTTGACATCCTAAATTGCAAACTGAAAGTATCATAAACTATCTTATTTTAGAAAAGTATTATAAAAATTTGTCATAAAAATGTCTGTGAGTCATGTAAGAAAAACAAACACTTAGCATTTATCATAGACAACAAGAGTTAATGTATTTATAATTATTTATGTTATATAACTTATATATTGATGCCGAATATGGGAATTTGAGAAGGACATTCGATGTTAAACAACGTTATAATTGCATATAATTAACATAAAGTGAAGAGTAAAAAATATATTACAGTTTATTTTTTTATCTTTATCAAAAGTCGCAGAAAGAAAATGGAGAACAACCTAGCTGTTAGCACTGTCGCCATTCCAATGGATAGTTATGACCGCCGACCTTCAGCATGGTTCAGGGAAAGTTTTGGATTATTGGGAAAATATGGAAAAATTTCTAAAGAACAATTTGTTAGAGCGTCTTGTGATATAGGGGTAGGTATATAAATGTGAGACAAGATATTCATGAAAAATTGTAAAATCCTATTTAGTCAATGAAAAAGCATTTTTCTTATTTTTAACAAAGTACGATGGCATAACACATTTACATAATTTTTCAATAGGATTTAAGCTCAAAGTTGTATGGCATGTTTGATCCAAAAAATGTTGGATATGTACAAGTTCAAGAAGTTGTTGGTTCTTTTAGATTGTTATATCTGTAAGTATCTACATACGGGCCCAGGCACGCTCAGTTTTCACATAACATATTAGAGATGCAGGTATATTTGATAAAACAATATGTCGGATTTTCTGCTTGACAACATACTAAATACGCGCATGAACCAGGGGCGAGGAACATTGATAATCGGGGGGGGCTATATTCATATATTCATATCTTATAATCCGTAAACACAATTGATTTCAATGGAAACTAATAAAGTGAAGCATGCATATATGAATAATAGCCCCCTCCCCAACTATCAATGTTCCACCGCCCTTGGCTTGAACTATTGAGTTGTGACTAAATCTTTATATCAGTGACGATCACTTAAGTTAGTTAGCACGCCTTGGTTGTTTCTAATAACTCAAATACATAACATACTAATTGTAACTTCAGGTGAAACTAATTTTTCTGCCTCAATTTACCCCGCAGACGGAGCAAAACTGGTAATGGAAAAGCAAACACAAAATCATTCATTTGGTTAAGGAATAGTGTGGAGTATCTAGCAGATTCGAATGGCAATATTCCATCTGAAAAACTAAAAGAAGAAATGACGAAAGCAAAAGTACGTAGAATAAGACAAAAGCAAGTCAGCAAAATCGCAATCTTGCTGAGTTGAAGCAACATCTGCGAAAATTCGAAAGATTTTTTTGATTTTTTACGAGTTTTTTTTCAAATATTCTTCTTTGTTTTTTAGTTTATGGAGAATTTTTTTAAGCTTTTGGATGTTAATAATGAGGGCGAAATTAGTTTGAGCCAAATTGTTGCAGCAATCGACAGAATTGAATGGTATAAAATAAGTGTGATATTTTTTCTGTGTTCCAGTTAAAACGTTGTCATGCAGTCATTTTTATTTTAATTTTTTTAAATTACGTAGCTCCTCGACAGATTCCAAGTGGTATGAATGGATCGAAGAAAAATTTTCAGTGGACAGCAATGAATCACGTTTAATCACTCTAAAGCAATTTAAGAAAGGACTTCACATTGAAAAGGTACATAAAATGAAATAGCCATTTTGAGAAATTTTATTATCTGTTATAGAAATGTGCGGTTCAAAACTAGAATCTGTTATTCTGGCAATGTAAATTTCTGATTTTTCTATTTTCTAGAGTTTTTTTGCCGAACGATTTTTCCATTTGTTTAAAACGGACTTAGTTGAGGAGGCAGATTCAATTTCAATGAAAGATTTGTGCCAGGGACTAGAAATGTTAACGAATGGAAGTCAAATAGAAAAGTTGAAGTTTTTATTTAAAGTTTATGATATTGATGGTGAGTTTTTAGTTCGTAAAAACATTGAAAAAAATATCGGCAGTTTCATGAAAGGAGATGCAGTTTTTGTAATGACTTACAATACCTGATAAAAACGATAATATTTTTATAGGCAATGGTAAGCTTGATCGGAATGAAATGAAAACAGTTCTGGAATCATGTGTTGAAGAAAGTTCTTTAAGCATGGATCAGCAACAAGTTGAAGATCTAACAGACGTTTTGTTTGAAGAGTCTGACAAAGAAGGAAAAGGATTTATTACATTTGATGAGCTGCAAAGTTTTCTTGATAAATTTCCAGGAATTGCCGAAAACCTGACCATCAGGTCTGTTTTTTAAATTAGATTGCTTTAAGCATTTCCCAATTACCAATCATATTAATTATAAATTTTTTTAAATTTAAAGTGCTGGTAAATGGTTGACCCCACCTCAAAAGTCAAAGAAGAAAACAGTCTCAAGTTATATTCCAAAATATTTTACTTGGAACTACATTAGCAACAACCCGGAACGCGTGGGTTTTATTACTTTTTATCTTCTTATTAACGCTGCCCTTATGGTATGGGTTGGCATTGAAAGAGCACCAATGGGAGTATTTGTTGTTTTGGCCAGAATCCATGGCATGTGTTTGAATCTTAACTGCACATTTATTTTTGTGCTCATGTTAAAAATGAGCTTGACTTGGCTAAGATCAACGTCGTTGAGGAAAATACTGCCGATAGATGATCATATAATGTTTCATAAACTCGTTGGTCTCTTTATTATCTATCTCAGTTTTGGTCATACATTGGGTCATGTTGGCTTTTACAGTAAGCATAAATCTCATATTTTCAATTGTCATTTTAACTTCAAATAAAAAACTGAAACACATGGAATGATATAAAATATAGAAAGAATTGCAGTGATGAAAATTGTATCCCATAAACTGATAAACAAGACATTTATATTGATTTTTGTTATTGTTAGTTGACACACCAGGAATGAAAGATAACAATGCAACATTAGCTGTTTGGGAATATCTTTTTACAACACGAGGAAAGCAAGGATGGTTTGAAAACCTTGCTGGAATCACAGGAGTTATTTTAATACTTATACTCGTCATTATGGGGATTTTTTCTTTGCCATTTGTTCGAAGGAGTGGACATTTTGAGGTGAATAACTAAAAAGGTTCTTTAGTCTAAATTCATGAGCAAGATTGTAAACTTTTGACAGTTATAGTATAGTCATAACAACGTGTGAAGACTTTGTTATCAACTTTTTGTTTTATTTCATGTTTCTGGATATGGCCATCACGAAAACACTTTAATTTTTTTCAGATATTTTACTGGACTCATCATCTTTTCATCGCATTCTGGATATTAATTATACTTCACGCTCCAAATTTCTGGAAATGGATTATTGTTCCAGGAATCCTTTATATAGTCGAAAGAATAATTCGTCTACGATGGTTCAACCTCGCAAGATATGGACGAACGTTTATTGAAGAAGGAATCACTTTACCATCTAAGGTGGATGAACGATAAACAATTTGGATGAATACATAAAGTTTCTTGCATAAATTTTCCGTAATCTGGATACACAATATTTAAGAAGAAAACAATCGCAAACTTCATTTTTTTTTTGTCTTAGGTAACACATCTTGTAATCACAAGACCTCCAAACTTTAACTTCAAACCAGGAGATTATGTTCATATCAATATTCCAGAAATTGCTAGTAATGAATGGCATCCATTTACAATAAGCAGTTCTCCAGAACAAGAAGACGTTTTATGGGTACATGTGAGAGGTGTTGGTACATGGACCAAAAAGTTGTATGACTACTATGAAAAAGAAATTGACAATGAAGAACAAAATGAAGGTAAAAAAAGGTCAACCATCAGACGAGAAAGAACTCATCGGGCAAAAGATCGTGATAGGTAATGTGTGATATTCTTTTCTTGTTAAACTGCAACTTTTTAAGAAATGTATTTTTTCTTTTTAGATATAAAGAAGACATTGGTGAAGACAATGATGGAGTTGTATCGGAAAACAATGATAATAATGAGATAAAAGAATCGGAGAACACAATGACAGTTAGACGTCGCAAGTCACCTTCACAAAATCGAAAGAAATTGAGAGTTAGTATTTATTAAACTATTATCATATAACCTTTTGACAGACATATCTAAACAGTTGAAGAGAAATTTTATAACCTCTTCCTCTCTGCTAACAATAACAAATTTCATCCTTCAGATTTATGTCGACGGGCCGTATGGAGCACCCTCAGTTCATATCTTTGAAGCTGAGCATGCAGTATTGATTGCCGGCGGTATCGGTGTTACACCATTTGCTTCCATTCTTCAAAGTATAATGAAGAAAGTTCAAAGTGCAACTAACGATTGTCCACTTTGTCACCATAAATGGGTTGGAGCAATGCCTCAAGGATTGCAAAAACTTAGAAAGGTTAGTTAATGAAGATCTAGTTGATTAAAGAATGAAGTATTTGTTTTAATGTGGCATATTGACAAAAACAAACAAAAACAAAAACAAAAACAATAATTTGCTTCTTCACTATGTAGTTTTTATTTCACTGATTAATGTCATGTTTAGGTTGATTTCTACTGGATAAATCGTTGCCAGCGCTCATTTGAATGGTTTCTTAGTTTAATGAATGAAATAGAAGTTCAACAATGCTGTCAAGGTTTGAAGAAAAATTTCATCGACATGCACATACACATGACGTCAGCTTTAAAAAAAGATGATATGAAAGGACTGGGTCTACAGTTAGCATTAGATTTAATTCATGAAAAGAATTCTGTGGATATGATTACTGGCTTGAGAACGAAAACATCACCAGGAAGGCCTAACTGGGATAAGGTAACGATAAATTATAAAAATCTAATTCTTAATGCATTATTATATATAACCTTTTTCTGAGAAATAAATGAAAAACTTTTAGCTAATTATCTGTTTTGTTATAGGAATTCGAAAGGCTTTACAATGAAAAACAAGGCAAAGTAACTGTGTTTTTTTGCGGTGCACCAGTCATGGGCAAAGTGATCAAAGTTTACTGCAGAAAATATGGATTTGGGTTTCGAAAAGAAAATTTCTAATTCCAAATCGCGATGTTACCAACAATATTTACTCGTAAATGAAAAACAGCATAACAAAAATTCAGTCTCTGGTAGAAAACATACGATAATTTCTGATATAAATTCATTGACAGTAAAAGAAATATAGCAAATGACATTTGTATAACAAATGAAATTGTAAGAAAACCTACGATATGAATCATAACAGTCATAGTTAAATGTATATAGGTTTGTCTGTAAATTAATTTAAAGAAAAGCATTAATTGCTGATATACAAACATAGCACAAATAAATAGGAAAGACAGCATGGTCAAATAGTACGTATTTACTATACATATTTCTAGCCAAAGAATATACTGTAGTATTGTATACAAAGAAAAACACTTGGTGTAGCAACTTTAGAAACATTTTTCATACGATATATTCAACGTTCAACTTTTTCCAACTGACACTTTTATGAAATATAATAGAAAACATCATCTTGTAAACTAAAAATCTTGATTGTTTGAAGTATGTTTAGAGTATTTATGTTTTTCATGCATGAATTATTGACATGTATAGTTTTTACAGCAAGTTTTGGGACAAAAGAGCATTCGCAGTACGTTTCACAATGAAATATTTCAAGACAAAAATATTAAATTCCAAGAGAATAAAAACGCCATACATATGTCATGTTGCAGAAAGTAATTCATGGTGGATTCTCTGTCTATCGTAAAAAATTGAAATTTCCTAAGCACGGTAAACGTGTAGTACCGCAAGTTTTTTTATTTGATGCAATCAATGTTTTAAAAGAGACGTTTCTTCTAGCTGATTTTTAATCCTTTTCACATTACCACTACATTTTTCACAGCCAAACGTATATTTTCATGAAATAGCGAGAAACTTGCCAAGCGGGAAACGGATTCGTATTAGAGAAACAACTTTATACATTTTTCCTTATAAATATGAGTATATTTTTTCCTGTTCATCACACCTAACTCACTGTAATCTAACACTAACAGGTACTCTCCCAATATGCAAATCTTTGTATATATATAAAAACACACATGGACCATTTTAACTACTAGTCTGATGATGTCTTGTGTTAAGACGAAACGTTACTGTCATTAAACTTTATAAAATAAACACAATGAAACGCGTGCGCTGATTGGTCTAGAGCTGTGTTTGCATTAGCCTGTGCAAAACACATCTGAGCTCAACCAATCAAATCAATTAAAACAATCAATCAGTCAAAGAGAATATGTATCTCGAGCATATGCAACCCTCGACCTTCGGTCTCAGGCTTGCACTGATCAGCTCTAGAGTTCTCCCAAAAGTCTCCTCGGCTTGCATAAGCCTGTGCAAACACAGTAAACATCTTTTATTTCTTAAATAATTCTTTAAAAATGGCTATAATTAGAATTTTATGTTGCGCAATTGTTTTTCAAAAAAGAGATATACTTGGAACAAGGCATACTTCGTGGGCACTAAATCACGTTCTAGACTCGACGGCAATTTTTTCTTGACACGACTTTAATATAAATGTGAATTTCATTCACATTATCAATACTTAAATATTTTAACTAATGACAACTGTAACATTGATTTTAACCTGTTGATACCAACAACTAACAATTTTATTATTTTTACAGGAGAACGAGCTTGTTCATTCTCCATGCATTAAACTCTTTCCCCGATTTAGGTTTTCTCAATCTAAGAAAAGTTGAAATTTTTAAAAGACATGCAAGTACTAATTTTTGTGTACTCACGTCGTTCAACTTGCTTTCCTTAATCTCGAACATCACAAAAATATGGAAAGATATTTAATTATTTTTAAACAATCCAGGAAACCAATATAAACGGTCTTTACACTCTTGATCATCAATCCAAATCATTCCTTCTTGAATCATGTGTTCCTAAATAACAATATGTGTTCCAAAATAAGCTGTGTTTCTAAATATCAAGTTGTTTCAAAATAAAATATGTGTTCCACCGCAAGCTTGACATTTATTACTCATCAAAACAGCTAATACAGGTAATATTGCATCGGCTTAGCGTCCTTGTACCTTAGAGAAGCCTAAACACAAACAGTCTTGATTATAAATATACATACTGTATGTCTATAGTGCTCCATGCGGATGGGTAGGTGGGACTCAAGTCAAACTGGATGCAACAACAAAATGATCTTAATATAACCTACACCACGCGCCACAATGATTCACAATTGGGCTCCCAAGGGTGTGTGAGAAAATATTTTCCGCCTTTTCGTTCCTCAGTCGGCAGGAAATACTTCACAATCAAATAAAAACAAAATTTCCACTCACCAACACATGTTCAGCACGTTTAATTTCCCATCCTAAAGTATTCGTTATTAAAGATAACGAAATGTTGGAAGTTTCCTGTAGAAGAGTTTATTCATTGTTAAATTAAAACTTTGAACCATTGTTTTCCCCACCATATAACACTGTATAAAACATTGTTCCATATCCTACAACACTGTGTAAAACATTGTTCCATATCCTACAACACTGTGTAAAACATTGTTCCATATCCTACAACACTGTGTAAAACATTGTTCCATATCCTACAACATTGTGTAAAACATTGTTCCACATCCTACAACACTGTGTAAAACATTGTTCCACATCCTACAACACTGTGTAAAACATTGTTCCATATCCTACAACACTGTGTAAAACATTGTTCCATATCCTACAACATTGTGTAAAACATTGTTCCATATCCTACAACACTGTGTAAAACATTGTTCCATATCCTACAACACTGTGTAAAACATTGTTCCATATCCTACAACACTGTGTAAAACATTGTTCCATATCCTACAACATTGTGTAAAACATTGTTCCACATCCTACAACACTGTGTAAAACATTGTTCCACATCCTACAACACTGTGTAAAACATTGTTCCATATCCTACAACACTGTGTAAAACATTGTTCCATATCCTACAACACTGTGTAAAACATTGTTCCATATCCTACAACATTGTGTAAAACATTGTTCCATATCCTACAACACTGTGTAAAACATTGTTCCATATCCTACAACATTGTGTAAAACATTGTTCCACATCCTACAACACTGTGTAAAACATTGTTCCACATCCTACAACACTGTGTAAAACATTGTTCCATATCCTACAACACTGTGTAAAACATTGTTCCATATCCTACAACACTGTGTAAAACATTGTTCCATATCCTACAACACTGTGTAAAACATTGTTCCATATCCTACAACACTGTGTAAAACATTGTTCCATATCCTACAACATTGTGTAAAACATTGTTCCATATCCTACAACACTGTGTAAAACATTGTTCCACATCCTACAACACTGTGTAAAACATTGTTCCACATCCTACAACACTGTGTAAAACATTGTTCCATATCCTACAACATTGTGTAAAACATTGTTCCATATCCTACAACACTGTGTAAAACATTGTTCCATATCCTACAACACTGTGTAAAACATTGTTCCATATCCTACAACACTGTGTAAAACATTGTTCCATATCCTACAACACTGTGTAAAACATTGTTCCATATCCTACAACACTGTGTAAAACATTGTTCCATATCCTACAACACTGTGTAAAACATTGTTCCATATCCTACAACACTGTGTAAAACATTGTTCCATATCCTACAACATTGTGTAAAACATTGTTCCATATCCTACAACACTGTGTAAAACATTGTTCCACATCCTACAACACTGTGTAAAACATTGTTCCATATCCTACAACATTGTGTAAAACATTGTTCCATATCCTACAACACTGTGTAAAACATTGTTCCACATCCTACAACACTGTGTAAAACATTGTTCCATATCCTACAACATTGTGTAAAACATTGTTCCATATCCTACAACACTGTGTAAAACATTGTTCCACATCCTACAACACTGTGTAAAACATTGTTCCATATCCTACAACATTGTGTAAAACATTGTTCCATATCCTACAACACTGTGTAAAACATTGTTCCATATCCTACAACACTGTGTAAAACATTGTTCCATATCCTACAACATTGTGTAAAACATTGTTCCATATCCTACAACACTGTGTAAAACATTGTTCCATATCCTACAACATTGTGTAAAACATTGTTCCATATCCTACAACACTGTGTAAAACATTGTTCCATATCCTACAACACTGTGTAAAACATTGTTCCATATCCTACAACACTGTGTAAAACATTGTTCCATCCTACAACACTGTGTAAAACATTGTTCCATATCCTACAACACTGTGTAAAACATTGTTCCATATCCTACAACATTGTGTAAAACATTGTTCCATATCCTACAACATTGTAAAACATTGTTCCATATCCTACAACACTGTGTAAAACATTGTTCCACATCCTACAACACTGTGTAAAACATTGTTCCATATCCTACAACACTGTGTAAAACATTGTTCCATATCCTACAACATTGTGTAAAACATTGTTCCATATCCTACAACACTGTGTAAAACATTGTTCCATATCCTACAACACTGTGTAAAACATTGTTCCATATCCTACAACATTGTGTAAAACATTGTTCCATATCCTACAACACTGTGTAAAACATTGTTCCATATCCTACAACACTGTGTAAAACATTGTTCCATATCCTACAACACTGTGTAAAACATTGTTCCACATCCTACAACATTGTGTAAAACATTGTTCCCATTGTCCACATTTGTGTAAACATTGTTCCAAACATTGTGTAAAACATTGTTCCATATCCTACAACACTGTGTAAAACATTGTTCCATATCCTACAACACTGTGTAAAACATTGTTCCACATCCTACAACATTGTGTAAAACATTGTTCCACATCCTACAACATTGTGTAAAACATTGTTCCATATCCTACAACACTGTGTAAAACATTGTTCCATATCCTACAACATTGTGTAAAACATTGTTCCATATCCTACAACACTGTGTAAAACATTGTTCCACATCCTACAACACTGTGTAAAACATTGTTCCATATCCTACAACATTGTGTAAAACATTGTTCCATATCCTACAACATTGTGTAAAACATTGTTCCACATCCTACAACACTGTGTAAAACATTGTTCCATATCCTACAACACTGTGTAAAACATTGTTCCATATCCTACAACACTGTGTAAAACATTGTTCCATCCCAACACTGTGTAAAACATTGTTCCACATCCTACAACACTGTGTAAAACATTGTTCCATATCCTACAACACTGTGTAAAACATTGTTCCATATCCTACAACACTGTGTAAAACATTGTTCCATATCCTACAACACTGTGTAAAACATTGTTCCACATCCTACAACACTGTGTAAAACATTGTTCCACATCCTACAACACTGTGTAAAACATTGTTCCATATCCTACAACACTGTGTAAAACATTGTTCCATATCCTACAACACTGTGTAAAACATTGTTCCACATCCTACAACACTGTGTAAAACATTGTTCCATATCCTACAACACTGTGTAAAACATTGTTCCATATCCTACAACACTGTGTAAAACATTGCTCCACATCCTACAACACTGTGTAAAACATTGTTCCATATCCTACAACACTGTATAAAACATTGTTCCATATCCTACAACATTGTGTAAAACATTGTTCCACATCCTACAACACTGTGTAAAACATTGTTCCACATCCTACAACACTGTGTAAAACATTGTTCCATATCCTACAACACTGTGTAAAACATTGTTCCATATCCTACAACACTGTGTAAAACATTGTTCCATATCCTACAACACTGTGTAAAACACTGTTCCATATCCTACAACACTGTGTAAAACATTGTTCCATATCCTACAACACTGTGTAAAACAGTCTTCCATATCCTACAACACTGTGTAAAACATTGTTCCACATCCTACAACACTGTGTAAAACATTGTTCCATATCCTACAACACTGTGTAAAACATTGTTCCATATCCTACAACATTGTGTAAAACATTGTTCCACATCCTACAACACTGTGTAAAACATTGTTCCACATCCTACAACACTGTGTAAAACATTGTTCCATATCCTACAACACTGTGTAAAACATTGTTCCATATCCTACAACACTGTGTAAAACATTGTTCCATATCCTACAACACTGTGTAAAACATTGTTCCACATCCTACAACACTGTGTAAAACATTGTTCCACATCCTACAACACTGTGTAAAACATTGTTCCACATCCTACAACACTGTGTAAAACATTGTTCCATATCCTACAACATTGTGTAAAACATTGTTCCATATCCTACAACACTGTGTAAAACATTGTTCCATATCCTACAACACTGTGTAAAACATTGTTCCACATCCTACAACACTGTGTAAAACATTGTTCCATATCCTACAACACTGTGTAAAACATTGTTCCATATCCTACAACATTGTGTAAAACATTGTTCCATATCCTACAACACTGTGTAAAACATTGTTCCATATCCTACAACACTGTGTAAAACATTGTTCCATATCCTACAACACTGTGTAAAACATTGTTCCATATCCTACAACACTGTGTAAAACATTGTTCCATATCCTACAACACTGTGTAAAACATTGTTCCACATCCTACAACACTGTGTAAAACATTGTTCCACATCCTACAACACTGTGTAAAACATTGTTCCATATCCTACAACACTGTGTAAAACATTGTTCCACATCCTAAAACACTGTGTAAAACATTGTTCCATATCCTACAACACTGTGTAAAACATTGTTCCACATCCTACAACATTGTGTAAAACATTGTTCCATATCCTTGAGTTGAAATATGAAAATGCTTCAATTTCTATACTCACATTTACGAAAGTAAATGTTAATAATTTTTATCAGACCTTTACGTAATTTTTCCATTTGAATGATTAAAAGAGCTATGCTGCCTTTTTTTATTAATTGAATAAGAGAAAAAATCATTGTAGAACGAAGTAAACACAAAATAAAATAACTAGCCAATTGCTAGACTTATTCTGGATTTACAAAAAAAATACCCTCTCAACGCATGCGCATTAATTTCAGCTTTCCCAATCTTTTGCCCACCTGAACACGTGAGGGCAACTTGAAAGCCCAACAATATATATTATAGACATAGAAATAGTATTTACCTGTGACAGTTCTAATACAGTGGTATGATCCATATTTAATTCACCAGGCACAGATTGGACAATACGATTCTGTCCAACAGGTATAATTTGAAAACCACTTCCTAATGTATGAAGCTTTTTTATGGCCCGTGCCAAATCATCTCTTAAAAGTAAATAATGAATCCTGTAAGTCCGTCGACCTGTCATGTAAGTACATGATGAAAAAACTGCTGGACAAAAAATTCATACAACCTACATGACGTAGATTTGATGAGATAAATTTCTATTCAAAAGAAATTTACTCACACAGTAACATCTTGTCTGGATTTTCCTCCTCCTTTTAACAATAAACGATGTAGTTCATCAAGAGGCAAAAGACCTGAAGAAACAAACAAATTCTGTCGTAATCTCCTTGACAATAAAACAAAAAAATTCTGTTCTACTTACCTCCATTTCTTGTTCGTGTTGCCATACATATTTCAATTGCTTGAATACCAAGCTACAGAAGAAAATAACAGAATTTCACATTATCAATAAGACAGAGATTAATATAGTCGGCTGAACGAATATAAGAATCAAGTAAATGGTTTGAACCCGGGAGTATCGTTATATGTTTGTAAATGTCGATCGTCCAGGTTGGTATAGTCCTGAGAAGGACTGTTTTTGTTGTTGTTGACTGACGTTTCGACAACCTTAGCGGTAGTCATCTTTATCTTCATCTTTTGACTCTGAAGATGACTACCGCTAAGGTTGTCAAAACGTCAGTCAACGACAACAAAAACAGTCCTTCTCAGGACTATACCAACCTGGACGATCTACAATTACAAACATGAATATAAGAGTCACTAAAGTAATGACAAGTTAAATATGATTTACCTCATAGTAGAAATCGCCGACTCCTAACATTTCTGCCCAAAATCCTTTGCTAGCTAAATGAATATACATGAAATAATAAACGCAACAGTTCATGGGTCTTACGTAAAAACGCTTTATCGTTGGAGATAGAAAATTCATTGTTTTTATTGCAAACTATTAGTAAATACGTTCTTGATAAAACTTTAACTTTGATCAAATCTTGGAAACTTACATGCTAATGGATCAACTCCAATCCTAGCACACATTTGTTGAAAATGTCCGCGAAATTCGGCATTTTTCTTAATATCCGACTTGTGTTTTGTAGCAAATTCCTCCAGATATGTTTTGAACGACTCCAATTGTTTGGACATCTGGTTTTTCAATATATTTTATTATTTTACAAGTAGCAAATAATAGTGATTACAAAGAAATGTTAAATAAGCACTTCATAATTGTAATATTTCTTACGCTATTATAAAATGATAAAAACTATAAAATGCGCTATGGTATGGACAAGAAAAAAAAGCAATTCTTGCAAAGGGCACCATAAAATTTTTTTGGTTTAACCAAAACAATACATAATTCATTAAAACAGGCGCTAGATGAAAGAAAAAACTGTATTAAAAGAAAAATATTTGTTTTAAAGTACTTAGTGATGATATCAACTTAGTAATACAAACAAACAAACAACATTTGTATACCGGCCAGTATTAATCCCCGCCAGGGGGGTTGACCGGTCCATGAACTTTTCTACGCCAAACGTCTCTATCTCTCGCCATATCTCTCGTTATACCCATCGCCTTCATATCACTGTTCACAGCATCCATCCATCTCTTTCTCGGTCAATCCTCTCTTATCGCAAAGCCAACACCATTCGTGCCACTTCCGTTTCCCTTCCAAAACCACTTAAATCTCGCTCCATTATCTTCACCCTTTATGACTCTCGTACCTTCACCTTTAAACCTTACCTCCTGAAACCCACACACATCAACTTTCCTTCTCTTCAACATGTCCGCCACTTCTACACTCCTTCCCTTCATTGTCCCAACGTTCACTGTGCCAAGGGTGACACTTCCACCAACATTCGTAGAACCAACTCTCACCCCCGAGTTTTCGACTATCGATCCGGAGATTCTTCGCACCCCCTGCCCACTGAAGGGCTGCCGGGAACTGGGGGCCATGTCTTCTTTTCCAAAGTTCATGAATTTTGTTGGAGCAAAAGTTTTACGGTAGGATGCCCTTCCTTACACGAACCCCTTTTAGTCGTCTTTTACGACACGCAGAGGATACGTTGGCACAATTCTAAGCTGGCAACCACACGGCTAATGATCAACTTAGTAATGACCTAAGTAAAATTTTGTGCCAAGATTATAACTAGGATATCTACAACTACAACAATTTAATATAAATAAATGTGAATCAAATGATCGGAGGAATAGATTCATAATGATTGACTAGCTAACATTTCCCTTTGATAAAGAAAAACTCCAAATAGCACAAAGTTTAGTTTTTAATAAATGCCTGCTTTACCTGAGATATTTGGGCATCAGCAATATCATTTCCTTTTTGTTCAAACTTTGCCTGTAATGTTAAGTAGAAACATAAAACATGTTGGTTAAAATCAAAATTTCTATCAAAAATTCTACATATTTTACAAGGGAAGTGGCATTAAAGATATGTAGGCAGCAGGCTATGATGCTGCAAACATTTCTATTCATGACATAACTTTGTATATCTCACTTCTCAACAACAACAGGATACAAATGTGATAGCAAAAATATAAACTATGTAGCAATTGCATACCCAACCCAAATATGTACATACTTTAAAAACAATAGATTTCTCACAAAATAACAATGATAATGTTCCAAAACTAGCATAATACGTAGGTATAGAACATGCAGGGCAACTACATTACCCTGTACTACAATGTAAGGAGATGAAAGATGTCAGTTAAATACAAGTTAAGCAAAAAATGCTAAGAATAACATTGGGTTTGATCTAAAAGGGCAAATAAAAACATGAGAAAGCCTTGAGGGCATACATATTTTTTATTACCTCATCACCAAGACTTTGAACAATAATCAGACTAAGTTATGATTAGGAATAATGCAAATGTTATTTGTAGCTCCAGACATGCATGCAGGTAAATAAGCATATGGTATGGGTCTTCTACAACTATTCAGTGTAAAAAATAACAAAACTAATATCGTTTTCTGTCAATTAGAAAAGTGCAGGAAGAAAAAAGCATAACATTTGACTATAACTCCTACATGAAAGTTTGAGAAAACTGGGCTTTTAAGATTGCAAATTTTAAATCTTGACTCTTGAGAGCGCAGTTTACAAACTTTCCAGTCTGGGCTATAACCAAAAAAGTGTCCTTCCAAAAAAATGACCAGATTTAACGGTGAGGAAGTGCTGAGATAGATACAACAACAACTAAGTCAATGAAGAAAGAAAGAACAACAGATAAGACTACAAGGGCAAAGTACATACATAATTTTTCAAACACAGTAAGTACTTTTTCAAAATTACCTTAGCAAGCCTCTGTTTATTTATGGCCCCGATTCCCCCAGGTCCTCGTCTCATGGCTGTTATTCTCTGAATAACCAAAAAAAGCCCTTGAAAGTTTGGGACACAAAACCGAACTCCATTCAACAATTAAACTTCAACTGTGATTAGAAGTCGAAGGAGACTATTTTACATCTATTAGAAGGCTTTCGAGATCAGAACAAAAATAGACCGTGTAATGTGGTCTGAGTCTCTAAAGTATTTTTAGCGACAGTATTAACAATAAAAGCTCTTGCCAAAATTATTCAAGTTTTTAAAATACTAATGGCAACGCAAAGTAAGAAATATTTCAAAGAAAACATTTTGGAAATTGGAATGTAAAGTTAGAAAGGTTCGTATATATATGATATACAATTTAACGTCGAACCCATCGCTATCCCCTAATATCAAGATATTATCATATTATCCTTCATTTCGTAAAGATTTCATAATGGCGGACGACGGACACGTGAAAAGCAAAGATTTGAAAGATTTAAAGGTTGCAAATTTTTTGTGCGTTTCTTTTTAACTTTGTTTTGAAACCCTCATGAATCATACATGCAGTGGCTGCATACGATTGAAAAGCAAGCCTAAAACTCAATAGCCATTTTCCATTTATGATTTGGGCATTAGCATCAACTCCGAAACTCACTCAGAGGTCTGAGTCTTTAATGTTCGACCTCTTTACGCTTTTTGTCACGAATGAAAAATGCATCCGTTAGTGTATGAATTTTATGTTGGGAAAATTGACTATCGCAACTTGACTAAATCGGCGTCAATGTGATTTTTGAATAATAATGGTATTTTAAAATAGGAAAACGTTGTGTGAAATTAACATGGAATACACGCTGTGTAACCAATCATATAGTTTAATAAATACCTTAATTTCATCTATTTAAGGTTGTTGAGCTTCGTAAAGAATTGCATGAGAGAGGATTGAGTATTACTGGCAATAAAAGTGACTTAATTTCTCGTTTGGAAGAACATCTTTTAAAACATGGTATTAGCAGACATTGATTTGATGTCATCAAATTATCCTTTTGTTGTGTTTAGTTATGTGTTTGTACCAGAATCTTCAAACAATACATCAATAACCATCATCAGAGAATATATATATAATATATTAATCCTAACACGGTTTTTAATATGCACATGAAAAACATGTCCATACGCAGTTTAAAAGAGATTTGACTCGTCTCCAATCCCTGTGAGCTTGGTAGCTCGACAGGTAGAGCGGCGGACTAGTATCCCAAAGGTGCGAGTTCAAATCTCATCCAAGTCACATGTTTTTCATGTGCATATTAAAAATCGTGTTAGGATTAATATATTATATATATACATCAATAACATTCTACAATGTTTCTGCCCTTTGAGTGTAAACAAGAAGTTATTTTCTCACATTTTTATTAGATATACATCGGGCAATCATTCAAATTTTTTGCCTTTTTTAATATTGGCATTGATTTTTCTCGCTAAAATAAATAGACTTACCTAAATCCACCTGGAACTTTGTTATGATCACCATACAGTTTTAGTTGATTGGAAACTCAATATATATTTAATATTATGAATCATAACCTTATTTTTTCAATTTGAAGCAGATGAAGGAGAAGAAATCGAGGTTGAAGAAGGAGTATTTGATAGTGAGATTGAAAACATAACTACTGATCTTGAACACGATGACTTGACTGAAGATACTTTTGATGAGCAAGACAGTGGAAATGATTCAAAAAATGAGCAAACTGATGAAAAGGTGGAAAATTTGACAAATTTCATTTAATATTAAATCTTGGATATGTTCACATCAGTGGCAGATCCATTATCAGTCATATATTATAGCTACTCATTTTTAATTCAAAATGCCTTTAAAACAACAATATTTGTTATGAATTTCCAAAATTTTACTAACTGAGGGAATTGCCTCTAAGGTGTTTGGAAAAGTAGATGTATTTAAGAATAAGCAGTAATTGGCTTACCCTAAATTTGCCACTGGTTCCCATGGCAACATCAAACTATAGTTAATGATTGTAAATTCCATTTTTTTATTAGTCTGATGTACCAAGTGAAAACATTCCTCCAGATGATGATTTATCAAATGTTGAAGATAGCTTGTGAGAAATAGTTATTTGCTACTAGTATACATAATAAACGTATACCATATTTAACATAGGCTGCATAAGACTTTCAATTTGTTATAGAGAGCTGATCAAATCTGATGAGCAGCCAAGAAAAACTCCATTGACCTCCCTAAAAACAGAAAGTGAAGTATGTAGAATATATTTCTTCTATATTTGATTGTTACTTTAAAGCATTAGGTTTTCTTACTTTGTTCTTTGTCTTGTTATTTGTTTAGAGAAAACTAGATCGACAAAAAAGATTTGCTATTCCTCTTAATGAAAAACAAAAGAAACTTGCCAGAGCTGAAAGGTTAGTACTTTTATATTTATAATATAATGTCACAACTGTAGTTAAATTTTTTCAAACAATGAAATTAACATCAAAATATATCAATGTGTATGTAGATTTGCCATCAGTGGTAGCAAAACTGAAGGAATAGTCAGGGTTTGTATGGATGAATGCATAACTTTCTTTCCTATAATCATGGAATTTCACTAAATTCAATCTTTGTCAAATATTGCTTAAAAAACAAAATTTTAATTGTTCTTTTAAAGGAATCAAGTCAATTGGAAAAATTATCAAAACGAGCTGAGCGGTTTGGAGCTGTCTCTAAGGCTGTTGCTAAAGTACATATTAATTTTCTTTTGATCTTGAAAGTTTGATTTCTAATGCTTTTGTAACATGTTTGGAAAATTTTTCAGACAGTTGAAGAGGAGAAGATGAAAAAGAGAAAAGAAAGATTTGGTGCTTTAACATCAGCCTTACCATCTGATGTTGAGGTATAAGTCTAATGCTCTCATATGTACATTTAGCTTCTCGCTTTAAGTCAGTTTCCACCAAACAAAGAAGTTGAGATTTAATTCTTATTTAGACAAGAAAGAAGATGAGAAGTGAAAGATTCAAGTCTTGAACATTGTGCAAATGACTATGTTTTACTGCACATTTAAAATTCTTCATTCATAGACATCCTATAAAGTGTATTTTTCATATAAGATAAACATAATCTTACAAGATGAATCACATTTATCAATCATTGTTTAAAACATTCAAGATATTCCTATAGTTGTAAAAAACAGACGTGGTTGAAATGCATTTGTCATGGATTTGGCAAAATTCATTGTAAACAATGTTACAAATTAGTACCTTATAACAATAATTTACAACTAGAAGACAATAACTTTGCTCATCACTGCAAGTTGTACATAGAGTTGCTCATTTTGAGATTGTAAATTCTGTCAAGTGTTATTGGTATAAACGGTACAGTTGATACTATTTGTGATGTCGTTTGCTGATTTCAAAACCCTAGCACTTTATTGAAAAATTAGGAAATTTTCGACCAACACAATTTCAACGAAAAACCAAAGATTTTGTATTTTTACGTTGAATATACATTACGTTATTTTGTATTTTTACGTCGAAATATAAGCGAAGGTTTGATGGTGTTATGTAACTGATTAAAGTAAATTAAATGTTTAATCTAAAATGTTATTTGCATGTTTCGTGGAATGTTACCAGGTTATTAGGTCGAATAAATTAGCAGGTCATTTAGGTCAGTATTTCTGTCATTCTATTCTTTTTATATAACTCTATTTACACGATAGAAGCTTGGTTTCCCCAAACCAGACGCTTATAAAGAATTAAGAAACTATTGAAATTGGTGTTACATGAAAAACTGACATTATTCATGCAAGAAATAAAAGAGTTCAAACCACTGCACCAGTAATGTTTAATTCAATACCTGAAAATGTTCAACGAAAAAAAATCAAAAAACGGAGCTATTTGATATGAAGGCCCAGGATCTTGGAACAAGAATCTCCCTCAACGAATCCTAAAATTTGAAATGACATGTACAGAAACATATAAAGTTGAACAAATTTGCGTAAAGATGATTCTAATTTTATAACGCTAAAACTTAACTCAAAAACAAATTTGTGTTTCTCAAAGACCACGGATTTGTATGGACTTTGCGTTAACGAAAGAAACAAAAAACTATTCAACTTACATTTGACTTTGGATTATTCTGTACAGCAAACCATTCAATAGAATACAACACCATTAACATACCACTTCCAAAGATTAATGTAACCCACATAAATATATTCCAACCAGGAGAGACATTTTTGCCTTTTCTTGGTTTCAAAAACACGAATGAAACTGGAAACGAAAACGAAAGCAGTTCAAAACGATGTCAAAATAATCGTTTCTTAATGAATAAACCACCTTAGCACATGCAGGTAAAGGAATCATGTTTAGATAAAAATCAGACATCATAAAACTTTATAGTGTCATTTGTTGATACATATCTCTTTCGGACATGGGCCGTTCACAAGAAAGAGCTATATTGTTGAAATAAATTTTTTTGCGTTTTCATTTCCAAAACAAGAAAAGAAATTCGGGCTTCATCTTTAGTCACTTTCTACACAGGCATTTTAACACAACAAAAATCTCGAAAACAGATTGTAGTCTTTGATATCCAAGAAGTCTTTGTTATATCCATGCAGTGTATCGTTTATATCATAAAAAAGCTAAAGATATGCAATCTAAAGAGTTTATGTGAATGGCGTATTCTTGCCACCTTATACAATAAGTAGCGCGGAAATAGGAATAGAAAAATTTGTATACAGAACTAGGTAAGAATAAACAAACATATGTTGAAAGTTTGAATGAAAGAATAACAACTTGGTGTATGTATTCAGGAATGTATTCTACAATAACTAAATCTCGATGTTCCGCGCGAAATAATAATTCGAAGGAAAAGAAAAAAATTCAGATAATACTTTCATTTTTTTAATAAATTTACCTCCAAAACCAAAGAACGAGACGAATAACGCAGGGAAAAAAAAGTTGAATGAAATTATCAAGACGTATTCGTGAACGAGAGCTGAGATTAAAAATGTTATAATCATTGCAATATTTCTATTTCTTCTGAACATCTATAAAACAGAAATAATAAAATAAACTACACAAACATTTCTATACGTAAAGTCTACGTAATAAAACACTTCTGTCACTAACCCAATGAAAATCTCGAAAACAGTAAGCATACAGCCAATCATGGACAACAACATTCCATGTACGATAATAATTTGCATACGATGTGGAATTCCACCAGTCCTAAAAATACAAAGTTACGTTGAACTAATCTCGGAATTTTCCGCCTAGTGCATTTTTCCAAACACCATTTTATGTCAAAATGCTGTTTCACGTTTTCAATATGTAAATTACAAATAATTAATTTTCTTTTCTCTTTTGTTGTTATTATTAGTGTCTTAGGTAGGTAAACATTGCAATAATACACGTTACCTTGTAAAACATTCTGTCAGCAAACTTGAGCATTTCCGCAAATGCATTGAGCCAGGAATGAAGAATGCAAAAAAATCCAAGAACAAGAACAAGGGTTCCAGGTAACATGGTGTTGAAAATAGAAAGAACAACCTTTCTACGGAGATACGTAAAAAGAAATAAAACATGTTCCTATTGTATGTAAAATTATAAAATATTTATGAGATTATGAGATTATAACTTCACCAGATTCTTTTTAAGAATTAAAACAAATGTTTTACATTTTCCTCTAATATTTATTGAATTGATTTGCACAGGCTAATGCAAACTCAGGTATAGACCAACTCGATAAGGTATAGACCAAACTCAGGTATAGACCAACTCAGGTATAGACCAAACTCAGGTATAGACCAACTATAGACAAACTCAGGTATATACTCAGGTATAGGTGTGCGTGAGCGCACACGTTTTACTGTAACTATTTTAGAAATAATTTTCTCAAATAGGAAAAAGACTAACAACCTGTATGTCAAAGACAGACAATGAAAATGCCATATATAAAATGATCTACCAAATATTTCATTATATAAACTTACTTCAAATTAGGAGGATTATTTCCCATATCTCTGAAGACCGGAACACAGAAACGGACAAAGATGTAGTAAGTATAAAACACACAACCAAGAACTTGAAGAAAATTCGTCACAACATAATGCCAACGAATCTTTGATGTTCTATACAAATACATGGATATTCCTGAGGAAAAAGTTTACCAATCGATAATATTTATCAAAATTGAAGTTCAAAAAGTTAGATTAAATACAAAATACTGATAAAAAACAGTCGTTCAAAATAGGCCACTTTATATATGCATATATAGGCAGGGACTTGAGAAACCATGGGTGTGTGGGTGTCCGTTTTGTAGTGTTTTTGTAGTGTGGGTGTCCTTTAAAAAGGAACACCCACAAATTATACTCCTTGTTGTAACGTTAACGATACAATGTCAAGTTTTAATAGGTGCAGCAAATTTTTAAACTAATGAACAGGCTCTTCGCTTTGATATGATTGGTAAAGTTAAAAAAAAAATTCGATAGAAAATAACTAAAACGTAATAACTAAAATAGCGTTTGTGAGTTATTATCACAGAAAAAGCTTCGAACATCCACAAAAGCTTTAAAAGCTTCCAAAGAACTTGCGTAAAAAGTGCTTTGATACACCATCGAGAAAATAAATCTTTTATAATAATACCTAGTAAGGTATGCGTATATAAAATAAGTATAACGACTTTAAAACACACAAACGACAGAAAAGGACTTACACACAGAAAGTGAACTTGTATGGAGCTGGAGTATACACAATGTGTTTTATTTGGTTCAGCTACTTTGTAGCTACTTTCTCTAACAACTTATCAATTTTTACTTCGGTGTAGAGATTATGTATGAACATTATAAACACTTACTGTGGGTATGAATCTCTGTAAATAAGAGTTGGGGCAAAAAGGAAATAAAGAAACTGACTAAAACCAGGAATGTTTCTATCTTCTTTACAAGCATCCTCATTATCCTCATCTTCTGATTGTTCGTTATCACTGTTCTTTTTGTCCGAACCTATAATTTCAAAATTCAAAAGCTTTCATTTGATTTGTAAATTCGTTTTTAAAATAATTTACGTATAGTACTATCTCAAATGGAAAAACCTTAACAATGTTGAAAATAAAGAACTGAATATACGAATATTTCATTTGTTCTATTTCATGCGAGAGATGAAAGTAGATGACAGTAAAAGGTAAAAATGATAAAATTACTTGAAGAAGCAAGAACTCTAGGGGCAACTTCTCTCACAAATGCGTGAAGTTTCATATAAAACCGAACCTAAAATAAGAGAACATATGAATATAAAGAATACCCCAATCATTCACGTAAAACATCTACCACAAGTTATAAATTTCAATAGAAACCTGTTCCATGAGGAACATATAAATATAAAGAATACCCCAATCATTCAGGTAAAACATCTACCAAAAGTTACAAATTTCAATAGAAACCTGTTCCATGAGGAACATATAAATATAAAGAATACCCCAATCATTCAGGTAAGACATCTACCACAAGTTACAAATTTCAATAGAAACCTGTTCCATGAGGAACATATAAATATAAAGAATACCCCAATCATTCAGGTAAAACATCTACCACAAGTTATAAATTTCAATAGAAACCTGTTCCATGAGGATAATAATTCGGGAGACAGGAGGTAAATCATGCGCGTAGATCACATTGATAGGAAAACAAATGAGGAAAACCACATAAGCAATGAGAATTCCCAACCAAATAAAATCCACGACTTTAGATGATGGAGAACGCGTTGATATCCAGGCTTGAAACAATGGATACGCCGAAAGGAGTTGCACTTGCATGGCTATCCACGTCAACAAAACAACAGGAACATTGCCAAAAGCCCAGGTCAAAATACTAATGTCTATCACAAACCTTGCAAATACAAAACACACAGGTGATCAAGCAGAATTGTCGTAAATTAACCGTTTAGCTGCAGTACCGCTCACGTGTATTTAACACTTTTTTGCGTATGGTACGCGTATGATACAAATATAATGTGCGTATAGTTAGTTGTTTTCTTTTCAGTTGTTTAAACTAATGCAATAAAAAATGATCTGAACGCCCTTCTCTATTAAACGTTTTCTATACGGGTATCATACGCACATTATATTTGTATCCTACGCGCATGTTAAGATACACGCGAGGGGTACTGTAGGTTGCACGCGTATGTTAAGATACACGCGAGCGGTACTGTAGGTTGCACGCGTATGTTAAGATACACGCGAGGGGTACTGTAGGTTGCACGCGTATGTTTAGATACACGCGAGGTACTGTAGGTTGCACGCGTATGTTAAGATACACGCGAGGGTACTGTAGGTTGCACGCGTATGTTAAGATACACGCGAGGGTACTGTAGGTTGCACGCGTATGTTAAGATACACGCGAGGGTACTGTAGGTTGCACGCGTATGTTAAGATACACGCGAGGGTACTGTAGGTTGCACGCGTATGTTAAGATACACGCGAGGGGTACTGTAGGTTGCACGCGTATGTTAAGATACACGCGAGCGGTACTGTAGGTTGCACGCGTATGTTAAGATACACGCGAGGGGTACTGTAGGTTGCACGCGTATGTTAAGATACACGCGAGCGGTACTGTAGGTTGCACGGCTAACAATGTGTATTAATAATTTTCAAATTACCTTCCATGATCAATGTAGTCGTAAACAAGAGTGTTAAAACTAAATACAATAAGTATTGCAACGAAAATGTTGTAAATTGTGCGAATATGGGAAACTTCCAGCAAAACACTAAAATAAAAGAAAAACATGATATACTCATTTTTCTACTACACACGAAACGAGTTTTGTCGCTTAGTCAGATATAAAAACAATAGTAGTATTTAACATACGTAAGGACAGACTGCTGTGGTTTGAACACTTTTCTTGACTCCATGGAGCTTAAACATGAAGAAAAATAAAATTTCACCGATGAAGCAGTTTCAATTTCAATAAAAAGTATAATCATTAGGGAGAGTCACACATCAACATACCATAACACTACCATGATGTAAAATGAAATAATTACACATTAAGTTGTAATAATTACACATCAACATGCCATAACATTACCATGATGTAAAATGAAATAATTACACATTAAGTTGTAATAATTACACATCAACATGCCATAACATTACCTGATGTAAAATGAAATAATTACACATTAAGTTGTAATAATTACACATCAACATGCCATAACATTACCTGATGTAAATTAAATAATTACACATTAAGTTGTAATAATTACACATCAACATGCCATAACATTACCTGATGTAAAATAAATAATTACACATTAAGTTGTAATAATTACACATCAACATGCCATAACATTACCTGATGTAAATTAAATAATTACACATTAAGTTGTAATAATTACACATCAACATGCCATAACATTACCTGATGTAAATTAAATAATTACACATTAAGTTGTAATAATTACACATCAACATGCCATAACATTACCTGATGTAAATTAAATAATTACACATTAAGTTGTAATAATTACACATCAACATGCCATAACATTACCTGATGTAAATTAAATAATTACACATTAAGTTGTAATAATTACACATCAACATGCCATAACATTACCTGATGTAAAATAAATAATTACACATTAAGTTGTAATAATTACACATCAACATGCCATAACATTACCTGATGTAAATTAAATAATTACACATTAAGTTGTAATAATTACACATCAACATGCCATAACATTACCTGATGTAAATTAAATAATTACACATTAAGTTGTAATAATTACACATCAACATGCCATAACATTACCTGATGTAAATTAAATAATTACACATTAAGTTGTAATAATTACACATCAACATGCCATAACATTACCTGATGTAAATTAAATAATTACACATTAAGTTGTAATAATTACACATCAACATGCCATAACATTACCTGATGTAAATTAAATAATTACACATTAAGTTGTAATAACACATCAACATGCCATAACATTACCTGATGTAAATTAAATAATTACACATTAAGTTGTAATAATTACAAATCAACATGCCATAACAATGATAAAATCTCCAAAACGTAAAATTAAAATATCAATAGTTGAATACAACAGACATAAATTTCAATTGTGAAAGGCAGTGGTGAGATGTGCTGTGCCTGTATCATTGAGATAAGAAATAATACTAAAGATGGCATCATAATACAACGTGTAAGGCAAAAAATGGTACGCGTAGGGGGACAAATCCCATTCCAGGATGTTGACTGGTCAAGCGACAATAACAAAGTTTTCGGGTATATTTTGTCCAAATATTATAGTGAATGTTATCAAAATTAATTTTTTGAACTATGTTTTTTATCGCAATCTTAGATGGTTTAAACCACTCGTATTTTGCAAAACATATTTGTGTTGCTTTTAAACATAAGTCGGGAGTGTTGATTGATAAAAACGCCTTTTTCGTCGTTAATTCAGCCGGTAAGAGACTTCAAAAAACATATTTTTGTCATCTATACCAGGAAATGTTAAAAATGGTTAAACTATGTGAATATGTGGGTGGTAAAAATAGAAAAACAAGCAAGAACAACATAAGCGCCTTCACGAAGCAAGCTCGCGTTACACCTTTCCCCCACGTCCCTTCTATAGGGGAGGGGGGGAAGGGGGTATGACATAGGAGTTCAAAGTACATGGGAGAATGCATCAAGGTGAATGGCAGACTAACAGACAAAATTAGAAAGGAGTCCAATGGACTACGATACTTCAGCTGTGACATTGACATTATGTAGTAAGGATAGAGAGCATAAATTAAGTTACTCTAGAGAGATGAAGGAATGCTTTAGAAAGTCGACAAACAAAGATAAGTCAGAAAACACAGAATACACATGATTGAAAGGGATCTAAATGGTACAGTAAGATTACGGAAGCAGAGATGAAGGTGGAGGATTTTACTATTTTATGATCAACACTCCAGAGCATTAAAAAATGTGAAAAGAAAAGTGAAAAAACATGTGAAAGCAGAATGAAAGGTATGTTACAAAAATCAAGATGCTGAGGTGAGATCATCAGACTCCGGATCAGAACTAGACTCCGGATCAGGATTAGACACTGAATCAGGATGGCCACATGCAGCAAATCCAGGTATTTTCGTAGGATGCTAAGTTTAGAACTTAGCACTGCATGACCCTAGAGGCTATAGGCTACAGAGAAATACAAAACAGGAGGTATACATACAAATACACAAAAAGAGGCAGTTTGAGACAGGAGTCGATATATTATAGAGAAAAGATCAAGGCAGATGATTGGCAATTGTAACCTCGAAAAAGAACAAGCCAAAAAAAAAGATGAGGAGTCACTTCACAAGCTAACTTTTCCAATCACACAGCTATCTGAAAACCATGATTTTCATTTTAAGAAGTACATTACTCCAAAAGAGCTTATATTGGAGTATTTGTATTACATATGACATTTTTAAATGATGTAAAACATTCACAATAATTTTAATAATTTAATGATCCTAAATACCAATAAAATTAGACATTTATATTTATAAGTATACTAGCAAGCATTTATTATGACAGCAAAAACTTTCATAGATTTGTATGCATTATAGCATGATTATGCTAGATCAATCTTTAAAATAGATTGTTGATACAATCCTTGGTTTGCACTCCAGCAATATTCATAAAACTTAATCAATAGCAATTTAAAAATTGAAAAATGAGCCACACAAAAATATTTCAAAACAATAGTTAAATAAAAGGTCCACATTTTAAAGTGGACCTTTTATACACAACTCTGTCAAACATGAATGTATAAGAGTTGAATGTGTGAAAAGCTTTGACAAATGTAGTGAAAATCTAAAATTTAAATATTAATAAATAAAAAAACAATAGATTGTACAATTTAAAAGACTCAAAACTCCCTTTTTTAAATCTTGTGGTGTGACGACAACACTTATTATTTAACAATAATTTCCCGTTAACAAATCACAAATGTTAAAATCTGCGGTACATTTCAAATGTTCATTTAAACGCTCCGTGGAGAAATTTGAAATTTCCCGTCATAAATTCATGTTTCATGTCTGTCCACAAACAAGTTATTTTGAAAATACATTTCTAAATAGAGAACCAACTTACTTCCTTGTAGATTGATCTACGATGCCTCCATTTCTAGTTGTTTGGCCAACAGACCCAACATTCTCTCTCAAGAAATCTTGAAATAAATCATCCATACTCGACTCAAAGCTGTCTTGAAATTGTCGAAGCAGCTTCTTCTTAACATTCTTTTCAATCACGGCATCATAAATGTTATTACAAAAATATAAGTAACATGGTCATAGTTTTATTCTCTAGAAATTTTGTTATTTTATCTCATGTAAAAAATATTACTTTAAGAATTCAAATATACCTCGGCTTTCGTCTTTAAATTTTGCTGTTTCATTTCGTCCATACTCTGCCAAGCAATTTCTACAGCAAGTAATTCATATATGAAATTTTACGTGGAGTAAAAAGATCACTTATTTTCCGTTACTTTATTTACACTTACGTTCGGGAAACTTATTTGAATTTATATTCTTCATCGTTAAATCGGAATAAAAATAAACATCTTCCGAAATGCGATTTGTATAATGAATAATAACAAGTCAAATATATGAATAATAACAAGCTATTTTCCGCAACAGTAAACTTACTTCAGCTATCAGTAATTGCGAGTCTTTGTTCAATGTTCTTATGAACATTATGAATAACAAGAACCACACTGTCGCTTGTGTTAAAGTGCATGGCAAAAAATGGCATTCATACAAACAATGTCGACCTGAGCGTAAGGAACAAGAATCGATTCAATAATCCAGACACTTGATTTTGTCCGAATGACTTGATTTTAATCCGAATGACTTGATTTTGATTATAGCTTAAAGTAAGGCTAGTGATAAATTTTGCAGATAGAAATTACACAAAACAAACTTTATGCTCACTCGTAATGTTGTATAAAAGTGATGAAGCCTTCAATATTAAAATTTACTCAAATGCCGAACTCAGAATTGAAGGTTGTTGCACTTATCCTATTTATGCAAAAACTTCACCTTTCTGGTCATGAGATTTGTGGCTCCGGAAGGCACTTTTAGGCCGTGGACGGTGGACCAATGCGCTCAAAAACATAAATTTCGCTGCACACCTCTCACAAATAATGAGTTCTTTCACAGAGTTAGAGAATAATGCAAAAGCAAATAATCAGAGTGGCCTCAAACAATAAGTGTACACAAGCAGAAATTTACGTTTTTATTCACGATGAAGTCATCAATAGCTATGAAAACCAAAAAATTTGCAAATTCCAGGAATTCTCAATACCATTCGATAGACTAGTATGAAATGAGTAAAAAGTATATCACACCGTTCACTTTCAGTCACTCGTTTATGAAGCATCAACGACTGTTAACCATTATGCTGACTCAGCATTTTAAGGTCTTGTCTTATACCACCAGGCAGACCTGCCAACTCACCTGGTTTTATCTGCCATCACATAAATATTAAAACAAATCTTCAGAACATGAGATTTTCGATCACTTTCATCCGTTTTAAATTTTTGCTATAACTTGTATTTAGTAAAATAATTTTGAACAAATCAAGTCTAAGTGAGTGTTTAATTGAGAATTCTATTCACCTACACATTAACGAACAGAAGAACTCGTTGGAAGAGAATAGAGTGTTTTCGTCAGTCGCCGGTCATCGGCAATTTGATGTACTCCCCCAACATGGCTGATTTGACTTCACATACACACACTCTATTGTACATTTAGTACAAAGCACATTTTTAAATCTTTCACAAGTTTGATATTAGTAAATAATATTAAATATGTATCGTTGCTTCAGCTATGTTTAGTTAATTTACTTCATTATGTAGCCATACTTGACAGGCTACCCACACGTACGCACTACGCATCTATTTTTACTAATTGCATACAAAGTGAACAACCTTCCTCGACGTTTTTAACAATATTCATTCTGTGGCTTACTATTTTGTATTTCTTTTTTTATATGAAGGGAAATGATTTTACAAGTAACGTTTATCGTTTACCACATTAGAATAACATGAATTTGTGTAATGCAAAGATAAATATCTATTATTGAAAATAAAAAGTGAATGAAACAAATAAAAAAACTCTACGTAAAACCATGGGTGGCCAAGAAATCTGTAAAAGCTATTTAATCGAATTCATTGTTTATTTTAAGACACCACCACAACAGGTACCTATCAGCAAATCAGAAGTCTATAAATACAACTGCGAACAATTTACCCATCTGACTAATTTCGTACGAGTCAAAATGAACGAACCCAGTAATTAACGAACAATTTAATCCTAACTCCGAAATTTCCTTCCGAACAATTGTCACATCATAAATAGGGCCAAGCATTGGTCGAGCCTTTTACTTAAAGAAACAATCGCCATCTGAAGGCAAAAACTGGAATTTATGTGACGAATACCTGTTTAACACATGTGTAAAATAGTGCTCTTTGTGCGGTTAAAGATGACATAGCTACGTTTTCGATATTCCTCCTTTCCGATACACCCTTCCATTACGTTGTACATATACATATTTGATAAAGTGCTTCCTTTATTAGTCATAGTGAACGCCTCATTTCTGACACTATAAAAACAAATTACATTATATTGAGTTACCGTTGTTATGTATTTTATTAAACAACATTTTACTATATTTTTGGAGTTTTTTAAAACTTAAATATATTTCTATGCAAATTTTCTATGCAAAAATGCCTTTATTGTGGTGTGGTCACATTTGCCTCATAATCTGATCAACGTTTATGCATCTTTTGTTAGTTAGAAACTGGTCAATTTTTACGTTTTTCAAAAAGTTATTTTGCTGACAACAGGATTCTACGGCTTTATCCTCACCGCCTACGTCATCTCTTTGCAACTGCTTATCGTTATGTACTACACTCTCGCATATGTGTACCGTGAGATAGCAAAAAGTATCAATGTGAATGAGAAAAAACACTGTTGTGAATGATTATTAATTCGCCACAGAGAGATCTCAACGTATAATATGTATGGAATTATTAAAAAAACTCTACGTAAAACCATGGGTGGCCCAGAAATCTGCAAAAGCTATTTAATCGAATTCATTGTTTATTTTAAGACACCACCACAACAGGTACCTATCAACAAATCAGAAGTCTATAAATACAACTGCGAACAATTTACCCATCTGACTAATTTCGTACGAGTAACGAACAATTTAATCCTAACTCCGAAATTTCCTTCTGAACAATTGTCACATCATAAACAGGGCCAAGCATTGGTCGAGCCTTTTACTTAAAGAAACAATCGCCATCTGTAGGCAAAAACTGGAATTTATGACGAATACCTGTTTAACACATGTGTAAAATACTGCTCTTTGTGCGGTTAAAGATGACATAGCTACGTTTTCGATATTCCTCCTTTCCGATACACCCTTCCATTACGATGTACATATACATATTTGATAAAGTGCTTCCTTTATTAGTCATAGTGAACGCCTCATTTCTGACAGTATAAAAACAAATTACATTATATTGAGTTACCGTTGTTATGTATTTTATTAAAAAACATTTTACTATATTTTTGGAGTTTTTTAACACTTAAATATATTTCTATGCAAATTTTCTATGCATATTTTCTATAATAGAAAATATGCATATAAAATATGCGTTCGTCATATTTTTGAAGGCATCGCAGATTGACTACAATTATTTTTGCATAAATTGAGATTGGCTATAATAGTTTTCGCATAAATTCAGCCAATCTGCCATGTCTTTGATTATGAAGATGGTTGTTAAATTTAAAATAGTATCATGCTCTAAATACTAAGCAGAAAAACCACTGAGATAATTATAATTGATTTAATTTACAAGCACTAATTATATATGGTTCCATCAAATGGTGCCCGCATCCTCCAGTGAAGCGATTCTAAAGCAACAATTTTGTAAATAAAAAAGATACAAAACACATGATCACGATGTGTCAAAGTGAGTATTCTTACGTGTTCAAACGGCCTTCTTTTTCATTGAAATGAGAACTACAGAAATATTCTCATAAATATATTTCCTCATATCTTTTATTTACTAAAGCTCCAGTAACCTGTTCTCTCCATCAGTTAGTAAATATTAGCAAATATTCTATTTAAAAAGTACATCCCAACACAACAAAATCAACCTGCAAATAAGAAACGTGATACAACAAGAAAACCCAAAAAATTACCTCTTAATGAGAAGTAAACACTAGTAAGAGTATGGGTACTAAAGTAAACACTAGCAAGAGTATGGGTACTAAAGTAAATAATAGCAAGAGTATGGCTACTAGAGTAAACACTAGCAAGCGTATGGGTACTAGAGTAAACACTAGCAAGAGTATGGGTACTGGAGTAAACACTAGTAAGAGTATGGGTACTAAAGTAAACACTAGCAAGAGTATGGGTACTAAAGTAAATACTAGCAAGAGTATGGGTACTGGAGTAAACACTAGCATGAGTATGGGTACTAAAGTAAATACTAGCAAGAGTATGGGTACTAGAGTAAACACTAGCAAGAGTATGGGTACTAAAGTAAACACTAGCAAGAGTATATGCCTAAAGTAAATACTAGCAAGAGTATGGGTACTGGAGTAAACACTAGCATGAGTATGGGTACTAGAGTAAACACTAGCAAGAGTATGGGTACTAAAGTAAATACTAGCAAGAGTATGGGTACTGGAGTAAACACTAGCATGAGTATGGGTACTAGAGTAAACACTAGCAAGAGTATGGGTACTAAAGTAAACACTAGTAAGAGTATGGGTACTGGAGTAAACACTAGCATGAGTATGGGTACTGAGTAAACACTAGCAAGAGTATGGGTACTGGAGTAAACACTATTAAGAGTATGGGTACTGGAGTAAACACTAGTAAGAGTATGGGTACTGGAGTAAACACTAGCATGAGTATGGGTACTAGAGTAAACACTAGTAAGAGTATGGGTACTGGAGTAAACACTAGCATGAGTATGGGTACTGGAGTAAACACTAGCATGAGTATGGGTACTAGAGTAAACACTAGTAAGAGTATGGGTACTGGAGTAAACACTATTAGAGTATGGGTACTGGAGTAAACACTAGCATGAGTATGGGTACTAGAGTAAACACTAGTAAGAGTATGGGTACTGGAGTAAACACTAGCATGAGTATGGGTACTAGAGTAAACACTAGTAAGAGTATGGGTACTGGAGTAAACACTAGCATGAGTATGGGTACTAGAGTAAACACTAGTAAGAGTATGGGTACTGGAGTAAACACTAGCATGAGTATGGGTACTAGGTAAACACTAGTAAGAGTATGGGTACTGGAGTAAACACTAGCATGAGTATGGGTACTGGAGTAAACACTAGCATGAGTATGGGTACTAGAGTAAACACTAGTAAGAGTATGGGTACTGGAGTAAACACTATTAAGAGTATGGGTACTGGAGTAAACACTAGCATGAGTATGGGTACTAGAGTAAACACTAGTAAGAGTATGGGTACTGGAGTAAACACTAGCAAGAGTATGGGTACTGGAGTAAACACTAGTAAGAGTATGGGTACTGGAGTAAACACTATTAAGAGTATGGGTACTGGAGTAAACACTAGCATGAGTATGGGTACTAGAGTAAACACTAGTAAGAGTATGGGTACTGGAGTAAACACTAGCATGAGTATGGGTACTAGAGTAAACACTAGTAAGAGTATGGGTACTAGAGTAAACACTAGCATGAGTACTCTCAAAGTATTCAAAGTATGGGTTTGGTGACATTTGACACTAATGTTGTTGAACGTTTGTACCAAGTAGCTCAGTGAATTGGCCCTACTCTTATTCTTTGTACTGTCGTTGTTTTCGAGTAGTGTTTTCGTAAAATAGCCGAGATCTTTCTTAAGAAAAAAAATGCCTTTATTGTGGTGTGGTCACATTTGCCTCATAATCTGATCAACGTTTATGCATCTTTTGTTAGTTAGAAACTGCTCAATTTTTACGTTTTTCAAAAAGTTATTTTGCTGACAACAGGATTCTACAGCTTTATCCTCACCGCCTACGTCATCTCTTTGCAACTGCTTATCGTTATGTACACTCTCGCATATGTGTACCGTGAGATAGCAAAAAATATCAATGCGAATGAGAAAAAACACTGTTGTGAATGATTATTAATTTACTACAGAGAGATCTCAACGTATAATATGTATGGAATTATTAAAGCAAATACATTGGAGCAAAAACGACAATATCCTCATAGGTTCGAAGCAAAATAATAAGACACAATTGCATTTACTAACGCAAATTTTCACGGCAAAGTTAACAGCAAAATACGGAAATTAGATATGTCTTCACTAGATTAATTAGTTTTCATTAGAACAACTATTAACATTAATTTAGTTTGAATTCAGTTCCACATCAAAGTCTAATGAACAAATCAATTCAGACTACCTCAGTCTAATGGAACATTTTTATACATGTCATTTTTTGAGAAAGAGGTAATGTTGAACCAAGAAATCAGTACAAAAATTTTTCGGATTGCTCGAGGTTTAGATCCAAACTGAGTAAAATATACTTATATAATGAAAAACCATATATACTTCATTATCCAACTACGCACATCTTTTCACAGACATACTTTTATACATATGTTGCGTCTTCAGAAGCCAAACTTAACGACCTTTGCATATTATTGTATTTTTTTGATTTGGGTAATGTCTTACTTTTTGTAGTGTCGTAGGATGGCTTTTGGGCAACTGGTGGTTTTTGTGGTTTCTTCGCAATCGGTGGCGCTTTTCCCTCAGAAAAACATTGCGTGGTGTTTCGCTTGACTTCGGAACCTCTTAGAGAAGGTGAAAATGAAGGATCAATTTTATTTTTTAGCGTTGTGAGAACGGGCTGCTCAATTTTTAGTCTGTTAGTTCGCGATTGAGAAGTTGATGATGTAATAACATTTGAATCTTGAAAATTTCTATTCTGAGCAACAACTGCAGCTGCCTGTTGAGCTATAGAAGCCATAGCCGTCTTAGATGGTTTTTCAACCATTTTTGTAACAGGAAGAGTCGTTTTATCTGAACTAATAATGTGCTGTTGGTTTATTGAATTACTTTTTGGTGAAACTGGGACAAAAGTTTGGGATTTAGTAGCAGCCACAGTTCTAGCGGAGGTATTTAAGTTTGAAGATGAATCTTTGGAATCTTTAGATACTTCATCATCTACAGACATGGACATTAAAACTTTGGTGGTACTTGGGGATGCAAGTTGATGTGGGTTATCATCCAATTCAGCTGAAGTTAGAGAAACTTGCTTTCGAGGAAAAGATACGTTGGGCGAAGAAGAAATAGATTTTTTTTGATGTAATAATGGTTTAGGCTGAATAGAAGGACGGTTGTAGGCGGGATTATTTGGGCTGGATTTTGTTCTTTTTACAGGAACGTGTTTGGAATAATTGTCATATTTAAAAGCCATTGGACTTGCATCAGATTTTTTAGAATAGACTGATTGCTTGGAAGAACTGATTTTTTCAGCCGGTTTCTCTTCTTTCATCGCGTCATTTGCTACATCAACATCAATTTTAAAGTCGGAGGTGGTCTTGTCATTTTTATAGGTATTATTTTCTAAACACTTTGTTTCAATGTCTTCACTAGAGCTGATTTGGACAAAGGCGTCTTTTGAAGATGTTTTCTTTTGAGTTCCAATGTTGCTTTCCTCTTCAATTTTTTTTATCTCAGCTATTTGTTGTTCTTTGTTTTTTGATGTCTCGAAATCTTCAATAATTTTAGCATCAGTTTTCTTTCTTGTATTCTTAAAAATTGCACTCTCAACATAAGATGGCTTTCGCTCAATTTCCTCAACTGAACCGCTCACTGACTTATGCTCTTTCATTGACATTGATTCTGGACTATCTCTTCCCGAACACTTCACAGAAAAATCTGAAGTTTTACTTTTTTCATCGATTGGTAAAGCAACAGGTTGAATGGATTTCTCAACGCTTTGACTTGATGATTTTGAAGGAGCAAATTGAGGCTTTCCCTGCGAGACTTGAGCAAGCATTTTCTTGAACAATGGACGATTAACTAGCTCTTCGCTCTTTGGAGGAGATGGTGACGGCTGTGTTGTGTTTTTTTCAGATTTATCTTCAGCTTCTTCCACCATTATCTCATTCTTTAGTGTGACAGAACTTTCTTTGGTTTCTGGAAGATTCGTTACAGGAGCGACAATAGGTGTTGGAGCAGGCATAGGAGATGTTTCACCATTTGGATTAAGTAGATTTAAAGGTGTAACTCCTGCGATTGGCATAGCACCTACTTGAGATTGCTGGAGTATCATTTGCTGTAGCAACATATTTGAGAGCATTTGTTGTTGTTGTTGTATCAACAACTGTTGATTGTTAACATCAAGCTGCTGTTGAGGGTTTTGAAAAATAGCTAACAAAGACTGTAATTGTTGTTCGGCTGTCAACAACTTAATATTTTGATTTGTTGATAAATTATCGTTTTTGTCAACTGTTTTCATCTCAGGATTGTTCTTTCCATCAACCTTGTCCAAAGAAGGTCTTGATAAAATCTCATCTTCCATCTTTTCTTTCTTCATTTCATTGGAAATGTTTAAATTTTGCTCATTTTCATGTTCTTTATCACTAAAATCAGTTTCTTGACTTTCATCATCAGACTTGATGTCTTGTGATTGTACGTCATTTCCATCATCGTCAACATCTTAAAATTTAAAACATAAGTTGTGTAACAAAGTTTATGCTATTTTGTGTTGTGTTTACAAAAGATCTTTTCTTACAACATGTGGAATTTTGAATTAACACAACGTAAAACACAGCTTACCTACTGGAAAGTCAATATATTCAACTTGTTTTTCACATTCATCAATTGGTGGAGGAGCTGTCTCCGGTGGCGGGGGCGCAATGAATACTGGGAATGGTGTCTTATGTTCATTACAAGGATCGTCTATAGCCATAGATTTTTTCAGGTAAGATGTCTGAAGCTCATTTGAACTTTCTGGAGGAATTAAGGTCGTTGAACCATGAGATGTTGAAGGAGAAAGTGGGATTGAAGAAGACAAAGAACAAGAAGGACATTTTGGACTATCATCTAACGTTTTGGATGAAGATGATATAGACGAAGGAGAAGATAGTGAAGAATTATGGCATGATAAAGTATCACGAGGTGAAGTAACAGGAGAGGTTGAACTAGTAGAAGTTGAAGTTGCAGGAGAGGTTGAACTAGTAGAAGTTGAAGGAGAGGTTGACATATCAGGTGAAATTGAAGCAGCCAAAGATGCTGAAGAAATAGGATTAGTTAAAGATTTTGTTTGATTTAAGAGATTAGAAGTCGCTGACGGTATATTGTTGTCTTTTTCACTCGACGTTACTTCGACATTTACGTTAGCTGTAGATAATGTAGATAACATTTTTGGTGGTGATGGAGCTCTGCGTTTTTTCATTTCAGTGTTATTAAGACTTATACTGGAACCATAAATGACATTGGTAGATTTCCCACTGCTTGGAGGTAGGGGTGCTTTCTTCTTGGAAGGTCTTTTCGACGGTAATGTGTGACAATATGTTTTAGTGACAGCTGGGTCACTTTTGCTGGGTTTAGCCAAAGTATGACCGGATGGTTTTCTTTCTAAAACACAAGATTCCGTGCAGGAAAACAAATAAGTATTTCAAAGTAGAACTACAGTAAATGTTAATGCTATGATACCTAAGCTTCTTTGATCTGCATTTCCCCCCTCTTTTTTCACGCTATCATTGCTCTGTCAAGATAGAATAAAATTAAATTTCAAAACCTGAATGGACACAGCTATAGTGGCAAAATTTTATACATTCTTTAAAAAAAATGCACTAAGGTCGTCTTTCATCTTGTAAGTGCCGTAAACTGCAAAACATTTTCTGTTTAGCATGGTATACACTACAATGCTACCATTGCAAAAATGAGTCCACCTTGAACATTTCGTGACAGCATATAGACGTGATATCGCTTTGCAAATCTACAACATTGCGCATGCCCAGTACTATTTTTTATTTATTTTTAAAACAAATAAGGTCCACTTGCAAATATAATCAGATTATCGAGATAAGGCTATCATACCAGAGTTCTATTTATTATAGCATTTTTAAAAAAGCAATCAGTATATGCTATGCTGACCTTGCTTAGGTTTTCAACAGAACGTCCTTGAATTTCTACAACAAAAAATCGAATTAAAAATCATTAAACTCAACATGAACAGTTGGAACATCTCTTGCAGAGTTAAATGCCTTGATTTACGAGATGCATTAACTCAATACATGAATCTAGTTGGACTTGGACTGGTATCACAACACAACTTAAATATAAGTAGCTACATGATTTTAACAGCCTACCTCTTTTAGAAACTAAGCGTATCTTGTCCGTACTCAAATCGCCAATTCTGAGAGACAAATTCACACTGTCCTTGGTTTGCTGCATAACTTCGAAATAATATTCATTTACGGTGAGGTTTTCTTGAGTACACACTGTCTTTAGAGCTCTTTTTAAGGTATCAGTCTTGTAGAAACTGTATAGACAGACTTTTGAAGATGGAAGACAGATTTCCAGATTAACCATCTTAAAAAATGAAAAGCACATTATAAAATACCAATCATTAACCAGGGAATCTATGAAAATGCACAAAGAAGTTGGCAAAGCATTATGTCACTCTACAAAGAAGATAAAATAGTTTGAGAAGAAATTTTCTACAAAGTGAATTGTAATAATATCCAATGCAATACTATATGCCTTCTATTTTAATAAGTCTATAGGTAGTTACTGCAGTTATTTTTTGAATAAAACAGAAGTAGGTATGATTGTCAAAGTAGCCTATAGACACTTACTAACTAATGTCTACCAATCATGATAAAAATACAAGCAAGATCACGTCCAGATGGCCAGAACACATATTACCATGCTTAGCAAATTCATACGTGATTTATGATCGTGTTACCTTATCAAAATTTTCTTTTTCTAGCTCCTTTCCTTTACGAATCGTTGAAGCCATTCTTGAAATTGTGTCGTAAAACTGAAAAACAATGCGTGAAAATCTAATTAAACGTTTATTGGTTTATTTTAACATGGATTAATTTCAAAATTACGATGATGATGAACTGTATACAGAGAGCACAAATTGCACAAGCAAATACAAAGAGCAAAGTCTTTTACAATAAGTATATGACACAGTGACGTGTACAAGTAAATGGTAAAATTTTTCTAGGGAAAGAGCAAAGCTTATAAAGGGCAGGACGTTATAACTTTTCAAACCACGAATTTTTTCAAGCATCACAAAAGCACTTAATGTCCAAAGAAAAATGATATTGTTTTGTCTTCCCTTTCCAAATTATATTGTTGTTACTGACAATGAGATAGCATGCTGGTGTAACTGTCTCTATACTTATGTAAATGCGCATGCTTCCTTCCCAGTTTATTACATCAATCATACAATGACTTCATGAAAATTTTCGAAGAGCAACAGATGTAAAAATAATCTACCTGAAGCGCAACAGATTTACTCGCGAACTTTGCTCCAAATTTTTCTTGATCTTCCCAGCAAACAATATTGCCTTCAATACTTGTCTTCGTTTGCCAACTTATGACAGAGTCAATCACCTATACACATATGAGAAAAATAATTTTTTAATCTTTCTTGCATATGATGAAATGTTAAATCGTTTTCATCAAAGATTACGGGACTTTAAACTTCTTTTTGTACAACCAGGAAATTGATATAAAAATATAAAAAATAAGCATATAGAACACATCCATTCAGCTCTTACTAAGGGGGAAAATTCTTGTTGGGGTGAATGAACAGGACTCGTTTTGAACAGCATCACCGTAAACAAAGGGTGTTTAGGTAGTACAAGTTGGGATGTGGTAGTACAAGTTGGGATGTGTCTATGTACAACGGCACGATCTCGCTGACTGGCAAAAATTACGGCAAAATTTGATCATTTTTACCGTAACTTAAACGACAAAGATTCATCTCAAAATTCGGGACGTGTCTTATATTTAATTATAAGAAGCTATCGCTTTTTTAAATTATGCGTTTTAAAATATTATTTTCTCTTAAAAAACCCGTTTTCAAGGATCGATGGTAGAAAATTTTGTTGTTTTCATTGCAATACAGAGGACAAGAACTGCTTCATTAAGACAACCATTAGCAATGTAAATGTTTTTTAATAACAAATTAGCAGTTGCTTGACGTCTAATTGAATGAACTACTTTGTTTAATGGAAGACATGAATTGATTGCAACCTCCGTTTGGCATTGATTTGGGATTGTAACTTCTCTATTAAAAAAACTGCCTTGTCTCTCTGCTTCATCATCGATGTTTAATTGCTTACATGTATAATTTAGTTTTTCAGTTAAGAATGAAGTGTTCTCCGTAGAGTCTCCATTTTTTATGAAAACAATCAACTCACCCTGACAAAATTATCAATCTCGTTGTCGATGACTAAAATCCTGAAAGGATATTTTACATGGTGGAAACCAACTCGGATCAAGTATATGGGTAGATAATCCGATTTCAAGCTGAGCCAATTGGCTCCCTCGATGATAAATATGAGGCCGTGGAAGGTCGCGAGTAAATGCTCACTTGGTCGTAAAAAAAGCGACAAATGACGTGAAGAATCTTCACTTTGACTTCTTTTAAACGCAGTGACAGGAGGTGATGGTGCAGTCTTTGATTTTTTTTCACTAGAAATAAATAAATATTATAAATAAATTTATTTGTAGTTATTAATTCATTGTAATTTCTTATCCTAAATTCACCCTTGGTTAGGAATGAAGTTAAGTCACAGTTAACACACAAAACTTTAATAGTCTATACGCGTAATTCTTCCATCGTTGTTAAATAATACATCAACACATGAAATTCTGCAGCTAATGGTGTTAAATGGAAAAAATTGCTTTGCTAAAACTAAAACTTTGTATAATATAAAGGAATAATGAATATTCTAATCATAAAACAACTTTAGTTTACGCATCACTTGCAACAAAACGATAGAAACATATAGCTCATGATTCAAAAGTTTCGAACAACTCTCATTGAGAGAATTTATAATCTTGTGACTCTTGTCTAAGCTTCAATAAATAAGCAAAAGAGCACCAAACCGAATTAACTATAGGATGAAGCAAATAACGCGTCTGTTCAGGAGCGATATCTGCTTACAAGATTTTGTTATAATTAACAATCCAGTTAAACGGTCCTTTAGTTACAATTATAACTTTAAATTGTTCTGTAGTTAATCAACAGGGTAATTTGATGTACGTAGAAAGTACATACTCTCCAGAACTCCCTGTCTTTTGCAAATATTGTGCCTTATAGACTGATTCACTAGAATATTTTACTGACCGATTGGCCCATAAATATCTTAACTTAGCAATGAATTCGCGAAGTTTTATGTAAAGTTTAAAATATAAAATAAAGAAATACTACATTAATTAAAAAACTGTACAGACTTTAAGAAAATAATTTAAAATGATAATGCTATCACATAATAATGACTATGAGACTGACAGACTTTACATGCATGTTTTAAGAAAATAAGATAGCAACTAATATAATAGATTAAAGAACAAACCGATGTCAAATAAAAAAAAACAAAGCTTGCTGAAATAAAGTACTTTTTTACATATAAATTTACAATATTGATCGAACAAAGACCAAGTCTATCGTCCGTCGCAAAATCGTTTCAAAGCCCACATATTTACATAATAGTTTTCTAGCAGCGTTTTACAAATAAAAACCATTTTTTTCTTTCGTGCCAGTGCACTGGCCAAACTAAACGAAAACGAATTTTCAATTCAGATAAATAAAATGAAAGCAAGTTAATTTGATGCAACCGCAAAGCAGCTACCGGTATTTATCATTAAGAGTTTATTCGAAATTTCGAATGCGTGACCCGCTACATAGCTAATATTTTACTTTTTTTACACCAAATTGTTCAACAGATTGATATCCTTTAACTTTATTGTTAACAAGATTATGTCGAATGAAATAAGTAATTAAGTTTCACGCCTCAACAAGTCTTTTTTGGCATGAATTAAGCGACAGTTTTCGAACAGACCTTCGATATGAAAATGTAAGGTGGAATATATTTACACAGCAGTATATAAACGGAATACAAATTGTAACTTACATACGCTCGTCTAAAACCAGCATTTCAAAAATTTGTCGTCTCGAGAAAGTATTAGACTACTTCGAAATAATCTTGTGTACAGGAGAAATATTTAAGTGATCAATCAATGCAACAAATGTTTAACATTACAGGTAAAATATTTGGAGTATATGTTATAAACAAGACTAATTTCATTCGTTTGTACCACCGTATGTGTATTATTGTGTATGTATATTACTCAATTTAGATGACACAGAGTTTGAAAAATAACATAGACACAAACCTCAATAATCGTTTATCTTTGGAATCTTCGCTGTTCGTATTTTTTGAATTTTTCTCACTAGAATAAATTTCCATGCTCATGAGGATAAAACAGTTGGGGGTTGGGAAAGTATACCACAATAAAATAACTGTGCTATTTCAATGAAATGGCTTCACAGTCATTACTCTAATTCATACAACATCGTTTTCGCGATTTGTAAAATTTCTATAATTCACAAATTAAATGTCGTCATTTCAGAGTTCTTTAATGACGGGAAGGAACGAAAAGCACTTATGTGCAAGAGACGAAGCAATTTATTCACTATGAGCAATACACAAACAAAATTTGCATGCCTATCTCGAAAAGAATTAGTGTTAGTTCACCATTCAAGTTAAAGTGATTAATTGCAAAGGAATCGGGGACGACATAATAGCTTAAAAAAAGAATCTAGACTTATTGGAATGAAATATGGTCATATTGATAACGACTACGGCACAAACGAGAAAGCCGCACTGCACGTTTCTCAGGAATTAATGTGACACACTGTCAATCACCTACCTTCGAAGATTTTCTCACGCTTTTCTTTCCCAGCATGAAAATAATAACATTTCATAGATTTGAGTAATACTACTCATTCCTTTGAATATGCAGGATAAATATCAACCAGAGCAAACCGGCAGAATTCAAACCAGTGTATCTTCAACAAACATATTGTTTTATTTGTAACTATGAGCCGAAAAATTTATGCAAAAAAACAAAGCATCTTTTTGGTTTTCAAAACGTCTTTTGGTTTTCAGATTCGTCACACGATTTGACATGAAACAATAGATCATTCTCGATCTATATCATCAAAATTCAAAACGCACGTCGAAAAGCAACGATTGCGTAATGGTAATATAAATTAAAACTGGGCGAACACTGCAAAAAAACAAAACTGGAAATAAAAATTTCCCAGCCAATCACATCGCGGGGTTTAGAAATCTTAACAAAAAGCAATTGATAAGTTCATTAAGTTGGGAGAAATAAAAGACAGTTAAGTCACCTCGACAATTGGCCACAAACGACATTTCAAAGGCTGCTCTATGTCTGAGCATTTTTTTTAAATTTAAAACAAGGGTAAGGTTAGGCTATTATTATGTTGGTGGTAACCATCATTTAAGTAGTTTGTGTAAGACAAAAAAGCGCAATTACCAGCAATGTGAAACCAAGTCATTTTGATCAAACGACCGCATTGTGCTTACAATTGTTAAGAATATCAAATAGTCAAAATGACTCAGTGAACATTAACATACAATAATTTCACGAACTGGACCAACCTGGACGATGAAAATCTACATACAAGTTGAATTATTTAACGATGTTAACTTTGGGTCAAAAATCAAGCGTTTGGTTCGGATAAAATGAAAACACTGCCACAAAAGCATGGAATACAAACGCACAAAATAGAACTACTCTATTTAATTTTGCAGAAAACTCACAAATTCTCAATAATAAAAAATTAAGTCAATTTTATTTTTGAATGATTTTGGTGTGAAAAGCTGGATATGGCCATGCATTACTTAAAATGCTTGATAAAAAATCGCTCAATATGGTAAAATTTTAGTTAAACATTAAAAACAATTATTGTTTAGACAGTTTCTGATATTCGTAGCAGTGAAGTAAGATAATGTATTGTGTATGTTTAACAATTTAGAATTGACGCAAAGTTCAACATTATGACATCAAAAAACAGCTGCAAGTGTAAATAAGTTGAGCTGTGGAAAAGCCTTGAAGACAACTTAAATTGTCTATTTGACTACAAACAGCTGATTGAGTCTGTAATGTTTAAATGTTAAGTAGTATACTTTGAAATCTCGATGTATTTTCTTCACAGTGCAATTTCAAGTTTTTATTTGACACAAGCAACAAAATCATGTGTTTTAATGTGAATGGAATAGAACAGTGAAGTATTTTACCTTGATTTGACAAATCAACATCAACCACATTTCAGATTTGAACGTTTTTTGTGAAACATTTGAAATAATAATAATGAACATAAGCTTTCATACTAACACAAAAAAAATAAGCTACAGAATGATTAAGTTTATCCAGAGTATCTGTCATCTTTAACAGTGGAAATGAGTAAAGAAATCTATTTTTTTGACTTGGCAATTTTTCTTTTCTTGCTCTGACTTGTGCCTGCATACTTTTCTTCCAAATTGGTGAGAAAATTGTTCATTTCACTCTTTCTATCATTCTGTCGTTTAGCAATCAAAGCAGACAGATCATTATCACTATGAACACCCATTTCTTTGGCTAATTTCTCTGCTTCAACAGCTTCTTGCTTTGCCTACAACATGATCAACATCATAAATGGAGATAATATACAATATAAATTTCCAAAATATTAATATCATTTGATATACTATCTTGGACATGTGAAATAAAACACAATATTTTTTCAATCTTATAAAAAAATTCACAGGATAATATGCAGGTCATTCAAAGTAATATAGCCTCAGGCAAGACAAAGAACTTCTAGCATGATAAAAATACCTTAATTTAACAACAACATGCATAACTGATTGAAAATATTTGTGAATTCTCATTCATCAAGAAACTGCCATTATGTTATGTCTGGAAAGATCTTGGAATAACTTAAGGTTCAAGGAAGGCTATAGCAACAATTGAACAACCAACAAAAATTTTAGAAAAAATGAGAAACACAAGACCAATTAAATATTACATCCACCATGGTTAAGAATTGTAAAAAAAATTAATGTGCAGACCATTCAGCTGACAAGCATTCATTTGAATTGTAAGTGGCAACCACAACTGAGCAATTAAATCACGATTTAAGGTATACTTGTCATTGAGCTATTTGCTTCAAACCTTTTGTTTTCTAGCTTTTCGCTTTTTCTTATCAACTTTGGTAAAACTTTCCAACTTTGGTAATTCACCCTTGTCAATGGCACTTTGTAAAATCTTCCTAAATCTACCTTCATCATCTTCAGTTGAACACAAAACGTTTTCCAAGATTCCTTCCATATCTCCTTCACACTTTATATAAGCTGATTTCAAATCATTGAGTTCCTCAACAGAATCTTTGTACTTCTTTTCAAATTTTTTAATATCTTCATTTGTAATTTTAGGAAATAACAACCTCCAATAATACATCCAATCGCGTTCTTCTTTCACTATTTCATCGCCAATTTCACCTGTTTCATCGTAAGCTTTACGGAGATGCTTATCCGATAATAAAGAGTGTATTTTACTTATCGCTTGAAATTTCTTTGTAGCGTTCTGTTTGTGTTCACTGCCAACTCTGTCTGGGTGTACTTTCAAAGATAATCGTCGATACGCTTTCTTAATCTCAGCATCAGAAGCTGTTTTCTCTACTCCAAAAATCTCATACAAATTACTACAGCCAAATAATGAGTTTAGTTCGTCTAAAAAGCTCATAGTAAATTCGCAAAAGAAAAAAATATATACGTCTTCTTTACAGTCTACGTTGTTCGTATGAAACTCGTTGAAACTCAAATTTCCACTTCAAAGCCCTCACCCTGCATAGCCACTTTACTCTTTTCCAATTCTTTACTCTCTGTCAATAATCAATATCAGTGGTCAAAATTTGTTTTCTTGCAAGAACAACGTAGGAAATGATGGAAACACAATCTATGCTTTGAGAAATTGTGAAGACTTTTATGAACAGAGGAGCTGTATAATTAGTATCATTCAGAATGAGGTTAACGTTGAATCCAGAATACTAGATATAGTTAATAATTGTTACTATGGTATCATTGTTGGTATGCCTCATGGTATGTGCCTATGGCTATATGTTTACTACGTTGGTCGCTGGGCAAGACTAGTAGAATTTGTAACAGAGTATTTCGTTAAAAGGGGCTCATACTGTCCAACTGGAACATGACTGCAAATGTTATTTATGTATAAACAAGCATAAATGAATAAGGAAGTCAACTTTCAATAATAAATCTTATTTCTAATTCTATTTTACTGGTTATTCAATTTTTGGAAATGAGTGGAAAAAGAGAATTTGAAAATCCTTATTCTGATGAAATAAGTGGCAAACTTGTTGAGAATTCTGGAAAGGTATCGTATTTTTACAGCAATATTTACCAAGGACCAAATTCATAGTTGCAGTTGGGTAGCCAGCCATCAAATTTTGGTCCTGCTATGCTAAATTCTGATCATTAACAATATTCATTTCTTTAGAAATCTATTGTTTTTACAGCAAAATTACCATAGCAGGACCAAAGTGATGAGCATTTGTCCTTAGCAATTCTGTCATTAGATCAATCATTTCTGGGTTCCATACATGCAAGAACATGTAATCAAATTCCATTCATTCATCTCATTCCACTTTTGTCATATTTTAATTTTAACTTTTTCAAGATTGATATTATCCTTGACATATCATCTTTGTAGGTTTGCCAACCTTTAGAGCTTCGATTGAGACATAATATTGAGAAGTATTTAAACCATTTACATAATGGCTTGAAGTATTCGAATCCCCATGATTACTCTGTTTACACTGGATCTGCTGGTATTTTATTTTATCATTTAATGTATTTGCAAATAACTCTTTGTTTTTATTGACAATTAAGTGACATACATTGCTATTATAATAATATTCAATTGTGTAAAATCATTATTTTGCCATGTACAGGAAATTGCTTCATCTTTCTTAAGGTATTGCATTACTTTACCTTCATGTCGCCTCAACTGTTTTATCTCAAAATGTGGGTGAACAAACAAGGTTGTTGACCAAAGCTACAGATATTATTGAAGGTGATTTGCGCAGACTGAGCAGAAGGCGTGTCACATTTCTTTGTGGTGATTCAGGTGATCAATGATAATTTACACTCAGTAGCTGTTACTTCTGGAAATTTACTTGAATGATTTCCTGTAATTCTTAATAATGTTTGATCAAAGTTATTGTATGACTCCTTTGTAATATAAAAATAAAACAACATCATCAAAGTTTGCTTTTTTTTGCTCAAAACTTTCTACAATATTTTTTACGTTACACCTAAGAAAGCTAATTAGTAAGGTTTGAAAACTGGTGTTTACTGCATACCAGTGAAGCATGAATTCATTATTGCCACTTATGCTTCTTGCTCCATTTTCATATAGTGTGAAATGTAATTGCTATTGTGGAACCATTATAGTTCAGCAGATGTCAACTCTATTACAATCAGTGGAATAGCCAGACCACAAGCTAAAAAAAATAGAATTGTAAAGAAATAATAAATGATAATAATCAGTTAATTTTACATGAGCACGACCAAACTTGCAGACTGGCTACCCCATCGATTGCTACAGTTATTTCTTTATTTCTGTAGGTATTTTATCCATTGCTGCAGTGTTGTATGCAAAGCTCGGACAAAAACAAAAAAGTGATGAATGTCTATCTGCCCTATGCTCCTTGCATCGTGACATAGGAGATGATTTGTCTCTGCCAGATGAATTGCTGTATGGTAAAGCAGGATACCTCTATTCTCTCTTATTTGTAAAAACTCATTTAGGAAAAGACCAGTTGTTGGATCATATTGCTGAAAAGGTAACTAAAGACCCACTTCCACAGTTCTGCTTCAATTATCACTGTAGATTTTAAAATATAGAAATTTACAAAGTTCTTGTTGATTCATGCGAAATGTACTTGTCGCTTCCTCAAATAATATGCCATTATTTTCATTTGTTTTACTTTGTGAAGTACAAGTAAAAATATCTTTTGTAGGTTGCCTCAGCCATGTTGCATTCTGGAGTTAGTCTTGCTCAAAAGAAACATACCACATCTCCCCTAATGTATGCTTGGCATGGTAAATATTACGTTGGAGCTGCTCATGGTATTGCTGGAATATTGTACATGTTATTACAGGTTTGATGATTTGCAAAATATTACAATATATTCATACATAAAAATTTCCTAGATTTTTCAATAAATATCTTGTTTTGTTACTACTACTTAAACTTTTTAAATACATAAACCGTTATATCTTCTTTAGCTTCATCCATACAGTCATGCTGTGAAAGAACATATAAACGAAATTCAGGGCAGTATTGACTATCTACTCACAGTACGATTCCCATCGGGAAACTATCCATCCTCCTTTGAAAATGAAAAGGATCGTCTGATCCACTGGTGTCATGGTGCTCCTGGAGTTGTGTTTTTAATGTTGAAAGCATTTCAGGTTTGTTTGTACAATCATTGTAACGGAAGATCTTTTTTTAGAACAAAAATTTTTCTTTACAAAGAATTCATGTCATCCATTTTGACCAGTTGCAGAATGTAGCTATTTTTCATGATCGTCATAAGCGTTTTTCAACTCAGGAGTAGATTTTTTGTTTAACTAGAGTTGTTTATTTCACCAAAAATGTTAGCAATCTACCTGAACGTACGCAGTGCCTACCACCTTTTATGTGTTTCACCTTCGCGTAACGATGCATAACAATTTTATCATTAAGGTGTTTGAAGAAAAGAGGTACCTGGATGCGGCAATATCTTGTGGGGAAGTTGTTTGGAAACGTGGTTTGTTAAAGAAAGGTTATGGTATTTGCCATGGTGTTTCTGGGAATGCCTACACCTTTTTAGCCCTTTATAAACATACGGAAAATGAGCTTTATCTTCATAGAGCATTGAAGGTTAGCGAATATAATTAAAAATTGAATGTTACAATAATTTTAGCATACATCTATGTTGGGAAATGATTTCAGTCTGCAACCGTCTCCCAAACTTCGTTAGGAAGCCTTTAGATTGAATAACTGTTTTTGCATCGTCTCTGCATGCCTTCCACAAGCTGAGGGTCCTTGGATTTTATATGGTAGTCATGATAATAAACATTTTGGAATATGTCAATTGTCCCCTAGTTTGCTGAATGGACATTTTCGTATGGGGAACATGATTGTCGGACTCCTGACGCACCGTTCTCATTGTTCGAAGGTAAATTTTATACCATTTGTGGTCAAGGGGGCTTTTTTCAGCATATGATATACAAGCTTCATACTACGACGTATTATTTTTAAAGGAAAAATAATTTACTTCACTCCAAATTAACGAGAGGAAAGAAGTGCAATATTGGAAAATAAATAAATAGTTATATTTTAAATTTCTGATGTTGAATATTTTGTATTCTTTTCTATTTTTTTCAGCTAATAAGAGCATAGTGTGTCGCTCTTTGTTTTGGACTGTGTTTGATCTAGAAGGTTGCAAGCTTTCCAACAAAGAACAAATTTTGTCTTTTTGATTAACGAGAATTCGTTACTCAAACAAAAATTTAATTGACGTACGTAAGAGTGCATTCCTTAATGCTTTTTATCTTTGTGTAGGACTCGCGGGAACCATTTATTTTTGGTCAGATCTTCTCGATACCAAGAAATCTCGCTTTCCAGCTTTTGAACTTGGCTAGAAAACATTTGGCTACGTAAAAGAAAGTTTGTGTATTGTATGTAAACGTAAATCACAATTTACTCGCCTTTTCACAACAGGTTCACTTTCCTTTTCAAGAATTGCATAATAATTATAAAGTTAAATGCATGTTGTGCAAACAAAGTTGTAAAAAAGATTTTGTTAAAAAATAGAGAGTAATCACTTCTAAAATGATTCTTCTGCTGTTTTGGTTTATGCAAACAAAGAAACGTGTGATACAAACTAGAACTAATCAACCAGGACGCAGAGTGTTTCGTCTGTGATTTCTTCATTTTTATAATGCTATACGTATGTTAAAATTGTAGAGGCTGCACAAGATGAGCTGTGGCACCAGTTAACATGTGTTACCGAAATGCCACATTTGCCAGGTGTAAACAATTTTTTCAAAGAGATTCCAGCGGCAAAAACTAAACTCTAAAGATATCATATTTAGGGCTTTGATGCTGTTGAAAAGTAATCAATGTTTTCAAAATTTAAAACACTGAATCGTGATTTAATTTTCAAGACAGCTAGAAACATTCTCATTTAATTATTACTGCAGTTCACAATTGAATGTAATTTTATAATCTTTTTTACTGCACTAGTTAGCTGGTGTTATTATAAAATCTCTTGAGAAGAGAACCAGTTAAGGCACTGCAAAACTTCCTTTACGGAAATGCTGCGACAACTTTAGAGACAGCCTGTTTACGAAACTGCTGAGTTCGGATAACATGAATAATATAAAGTTATTAGTTATATTTATTTTAGCTATGCCAAGTCATACGATTGGGAAGTTAAAATTGTTCTTACGTTATAATTGTAACGATGAACAATTTTTACCGAAAATTTTGTGGTAATTAGTTCCGATTTTGTACATGTGCAACTAAAATTGTGACTAGTTCCAAATAAAAAGTAAATTTAACCTTTCCTTTCATCACTGATTACGACGAAATCCATTTTCGAGTCGATTGGACTCGAAAGTTGAGTGATCCAAATTCCCATCGGGTAAAATTCGATTGTCAACAACTGATCAATAAATTCCGGTCGGGTTAAGTACCATCAACACAGCTTGAGGAAATCGCCTCAAATGGAATGTTTGGTCTATGGAAGGTAAAAATGACATAAATAAAAAAGCGTGGGTATCATAAAGACAAAAGAAGGTAATTTTTCCTTTTGATAGTTTAATTTTAATTTCAAATATACGAAATTTATCGACACCACAGAAGAAACGAGTTTGAGTCATGCCCATATCCGCCGGAGTTCTTGCATACAAAAGCAAGTAAAAAGTTTGACGTAAATGAAATAAAAATTAAGAAAGCCAATATACAAGCCACATAAATTAACACCTAGAAGGTCGTAAAAATTTTAATGCCGAGAAATCTTCGACATTTATAAGCAAAGGAGCAAAATACCGACATTATTTACCAATATCAACACCTCTTGTACAAATAAATGCAGCTTCTCCGCAAAAGTTGATGTAAACGACGCTTTTTGAGGTATATTTTCGTTTTGTTAAATATACGCGATTAGCATGACGATTAGGTAATTCTAGTTTCGTTGTAGTTGGAAATTTTGTCATTTCTACATGTCAGGTTGGAAAAAAATTATTTTGATAAAATACAATGCCGGTTAAGATATAAAACCATTATAAGAATGTACGTTTTATGTTATTTTTAAGTTTCAATTTATTATCTGGTTTTGAAATAAATTTTGAAACAAACACTGAGCAGTTAGCGAAAATTTTGCTTTCGCATAGTAGGGCTAATTTTTCATAGCCGTGTGGTATTAACCAGGTCTTTTTTCGAATCATTTTTGTTCAATGAAATTTTACTATAACACCTGTTTATATGATTATATTTAGTATATTTAATATGATGTTCATTATTATACTTCAATTTTATAATTTATAACATTGTAATTTATACTTTTTAAGATTATGCTTTGATTGTTTTGTTTGTAAAAATGAATATCATTTCATTTGTGAACATATGCATCGTTGTAATTTCACTTTAAAAATTTTGTTAAAATTCTACCCTGTGGGTGTTCTGTTAATTGTATGTCTTAACACACAGCATATTTTAATAGCAGGCTGTATATATAAATGGTGTCACTCTGTGACTTTGTTGATTAATTAACAGAAAAATTCTCTGCATGCATGTGAGAATTTGTCAGAACATGTTCAATCAAGAACTTATAATTAAACAATTATATGTTTCATTTGAAGGCTCGCTTTACGCTATAATGATTAGATTTCATTCTCAAACAACTAATGCATGATTTTTATTGAGGATAGTATATAATGAATGAAATAAGCTGTTGGTATTTTATTCATTCAAAATTGATTTACAATTCTTTTGTTTCTACTTTAAGTGTCAATTATCAAATAATTATCAAATAACAGAATGACTTGTAAAAGCTGTTAAGTTTTCCCTGAGAAAGCTTTATCTTTATTGTGCTGGCACTTTTTTTATTCTGTAAACTTTCATATTTTACTTTGTAGTTTGAAATTTATTTTATGGAATTAGTGAGAACAAGACAAAATTGCAGTCAGGATGGTCAAATTGTAGCCACTCCCAATCATACTTTAAGTGAAAAATGTTTTCTTTATGCGATATTTTGATCCAGTAGAGGATGCATGATAATTTGCGTGTAATGTTATTCCTCCTATTTTCATGTTGATCTTGCAACTAACTTTTCTCTGAATCGTGATGTTCACTAAACTAACCAGTTGTAAATGAGTTCCGTTGCAAGAATAGCACCGCAAAATTGAACCTGGGGGGGGCTACCAATTATATTTACTGAATTTACTTGGTCTTACTTTACTTGGGCTAAAATAGATAAATGTTAGCAAAAATTTTATTTTGGGGAAAAGTGGGAGGGTTGAGGCCCCCCCTTTTGGTTCTGTGAATGCAGTACATCCCCTTGCTACTAATGACGTGGAATGTTTTTTTCAATTTAGAATCATAAATAAAATGGATATCAATGGAAGTGAAAGTATATCAGAGGACACAGTCAGTTTGGCATCATATTATGACAATCCCGAGACATTAAAATCATCCAGTAGTTTTGAAGATCAAAGTGATGATGAGAGTGAATCAGATCAAAATGATCATGAGGCTGATATTGACAAGATGCTATTGGATCTTGAGGGATTTCAAGTGGTAAGTGAAGCGATCTCATCAATATTTTGTGTTGATGAGCTTAAATTTCTCAAACATATTACCGTGTGAGAGTGAAGAAAAGAGGATTGATAACACCATACTTGTTTTTACCTGCAAACTTTTTTCAAACTTATTTAAAAAATTTTTTTTGATATAGGAACTAATCCAGACTAATGGACCAAATGCAGAAGAAGAAGTTGAAAACAATGAACCATTGGTATGTTTGATTTTTATTGAAAATTAGCTGATGTTGGTTAGAATTAAAAATGTATGTTGTACAATATTGGATAGAATACATACTAAATGATGTAGTATAGGTAAGGATACACAATGAAGTGATGAAGATTGTGTATTGATGACTAAAACATTGTGACTATCTAATCACATGCAACAGTAGTGAAGTCATCACAACTTTTTATTTCTGCTATGGGTAGAAATATTTTCATGTCTTTTCACCAAAAATGAATTAAAGTTTTGAAGATTAATGAAAATAATTGTTCAAAGAAGTGAGCAATGATTTTACCAAAGAATTTGCAAGAGTATAAGAGTAAAAATACTACATGGGTTTGGCACTAATGTATGAAAAGATTCAAACTTAAGTATGTGTAAACTAGTTGCATGTCTTGTTCAGTTTAGTAAAAGATGTGCAAACTATTTAGATTTATTCTAAATTTTTTGTGGTTGCCTTGTTCAATTGGGACTGCATCCTGTTTAACCATTAATTGCATTAATTAATTACTAATTTAATTTGGAATATATTGGTGTATTTTAGTTTTCTTTTACATGCTAAAAATTTAGTGAAAAATATTTGTTGGGAAAAGTATAAAAGCAAAGGTGTGTTATTGTTTTAAACTGCATAGGATCAGATTTCATATTCAATGAACATAATAGAAGATAGTGGCGATGTGGACTTAGATGCGCTCCTAGAAGATCTCTGTGTAATGGAAAAAGACTTAGTAGGAGACATTAAAACTACACATGAAACTTCCCGTGAAACAAGATCTCCACCACCATCAATTAAAAGATTATCATCTCCTGTAAAGGTGCTCATACGTGTAGAACATACATTAGAAATATTTGTGTTTAAGATCAATAAATATCACTAATATTCACATTGTTTACATGCAAGGTAAGCCAGCTTAGGAAATGTAGTTTGGATGATAGGATTTTTGTGGAAAAACAACTATTTTATAATTTTTGTATGTCATGTTTTGGCAATGTTGCAACTTTATGTTTTGAATGAGCTGTCTTATTAAATGCTTAAAAATTTCAAAACTTTATAGTTAATAAGTTGAATGGATTTTTTAGGTTACAGCTGATGTAAAAATGCAGTTGGAAGCATTTGGTGAAGAGTTGGAAAATAGAGAACTAACTTTGGTAAGACTGTTTTTTTCTTTGTTTCATCCTGTTTCATTATCAAATTTTTGTGAAGAGTTTTCAAGAAAATCCTGATTGACAATTGCAAATATAAAAGTCGTGAATATAGGATCAATTATCACTACATTTCTCATCAATTTTTGTTTGATTGGAGTAGTTATTTCCATTAAACTTGTTGGTATAATTCATATATACACAAAGATGACAATTATTGGTTCAAATCACAAATTATCATAGTTTATGGTGGTAGAAATAAGGTCATGATGCTGCTACTATCTGATTAATGACTTATTTCATTTCCAGGAGGAACAACAAGCAAAGTTTAAAGAAGAGAAAATTCGTATTGCTATGGAAAAACTACGGGAAGCTCGCATCAAGAAGGTAAATAATGACAACCATCTTGTGTATCTTGATAAAACTTCTTTAACAACAACATAGGAAGCAAGTTTTCTTGTAGTGATTTTTTATTTCGTTTGATTTATTGTATTTTCGTCTTGAGATAGACTTGACGTCTTTTCAAGCACTTTGCTCTTTAAAACTATTTTCTGTGTTCACATTGCCGTTATGAGCACAATAAAGGTTGTGACTCTTCCCAATTCTATTGAACATGCTGTTTATATTTACAAAAATAATAATTATATTAACAAACTCCTTAGTTTCTTTGGCGTTAATACGATTTTTAAAATTTTCATAGCTTGTGATAAAAATATTTAATGATGAAGATCCAACCTCTAAAACAATTCTCGTTGATGAATCATGGACAGCTTGGATGGTTTGTAAGAAAATGGTCATAAAATATGACAGAGAACAAAGTACAAACTGGGTGCTTGAGGAAAGACAACATTCCAATAACTTATGTATGTAATAGTTGTATTTAATGATTGCATCGTGAATTTCCTCTCACTAGAACTCTTGCTGTTGTTCAAAAAAACAAATTTTAAAATGAGATGAAGCTCCATCAGTTTACCAATATTACAAATCATAACATTTTTATTATTTTACTGGTTTTGCTTTCTTTCAATAATGCTTGACATATTTGGCACGAATAGTTGATTTAACGTGCTGTTTATCATTTGTGATCATTTATATTTTCAACGAAAAATTCATTTTATACGTAGATATTTTCGTTCCTGTCGTTCGCATTAGCAGTTTTTTTGTTTTTTCATCACAAATCTTGTGTTTTCTAATTCTTTCACAAATAAGAAACTTTAATGATTTAGGTCGTGTTATTGAGGACCATGAAATAATCGTTGACATTGTGTCACAGTGGCCACGAGAAACGGATAATCAGTTGGTTTTTACGATGCGCCGCGATAAATATGTTTTATTTAAAAATCCTCAGGTGATATATTGTGCAATTAAAGATAATAATTTGTGCGATGATTTTATATCAAGGGTTTATGAAAAAAATCTTCTTGTTTGATAGAATTACTTACTTTCAAGTGACACAAATGAAGGCTCGGCCAGGTTAGCTGAGCAGAGCAAAGACACTTTGATTAATGTAAGTCGAATTATATTTCACCAATGTGATGGGTTTTCGTACGAACAATGAAAATAGCCTATGAGATGAAGTAATTAATTGGAAACCACTTAAAGTGAAGAAGGGAAATCGGCTGTGTGTATGTTGAGATGATTTTCTGGTTGGGTGGAGATAAGTTGATTGAAGGGAATATACTTGTATCAAAAACCATGACCAGCCTACAATTTAAAGAAATATAATAAAAACAAATTCCGAAGAAGCAAGTTTCTGTCTGAGGATCTCAGGTCTTTGGAACAAAGTCGAAAATTTACGTTTCACTTCTCGTCTTGTTTTGATTCATATTTTGCAATCTCAAGATGTCTTGCTTCTTCGCAATTTGTTTTATATTATACTTGTATCAATTCACCAAAACTATCCTGCGTTTGTATAAAGCAACGTTTAAAAATTAGATGAATATTATCATTTTGTAGGAATTTTTCAAATCTGACGCAATGCGTCTTCCAAACCTTGATGGAATATTGTATTTAAAAGAAGGACGACGTACGTGGAAAAAGCATTACTTTCTCTTAAGAGCCTCGGGAGTTTATTACACTCCAAAAGGAAAGACGAAAGTAAGTAGGTGTCACTCTAGTCATGGAATGAATGTGTATTTAACGAACTTTTCATAAACTCTTTCAGAATCAACGCAACATGAGTTGTCTTGTATCGTTTGATAATACTTATGTTTACACGACAACCGATTTTAAACGAACTCAGAAGGCTCCTACTGATCATTGCTTTGTTATTAAGGTAAGCCCTACGGCCGAATGGTACGTATGTACCTAGAGTGATTATGTAATCTAAAATTCAAAAGCAACTGGGGAGTTTCTTTTAAAAATTAAGATCAATGGATGAGGTATAGCTACTATATTTTACAGCCGTCTATGTCGAAAGATCTTGATTCACGGGCAGTGAAATGTCTTTGTGCCAGTGATGCTCAAACAATGCAACGATGGATTACCTGTGTACGAGTTGGCAAGGTAATAATCATTCACGTCTATTATTACTGCTGACCATGTAGCAATAATGCCGGCTCACCATATATATATATAACGAAGTTAATTCTGTGTTTGTATGTGAATTTCTGTTACAAAGGGCTCAAAACTCCATTAGTAAATGATAGTTTTAAAATGTTTTAAACACGGTGCTATTTGTGAAACTGACGGAAGATACTGAATGGTCTGAACTTTTTGGGGTGACCATAATGTTTCCCAAACTTGTTTTTGTACAGTTTGGGTATAAAATGCTTGAAAATAAAAATAATGTTCATGAAGAAGTTGAAGATCTTACTGTTGGGACTATCAAAAGATCAAGAACATTATCTTCTGGATCTGGCTCAAGTATGGAGCTTCCTTTGCAGGTTAGCACGACATTAAACGTTAAAATGTAACAAAACATTAAGAATTCACCAAATTATATGTTAACTTGTGTAGAACGACTTTAATAAACTATTTATGACGTGAGTCAATTGATAAACTTTACGACGTATTTTTGTGTGTTTTCTTGATTATTGTGAGTGTTAATTTGATTTTCTGATCTTTTTGTGTTTTACCTGATAGGAAATTTCCGGTACCATAAGAGGTCGTTCACGAACAGAAATCTCCATTGACCAAGGTGTCGTAAGATCTTTATAAAATTGCTATGATCGAACATCGATAAGAAATATGAATTGTGCTTTTTACAGGGCATAGAAGAAGCTCAATAAGAAAAAAAGAACCCATTCCACAACTTGGTTCGAAACTTCTCGCAAAACTATTTCAAGAAGCGTGGAAAAATGGCGCCGAAACTGAACATGTATGTACATAAGTGTAACTTTGAAATTCTATGTCAAAACCGACGTCTTCTTTTATTTAAAATTTGCTAGCGTTAAAACAGCTGAAGTGCATGTTTGAGCGGTTTTAAATAGTTCAAAAACACGGACTTCAAACTAAAAAGATCATATTTATACTCAATTTTTAGGCCAACAAGAGGAGATAGTTATACAGCAGTGACATTTTTTTAGCTTTTGTTTTTGCCAGTGGAAGTGTTAAAATCAAGATTTAATCCGAAATTATAGTACTTGTGCCTTTGGAGATTGTGTAGACACTTACAATAACTTGATTTATTTTGGCCTTCTTACTTCAAAAAATGATGCGTACTTTTACACTTTTATACTTAATCAAATAACGTTATATTCAATTAACTAAATTTTTAGAGTCACGCGAGTTTATTGTTTATAGGTATTGTCCCCTACATCTCCCAGCACTATATTTTCTCCAACAAAATCAAATGAAACCCCTCACTCACCATCAAAGTCCTTTTTCATGGAAAATGAAAAACTTCGAAATCTTGATAATATTAAAGAAGAAGAAGAAACGAAGACTTTAAACCAAGAATCTTCGCTTGTTCTCAACCCACCTCCACCAACTCGAAAATCATTTAGCATTCCTACTAAAACGACAATTACAACACCACCATCAGCAACACCAACACCAGCATCAGCAACACCACCACCACCAGCATCAGCAACACCACCACCACCAACACAAAGCAGCAGCACCACCGCCACCACCACCAACACAAGCAGCAGTAGCACCGCCACCACCACCAACACAAGCAGCAGTAGCACCACCGCCACCACCAGCAACACCAGCACCAGCAGCACCACTCACCAGCAGCACCACCACCACCACCACCACTAACACCAGCAGCACCGGCACCAGCACCGGCACCACCACCAGCAGCACCCTCACCAGCACCACCAGCACCACCGCCACCACCACTAACACCAGCAGCACCGGCACCACCGCCGCCACCAGCACCACCGCTGTCATCAAGCGATGTTTTTCGTGATGAAATAGATGATGAATTGACGACGTCTGTAGATGAAACACAATCCCAAGTAACAAATACTGCTTCTAATGGCTTCCCAACACCACAAGCAATTGTCAATGATTCAAATCCGCCACAATCTTCATCTCAAAGTCCAGATAGTCCTTCAAATGACGATTTTCCTTTACCTCCTCCACCTTCCTCCATGTTTTCTGATGAAGAAGTCCTTATTGATGAGAGAAGAAGTGAACCTGAGATAAACAATTCTCCATCACCTGTTCCCACCGAAGCATCTCGACCCCCACCACCACCTCCACCTCCGTCAATCGCAATCGCTTCCACGCAATTCTAAATTCGCAAAATCTCGATGAAATAAACATACCTTGATGTGATTTTATGATAATATATTTTCATGTTTTATTTGAATGATCTTCTAGTATGGCGATGCTGTCATATTTTTCTGGATCGAAGACAAATTCAACGAGAAAACGTAAAGTATAAAGTTTATGAATGGGATCATAGTTAAGTAACTTGATTGTAAAAAGATAAGACCATAAACTACTGATTTAATTCTTTACTATTTACTATAAGTATAAATACATTCTCTATGTACGCATTTAACACGATTGTTGTTTACTATTCCTTAACCTACTAAGGTTACTGTTACTGCGTGAAGAATCTCAACTTATACTAAATCGCCGTTTTCTCTTTTTGTTTAATCCTTTTCGCCAACGTGCTTGTAATGGTTGCGAGGTTGTCGTTGGGACAAATTGAACATTTTTCGTATGACGATGCATGTATGAATTTTTTACTCTTTGGTAACGTATACTAATAGACTTTATTTTTTGAACAGAAATTTCTTTTTTTTACTAAAATTTTCTCCACGAACAACTAGAACAAATTTATATATGTCTGTCGTTATATGAACTTGTTTCTGGCATTAACCATCTATATCAACCGACCGCATCCTGTTCTCCTTTACACTGGCTTTTCAATTGCACTGTAATTTCTTCGAGAAAAATTTTTTTGGTCGCGCTTATAAAATGTAACCTTTTCGATAAATACTGGTTAATGTTGCTCGTATACTTTTAACTCTCTTTGCGATAATCGCTGTGTTGATTTTTCCACTACTGCCACTTCTATTCTTTCAACAACATATTTTTTGTCTGCTATAGTGCTGTCATGTCAGAGTTCATCCTTCTTTCTCTACAAAACCATTGTATTGTATAAAACCTTGAATTGTTTACATGTTGGTATTTTGACAATCTTTTGAGTTTTCTCTCCCTAGTGTTTATGTCGAACTAATTATACTTTTATTTTTCGTAACATGGAATCTGTTGTAAAAATGTATCTTGTACATGGAGACCAAATGGGACACTATGATCATGAAATATGAAAAATCAGAACTGCTCATTGAGCTAAAATACATGGAACGCTACATGTAATAGAAAAGTCTATTAATTTTTTGAAGCCAAATCTTACACCAAGATACGCGTATGTAGTTCAATCAATTTTCACTCCGCGAGAGAATCTCGAAACACTACACACGCGTGTCAGGGTGTAATCTCGCCTGTCTCGGGTAAGATTTGGGTTTATTTGCTTCAAGGTAGCGTTCCATGTATTCTAGTTCAATGGTACTACTCCAAGTACCCCATGGCTGCATCGCTTGCCATCTATATAGTGTATACAAAAGAAGACAAGGAGAAGCTTCCTGAATGATTTCGTTTCCGGGGAAAACGTTTTTGAATTGTCATGTATATAGTGTTATATAGAAGCTTGAAGATTGGTAATCCTGGCGTTATTGTTGAAAAATAAAAGTTTCTCCTGATTCTATATATAATTTTATTGAGCTTTCGACTCGGTGCTTCGAGCCTTCTTCAGAATAAGGAAATTACTAGAATACTAGCTATTCACACAGTTTTTAGATTGTAGACGTTTAGAGCGTCTAATTGGATTAGCGAGTGGATTAATATTATTGGTTGGTTGGGATACGATGGTGTTATAAAACGAAGTTCGTTCATAGAAAATATTGGAAAAGGTACAGAGAAAGAAATTATTGGAGTTCAATCCACGAGATCAACAACATATCTTATTGCGTTCAGCAGTGATAAAATAAATGTCTTGGTGTAGCGAGGCTAGCTTTGACATGGTGAAGAACATTGAACATGAACTAAAGTCAGAAATGTGGGTAGACTTGGATAATAAGATATGGTGGGAAATGGAAAGTTTTATTCAGTAAATGCCAAGTCCGTAGGACGAGGGTAGTACAAAAAGACAGAGGTGAGATAATGGCATTATTTCACCTGAAACGAAACTTTTTATTCTTTCTAGTTGTTTTTTAAGAGTTGGATTTCACTCTGCTTTTTGTCAGTAAAAAATAAAATCTTTGTAGTTGTGTCGTCCATGAATAATAAAACTTACTTTCTGTGTGTTGTTCAGACGTAAATGATTTTTTCATATTTTTCAAAACCTTCGCTGTTTGGTTCAGGACATTTGTTTTTTTTTCGTAAAATAATGGACACGCAAAAATGTTCTATTTGAAACGAAAATGAGGATTATAGAACAAGACAGAAAACAAAGAGACAAAATAATGAGAGAAGAAGATGGATACAGAATAAAACAGATAAGACTAAAAGATTGCGGCCATTGCAAGATAGACAATAATTTACATCAAGTTTTGTGTGGAAAAAAAAGTGAAAAAACCATCGCAAAAGCATGACAGTGTCCATATTGGAAATTTTGGGCAATATTTTTTTGGAGTACCAAAATTACTGTAAAATCAACAATTATAAAGATCTTGAAAAGAAAAAGATGCAGAATTGCGTAATTGTTGGCTGTCATCGGAATCGTCGGCAAAATAGTCTTATCACAATGTTATTTAATATGGAAAACGAAACCAACACGGTTCGTCGGCCCAAAAATAGTAATACAGTTACATAATATCAATATTGTCTGTTCATACGGAAGTAAACACATGTTGCTTTATCCGTAGGATGAACGACGTACTTAACTTTAACTCACACAACGTTTGGAATAACAAAATGTCGAAGTTCAGGTTTAATTGTGGTTTTTTGGTTTTTGATTCGCCCACAACTGATTTTGAAAGCAGTTAAATTGTTCGCACGATAAAGCACGATAAAACTTTCATTAAACGAACAGTTAAGTAAATAATAGCATTGAATTTTAGAGACGTATCAGATCTAGGAACGTAGTAAAGAGTGATGTAATCGCCACTCGTCACAACAAAATCTTCGAAAAAACCGTGTGTGTTGAAAATTGTCCTAGTTCATTCTTCTCGTTATAAACATGAAAAGTCCTGGAGATTCATAAATGAAGAAAAAGCATACTTAAAGTGTCATGTAAATTTTCATACCTTGAAATTAAATATACGTAGAAATAATGATATTAGCACTGTATTGATCGATCGACTTGGGTTTATGACAAGTTCCATTAGTGGCAACAAGAACTTCGCTTTGCAAACCTATTTTTTGTAAACTTGTACCCTGTAAGCTATGGCAACACCGAATGGGTTTATAATACCAATAATAAGCAATTATTCATAGTTGATATAACTGATAAATTTATATTCACATATATGGATGAAACATATGCAATATTAACAAGAAACGTACGTGTAGAAGACAATTTGAACATGGCTTTCATTCCCCCGACTTAGCATACCAGAAATATTTACTTTAATGGGAGGGGTGGTGAAGGGGGGGATTAGCCAAAACCAACAAAAAATGTTTTTGTGGTTCGATTGTCATCTCCTTGCAGGCGCCACAGAATTAAGACAAAAACAATCAAGATATAACTGGTATCGATTTACAAAACTGATGCAATAGAACCGTGCTAAAATTTCATTTTGAGTTTGTAAATTTTTAGTTCGTAAGAGTTTTACGTATCAAGTGCAATTTTTTTCAAAACATTAAATTATTTTTATTTGAAGTAGATGTCTTCATAATAGTCAGAATTGGCATAAAAATCTCAAATCATAAGTTTGAAGCGGTAAACGAGCCAATATTGTCAACGAACAAACTTCCAAATGCTATTTTGTTTCAAAAATACGTAATTCCATTTGACGCAACATATTCTGAAGAAACAATAACTTTATTAAATGTGATTTAACGATAACCTTTGCTATTTGTCAACAATATAGGGGGATGTTTGTATTTTTGTCGTTTCACTCAGAAGAGCCAAGCACAGGATGTAATCAGACATCACACAGTTTATCGCACAGTTTGGGTTTTTATATTTTTTAGAAGTAATTTCATGAGTTTTTTCTAATATTGAGAAAGAAGAATTTGACGAATTAAGGTTTATTTTTTTCAAAATTGATCAAATAATAAACTATTTCGCGAAAAGTTATAAGGGCTTTTTTTATTTCTTTTAATTGAAATGTTACATAAGACGTGTCTCGTCAGATGTTTTTGTTTGAATAACAAGTAATTGCGTAACAAGTAATTGTATCTTGAAAACTCATCTCTTGCCTGCAAAAATCTTACATTCGCGCAATGAGAGTAAAACTTACAACAAATTTCAGTTAGTTCAATACCTTAACTGGTATAGAGCGATGACCATCTCATCATTCTGATGGGCCGAATTTATGACACATGAATTCACAGTCTATAAATAAAGCTCAGTAACACGTCTTTCTCGCTCTGGGAGTGTGAAGGTTGGAGAAGTTTAAGAAATATAGGGATATTTTGTGAGCTTACTTTAGATTTTTACAAAACAGATGTAACACCAATAGGGCAGTGTTGGCAAATTGATACGCCGCGACGCATGAAGTGGTGTCTGCATTTGTTTTATAAATTCTTCTAAAAGCGTCTGTGTTTTCCGAAACGGAAATGGAAATGTTCTATATCACGTGATCAAGTTGTATATTATTCCTTATCAGAGTGTTAAGTGCGCAATAGTCAAGTTGTTTTTCGTGTTAGTAAGACGTGTTTTTGGAGGCACCTCAAAAAGATAATTTGACGTCTTATTTGCGCGTAGTTCTAACGCTTTAGACAATGTCCGGCTTTGGTAACTTCAATTTCAATTCTTTTGGCTCAATGAACAACCTTAATGGTCTGGCACAGTCAGCAGAAAGGCTTAAACGTCTTATGACAGAGAATTGTATAAGGCAGCAAGAAAGCGCAAATAATGAACGCATTTTGATAAATAATGATTTCTTTAGTTCTTCAAACGACGACAGAAACCTGACACCTCCTTCTCCTTCAACGGTATGTTTTAATGTATTTGAAAAAGTACCATCATTTTACAGAATTGGAAATTGTTTCCATTTGGTTTCAAGCAATGACGCTTTCATAATTTAACTCATTTTCACAAAACAATATTAATTATACTTTACTTTTAAAAACCAGTAAGTTTTGTGCAGTGCATGGTTTTTCTATAATCTCGGTCGTAATAATCAAAGATATTGAAGTCGCAACTGTCAATGTCAAAAGCCCCTAAAATATATTGAAATTTAAATCTTCTGTACACAAACCATATGTTTGTTAGTGTATGACAAAATATGAATCGCTTGTTGGGTAGATTCAATGTGGAGCCAATGTATTTTCATGTTTTAGCACAGGTACCGTTCATGTTTCAATAACTATTTCTAAGTCATTCAC